ATTATGATGATTGAAGAATTTAAAAAGAATTTAGGGTGCCCTGATGTACTTTGTCAAGATAAAAATGGAAATACGTAAATAAACATCTTGAAACCAACATTTTTTTCTCATTATACGCCCGTTTACGGGACGTATTATGGTATACCGCTGTCCGTCCGTCCGTCCGTCTGTCCGTCCGTCCGTCGTCAACATGTCGGACATTTACTCAAAAACGCTTTAACCAATTTGCATAAAACTTTGGTGAATTGTTTTTATACGACCGCAAAAAAATTTTGTGGTCGTATATTGGTATGACGTTGGCGTCGTCGTCGTCGTCGTCGTCGTCGTCGTCCGGCGTCGTCGTCGTCCGGCGTCGTCGTCCGAATACACAATGGTTTTCGCACTCTAACTTTAGTTTAAGTGAATGGATCTCTATGAAATTTTACCATAAGGTTCAATACAACAATAGGAAAGTGGGGATTGATTTTGGGGGTTATGGTACCAACAGTTAAATAATTAGGGGCCAAAAAGGGGCCGAAAATAAGCATTTTTGTAACTTCCAGACATAACTTGTGTGTTATTGTATGGATCTCTTTGACATTGTACTACAAGATTCCATATCACAAAGGGTCGATGATGGGATTGATTTTGGGGTTAATTTCCTCGAAATTTTAGGAATAAGGGGCCAAAAGGGGGCAAAAAACAAGCATTTTTCTAGTTTCATGACAATAACTTGTGTGTAAGTGTATGGATCTTTCTGAAATTTTACTACAAGGTTCCATTTCGCAAAGGGAAAGCTGGAATTGAGTTTTGTGGTAAATGCCCAAAACGTTTAGTAATAAGGGGCCTAAAAAGGGGTGAAAAATAAGCATTTTTTAGTTTCTAGACAATAACTTGTGTTCAAGTGTATGGATCTCTCTAAAATTGTATTACAAGGTACCATACCACAAAGGCAAGGCTGTTATTGAGCTTGGTTTGGGGGGGAAGGGGGGGTGATGAATCATAGGGGGGGGGGGGGGGGGTCAAAAAAGGGGTAATTATTTTTTTTCGTTTAAGGAATAAGGGGAAAAAAGGTTAAAAAACTAGGGTTTCCATTTTAATAGACAAATAATTGAGTAAAGAACATTATTTAAAAGCAGTGTAAGGTTGGTAATTCAAACTCATTTAAATATCTCACCTGCACTATGTTTGAATTATGTAAATTGGAAATTTGCCAATTATTTTAGTATAATAAACTTCATTGGAAATTTGCCAATATAAAATTTTGCTGATGAAGGTTTTTTGTTTACCTTTAGTCTGACTATGATGTCATTTTCTATTTTAATAGCCTTATGATGTAGTTAAATTTTTTTTAATACTTTTATGATGTATTTTAATGCGCTTTTATGGTTGCAAATTTATTGTTTTAATATAATAAACTCCATTGGAAATTTACCAATAGTTTGTTTATTTTTAGCTATGACTATGATGTCATTTTCTATTTAATTTTAAGGTTACAAATTAATTTCAGTTTTAAATATTATTGTAAAATGTTTGCCCAAAACATTTATTAATAAGTGGCCAAAAAAGGGGGCAAAAATAAGCATTTTTTTAGTTTCCAGACATTGACTTGTGTTCAAGTGTATGGATTTCTCTGAAATTGTACTTAAAGGTACCATACCACAAAGGGAAGTGGGTCAAAAAATTTTGGGGGGGGGGATTTTTTTTCCTTTTTTTTTTCTTTAAAATTTTCCATTTTAAGTTGGTTAATTCTGATCACAAAGAGAAAGTTGGAATTGAGTTTGGGGGATAATTGCTCAAATGTTTAGGAATAAGGGGCTAAAAAAGGGGTTAAAAATAAGCATTTTTTTTTAGTTTCCAACAATTAATTGTGTTTAAGTAATTGGATCTCTGTGAAATTGTACTGCAAGGTACCATACCACAAACTGAAGGCTGGGATTGAGTTTGGGGGGGCGTGATGTGTGAAAATTTTCCACTTAAAGTTGGTTAATTATTTCTGATTTAGATATAAAAGCAAATAATAATGATGTGGTTTGATTTTATCAAAAACTTAAATTGAAGTTATGTATATTGTAAATTTAGGTTACATTGGAATTTAAGAATTGGCTTTGGGGTAGGGTTATGGCTCAAACCTTTAAATAATAAGGGAAAAAAAGGTGAAAAAACAAGGGTTTCCAGGTTAATAGACAAATAAGTACAAAACATTATTTAAAAGCAGTGTAAGCATGGTAAGGTTGGTAATTCAAACTCATTTAAATATCTCACTTACACTGCTTTTAAATTATGTAAATTGGAAATTTGCCAATAACTTTATTGTTAATAAATGCATTGGAAATTTGCCAACAATTTTAGTATAATAAACTTCATTGGAAATTTGCCAATATAAAATTTTGCTGATGAAGGTTTTTTGTTTACCTTTAGCCTTGACTATGAAGTCATTTTCTATTTTTATAGCCTTATGATGTAGTTGAATTATTTAATACTTTTATGATGTGTTTAAATGGGGTTTTATGGTTGCAAATTTATTGTTTTAGTTTAATAAACTCCATTTAAAATTTGGTAATAAAAAAAATTTTTGTTTATTTTTAGCTATGATTATGATGTCATTTTCTATTTTACTTTTATGGTTGCAAAGAAATTTTTATTTTTAGATATTACTGTTAAATGATGCTGATTAAGGTTTTTGCTATGTTTAGCCATGACTATGATGTCATTTTCTATTTTAATATCTGTCATGATGTATTTAAATGGGCTTTTATGGTTACAAAGGAATTTTATTTTTAGATATTACTGTAAAATGTTGCTGATTAAGGATTTTGTTTATTTTTAGCCATGACTATGATGTCATTTTCTATTTTAATACCTTTATTATGTAATTTCCATTTTTAGATATTACTGTTAAATGATGCTGATTGAGGGTTTGAATGCTGGGATTGATTTTGGGGGTAATTGCCTCCAAATTTTAGGAATTAGGGGGCAAAAAACAAGCATTTTTCTAGTTTCATGACAATAACTTGTGTGTAAGTGTATGGATATTTATGAAATTGTACTACAAGGTTCCATATCACAAAGGGAAAGCTGGAATTGAGTTTGGGGGTACTTGCCCAAAACGTTTAGGAATAAGGGGCCAAAAATAAGCATTTTTCTAGTTTACAGACAATAACTTGTGTTCAAGTGTATGGATCTCTCTGAAATTGTACTGCAAGGTACCATACCACAAAGGGAAGGCTGGGATTGTTTTTGGGGGTAATTGTCTCAAAATGTTAGGAATTAGGGGCCATAAAGGGGCAAAAAAACAAGCATTTTTCTAGTTTCATGACAATAACTTGTGTGTAAGTGTATGGATCTTTATGAAATTGTACTGCAAGGTTCCATATCACAAAGGGAAAGCTGGGTTTGAGTTTGGGGGTAATTGCCCTAAACTTTTAGGAATTTGGGGCCAAAAAGGTGCAAAAAACCCAAGCATTTTTCTAGTTTCCAGACAATAATTTGTGTTCAAGTGTATGGATCTCTCTGAAATTGTACTGCAAGGTACCATACCACAAAGGGAAGGCTGGGATTGAGTTTGGGGGTGATGAATCATAAGGGGGTTTCAAAAAATTTGGGGGGGGGGATTTTTTTTTCCTTTTTTTTCTTTAAAATTTTCCATTTTAAATTGGTTATTTCTGATTTATATATAAAAGCAAATAATAATGATATGGTTTGAATAGGTAAATTAAAAAATTTTAAGTTCTTAGACTACTTTCATTCTGTGTGAGAAACCTATGCTGTGTCAAATATTTAATTACAATCCAAATTCAGTGCTGTATCAAGCTTGAATGTTGTGTCCATACTTGCCCCAACTGTTCAGGGTTCGACCTCTGCGGTCGTATCAAGCTGCGCCCCAGCGGAGCATTTTATTATCTATTGACGTGAGCTCCCTTTCGTTTTTTATAAATTTTAGATTTTACGTTTCCGAGTTATGGGGTTTTATTCATTAAAAAAAGGGGGATTTTCCAGTTTTCGGACAATAACTCAAGAATGCTTTCACCAACTTGCAAGAAATTGTGGTGAATTGTTTATATCTATTGACATGAGCTCCCTTTTGATTTTTATAAATTTTAGATTTTGCGTTTCCCAGTTACAGGGTTTTATTCATAAAAAAAGGGGGATTTTCCAGTTTTCAGACAAAAACTCAAAAATGCTTTTAACAGTTCTTATGAAACTTTGGTGAATTGTTTATATCTATTGATGTAAGCTCCCTTTAGAATTTTTTTAATTTTACATCTTACATTTCTGAGTTATGGGGTTTTATTCATTAAAAAAGGGGGGATTTTCCAGTTTTCGGACAATAACTCAAAAATGCTGTCAGCAATTCACATGAAACTTTAGTGAATTGTTTATATCTATTGATGTAAGCTCCCTTTACATTTTCATAAATTTCTAATATGACATTGAGAATTAATTGAACTTTATTTGTTTATAGTCTGACAACAGATTTACTAAGTATTGCGCAACAGCACAGTGTATTGCACAACAGCAAGAAATCTTTAATTTTTGACTACATTTATTCAGAAACCTATAATGTCAAATATTTGATTACAATCCAAATTCAGACCTGTATCAAGCTTGAATATTGTGTCCTTTTTTGCCCCAACTGTTCAGGGTTGGACCTCTGCGGGCGTATCCAGCTGCGCTCAGCGAAGCAGTTTATTTTTTGCTTGTAGTACTCTGTAATCTATACTCCAGCTTTGCAAACTTCGCCTGAATAATCTGTCAGACATCCCTTAGATATTCCTGTAATATACAATAAATTATAAAAAAGCATAAATATAAATGCCTGTCTATGTGTACAAAAGTTAAAAACAGGCCAAGTTAAATGCTGGTTATATATATAACTCTGGTGGATAGTTGTCTCATTGGCAATCACACCACATCGCCTCATTTTTTTTATAAATATATATAATTATGACCTTATGTTTCCTTTTTTTAAATTAGAATTGAGCTGCATTATTAAGAATACTGTGTTATTATAATTGTAGATACTTTTAAACAAAATTGTACTTATGTGACATGGATAACATGACCAGTTCAATCATTTTAACACCACTTCATCAATAAAGACAGACAAAGGTGAAGTAAACTTAAAGCAGTCAACATGGCAGTTAAGCTGAGTATAAAGGAAATTTGGGACATATACAGTAGTGCTAGAAAACATCCAAATCAGGAACAGGTTGGTGCTTTATTTTCATATTATTTTCTTTTAGTATCTGTAGACTAACTTATCTTCGCTGATACTTTATTTCATGTTTGGCCCTTTAGCTGACATTGTAGTAATTTATTTTCATGGTTTTCTAATTTTCTTGATGTATTTATATAAGATTAGTCCCAAGTGTTACATAGTCATGAGTCTCATGACAGTTTATTTTTTATGTTTTTTTTTTCCACTTGCCAAAGTCGTGAAAATAAGTTGATTTACAGCATACATTTGTTGAGTAAACATGGTAAAGGATTGAGGTGCATTGTGAGATCACAATATGTTTTTGAAATATATATCTTTTTAGCTCATGAACTAATTTGTGGTTAGCTGCTGTGTATTTTATATGAAAATGTATCACTTTAATGTTATTTAGATATTTTAAACACACCGTATGATTAAGTTCTGATTAAATTATTTAATTCAATGTAATTGATTGGTTGATTGATTTTTGTTTAACACCGCTTTCAGCACTATTGTGCTATTCTCTGGTGGTAAGTTTTTATAGTTGGAGGAAGTTGGAGTACTAGGAGAAACCACGACCTTCGGTAGGAAAACTAACAATCCTAGTCAAATAAGATTGGAGTCGAATGCACCTACCACATGAGGGATTTGACTCACAACCTCAGTGTTGACAGGCTAGACCACATGGCCACCAAGGCCCTATTAATGTTATTACTACATATCATGACATATGTCATCATTCTAAAACAAAGATACTTGTAATATTCACTACTCCCATTTCAACTTTTCTGTATATTTTATAACCACTCATTGCTCATAGAAATAGTCACTATATATGACTCAATTTAATTTAAAGACATAAATTTAAAATATTTCAAGTTCTTGTTATTTAATAATATGATACTTTGTGTACAGTTCACATTTTTCTTCCCCATATTTTCAGGCCAAACATTATAATGCTGCTTGTATCTCATAACCAAGCACATCTTTATTTTTTTACAATTTAAATTCATTCTTTATTGAAAAAAAATCTTCATTTTTGAAATGTTATTTTGAATTTTAAAGTGCAAATTCAAAGTCATCAATTGATTAAAAAACCACTGTGTTTATTACAGACAAAAAGCTTAGCCTTGGACACCTTCTTGGCACTTTGTTGTAAGGAGATCGAAGAGAATGGAGATGTGCCTATTATTTAGTAAGTCATTGTACGATAGTGATGAACCCCGTACTTAATGTGTCATTGTACCTGGTCATTATGATCTGTCATTATCTTTTTTTGCTCAGGTATTTTTACAGTAACTCATTATTACACTTCATTTCCATAGACATGATCTAATTCATTGATTTGCATTAATTTACATTATTGTTGATTGAGAAATGTAACCCAGACTTTGACCTATTATAAAGTATTTGCATTTTCCAATGCAGTGTGGTTTGGGGTCTACTTATTTACTTTAAGTGAAATGTGATTTTATATTTTGTTGTTTGCACATACATGATTACTAGATAGAAATTAAGTATATCTGTTTATCACTAGAACATTATTCTTCATGGCAGGTTTTCAGTTTTTTCAATTAAAAAATAACAAACGTTACCAAAATTTGAAGAAAGAAGGTATGATAACAAGGCGACTTCAGGGCCTGAATTGAAAATCAAAAAGTGTCATTAGCATGCAACCTTTCATTCCACAGATAATTACTTAAACAAAAGCTGTATATCATTAATGTTATATATACCAGTTTATTTGTGTAATTTTACCTTTTTGCCCAAAACATTGTAAAAATTTGCCCCAGTGATATATCATGTTTATAGATCTATGAACAATATCCTTACCCAGCAAGATATTTTGCTTATCATCTGGAACTCAAGTTAGGTTTGTGGTAAGCAAGACACAGGTACACTTTTTATGGTGACATAGAAGCTCACTACATTCACATAGCTAAACCTGAATTCTAATGGACTATATTTATGGTAAGACCTGGTCACAATCATTGTCACTGTACCTTGACCGAATTGACCCATTTTTGATGCTGTATAAAGTTTGTTCGTGAAAAAAATTGTACATGATCATGACAGTTCAAAAATATTTTGCAGTATTTGTTGTGCCTGTAATGATAATTTTCAGATGATATGCCCCTTTTCCCATGTCAGAGACATATAAGACACAAGTGTTCATGTTGCTTTGGCAATAATGTATATCTGAAAATAATCTGATTGGACTGACTGTGCCCCTTTTGTTGCAGATTTATTCATTTACTGTTATGAACATGAAGGAGACTCTATGAAATACCACTTGATAGTTAATTTGAACAAAAGCTACAGATATTTAGATGACACAACCTTTGTTAACTATTCAGAATTTTCTTTGAATACAAATGAAATTTATCCACCTGAATACTAAATCTAATGTATTCCTTTTTCTAACCTCTGATAATAGAAGTTCCATTGTAATCCTGAACCCACATATATGACAAACATGATTTAATTTCTTTTTCTTGATGAATCTCTTGTTGTCTTACACATCCTGTTAATAGTTGATACCTATATTTTGTCATTCCAACAGTTGTGTTTTGCTCTGACTGCTGATGAGGTCTTATCACTAAATGAGTTAGAGGTGTATTGATTGTTGTTTGTCTCACCTTCAACCAAAGCTGCTGTGAGACATAGGAATTACAATCTGGGGGCAAAGGCGGAAAAAACTGTTTGTTGAAAGCTTTATATTTCAGCATAAAGAAGACCTGGATGCTTCATAAAGTTCATACCTTGTACGACGATTCCTTTTGTTACAAACTTTCTGTCTGTCATAAAAATAAGAATAATTATTGTTCCAAGTGTCCTTGATGGGCAGCATGACATTTATACATACAAAACAATACACTATGATTTGTAACAAAAAAAACTAATTTTTGTCCCCCCGCGCTACGTGTTGTGGGGGACATAGAAATATCGGCTGTCCGTCTGTCCGTGCGCATGTCTTTTCATCAGTCCGTCCGGTCTTGTAAGCGCTCTCACGAGTACAATTCTTGTCGGATTTTTATGAAATTTATATCATAGGTTTATATTATCAATATCTTGGATGAGTTTGCAAATCAGTGCCAATCAATTATTTTTAAAAGAGTAATGCCCTTGGAAACATTAATTATATTGAAAATTGCATCGTTAGCGCTCTCATGTGTATAGTTCTTGCCAGATTTTGATGAAACTTATATTATAGGTTTATATTAGCAATGTCCTGAATGATTTCTAAAATCAGAGCCCGACCAAATTTTTTTAAAAGAGTTATGCCCTTGGAAACATGAATTATATGGAAAATTGCATTGTTAGTGCTCTCATGTGTTCAATTATTGTCACATTTTTATGAAACTTATGTCATAGGTTAATATCAGCTAAGTCTTGGACAAGTTTGTAAATCAGTGCCGATTAATTATTTTTAAAAGAGTTATGCCCCTTGGAAACATTAACTATATGGAGTATTGCATTGTTAGCGCTGTCATGTGTACAATTCTTGCCAGAAATTTATGAAACTCAAATCATAGGTTTATATAAGCAATGTCTTGGATGAGTTTGAAAATCAGTGCCGATCAATAATTTTTAAAAGAGTTATACCCCTTGGAAATATTAATTATATGGAAATTTGCCTTATGAGCACTCTTATATGTACAATTCTTGCCAGATTTTTATGAAATTTATATTTTAGGTTTATATCAGCAAAATCTTTGAAAATAAGTTCTGATCAAATATTTTTAATGAGTTATGCCCCTTGGAAATATTAATTCTAATGGAAATCACATTGCATAATTTGCTCTAAAGCCTTCATTTCTCTTAAGATATTAATAAAAAGTTTTAAAGAACAAAAAAAAGTGCTTTTTTTAGTTATTGCCTTTGTACCTTGGATAGATAAAATATGTGCAATGCGGGGAACATTGGAACTCTGTTCTTTTATTAACATTGAAATGCAATATTAAATGTTCATATATTTATAGAGCTGCATATATTTCTTCATCTTATATAAATCATATACGTTTTGTTCCAGGCAGGACCAGAACCATAAAATCATTACAATAATCATTGTTATTACGAATATTAATTTTCATTTTGTCTAACATCTAGATATTTAATAACATAATTCCCTAAATATTTTAGGACAGACAAGTAAATAACCAAACAAATTTTGCCTCAATTGAGAGATCTGAAAAGTTATGACAAATGTTTTTTTATCTCCTTGAAAAATATTTCCCTATCATCATTGTATGCTGGACAACTAGTAATAAAACCTTGTTCATCTTCAACCAAATTGTCATATGTCCGTCGTCCTTGACCTCATTTTCATGGTTTAGCGACTGCTTGAATTTCTCACTTATTACAAGTAATAGGATAAATATATTTGGTATATGGGTTCCTTGCCAGGTCTTCATATATGTCTGACAGTGTTCACCTGACCTAGACCTCATTTCATGGGCCAGTGATCAAGATTAAGTTTTCATGGTCAAGTCTGTATCTCAGATGCTGTAAATAATAGGTCAACTATATTTTGAGAATGGAATGATTGTAAAGTACATGTCTGAATTGCAGGTTTCATCAGGGTGTCATGTGCTCCTGTTGTAGTTGTAGAAGTAAAGTATAAAAAATAATTCTGAAAAGTTTCTTAATATGTATGCTGATGTGCAAAAATGATTTTGAATAAAGCTTTTCAAAGATCTTCCAGTTAGAAAAAGCCAGTAATTCCAAATACATTTATGGACCCATTTCCCATGTAATAACAGGAGATCTTAACATCGTTCAAGACCGAGAGTTAAAATCATTCCTCAGTAAAGGACCTAAATATCGTCCCCCGTCAATTATTAATTGGAATGAGTGTCGTAATATCATCCACGACTCACTCCATACTTACTGTTTGAGATGGATAAGACGGGAAAAAGCTGACAAAAAATTTTTGGACTCTTTTTTTAAATCAGTAATGAACATAGTTGATATTCGTATTCAACATTTTAAAGAACATTTTACTCTTAACAATAACCACAATAAACCTATTTCTCGTATCAAACATAAACTAAAAGAACTAGCCAAGGAATTTGTTTTTGTCCCGGCTGATAAAGCTGCTAATAATATTATTATTGTTTGACGTAAATTTTACATTGAGGTTCTGAAAAAAGAAATCACCAATTCACCAACATTCCAACTGACTCCATTTTCAGAAAATGACATCTGTAACAAACATAAACTTTTAGCTACCGCTTTACAAGCAGAACCAAATACAATGAAAGTCCCAACTATGTATTGGCTTCCGAAGCTACACAAAACACCTTACAAATATAGATTCATTTCGTCTTCAAGCCATTGTTCCACTACTAAATTGTCTATTCTTCTTACCAGTACACTTGGTACAATCAAAAACCTGATAATAAATTGTTCAAATAAGGCCTTCGAAAATAGTGGAATTAATTACTTTTGGAGTGTCAAGAACTCCTTGGAAGTACTTGATAAATTGCATGCATATATTGGTGATTTTGAATCTGTTCAAAGTTTTGATTTTCTACCCTATATACCACATTGCCTCACATTCTCATTAAGAAAAAATTCACACACCTAATTAAATGGGCATTTAAAAAGTCAGAATGTGAATATATATGTTCAAACTCTTTTAGGTCATTTTTTAGTAGCAATAAACAAAAAAACTATGTCAATTGGACATGCTTTGATACTATATATGCCCTTGAATTTTTACTAGATAACATTTTTGTTCGCTTTGGAGATTCCGTATATCGTCAGGTTATCGGAATTCCAATGGGGACTAACTGTGCACCACTTATTGCGGACCTTTTTTTGTATTGCTATGAGTTACAATTTATGACAAAAATCAGCAAAGACCCATCGAAACAACATCTGATACACAAATTTAATAATACTTTTAGATATTTGGATGATATTTTTGCTCTCAATAATGACGACTTCAGTATGTATACTAAAGAAATTTATCCTGTTGAACTTACTTTAAATAAAGCTAATACTAACAATGACCACTGCCCTTTCCTCGATCTTGATATCTATAACATTAACGGAAAGCTTAATACTAAAATATATGATAAAAGAGATGATTTTTCATTTCCTATCGTTATTTATCCATTTTTAGATGGTGACGTTCCCTTGTCACCATCTTACGGTGTTTATATATCTCAACTTGTACGATTCGCTCGTGTATGTAACAATGTTTTAGATTTTAACGAGAGAAATTTATGTATTACTGAAAAATTATTACACCAGGGTTTTCGATATCACAAACTAGTCAAAAAATTTACTAAATTTTATCATCGGTATAAGGACATCATTCGTAAATATAGCTCAACATGCAGACTTCTTATACGTTCAGGTATTTCACATCCAATTTTTTATGGAAATATTCTTTATAAAGCACAAAATTGTCAGTATTCACCTCTGAAGCTAACAAAACCTTTAAATAGACTTATAAAGAAGGGATATAGTTACGATACTGTTGTCAGGTCATTAAAGATTGCATATTTTGGCGTTAATATTGATTCACTTATAGGGTCTTTGCATCGGCACTAAACACATTTATTTAAAAACCAGTTGTTGGCATGACATGGGTTATGTTCTTCTCATATATGTTATGATGGTATGATACTAAACCCCTAACGGGAAGGATTGTGCCTGATATTCATATGATGAAGACATAATCTTTCAATCAGTTTAATTGAAGTCTGGAGCTGGCATGTCAGTTAACTGCTAGTAGTCTGTTGTTATTTATGTATTATTGTCATTTTGTTTATTTTCTTTGGTTACATCTTCTGACATCAGACTCGGACTTCTCTTGAACTGAATTTTAATGTGCGTATTGTTATGCGTTTACTTTTCTACATTGGCTAGAGGTATAGGAGGAGGGTTGAGATCTCATAAACATGTTTAACCCCGCTGCATTTTTGCGCCTGTCCCAAGTCAGGAGCCTCTAGCCTTTGTCAGTCTTGTATTATTTTTAATTTTAGTTTCTTGTGTACAATTTGGAGTTTAGTATGGCGTTCATTATCACTGAACTAGTATATATATATTTGTTTAGGGGCCAGCTGAAGGAAGCCTCCAGGTGCGGGAATTTCTCGCTGCATTGAAGACCTGTTGGTGACCTTCTGCTGTTGTCTGTTCTATGGTCGGGTTGTTGTCTCTTTGACACATTCCCCATTTCCATTCTCAATTTTATAGCATTAATAAGTAGTCTGAATATTTATTTCAAATTCTATTGACCGTTTTTCCAGTGAGTTTTACTTGTTTGATTTTTATTGTCCATTGATAATCAGACCATGTTTTTATATGACCACAAAAATTTTTTGCATTCGCATAATGCTATCATGTCGTCGTCCGAAGACACATTTGGTTTCCGGACAATAACTTTAGTTTTAGTGAATGGATCTCTATGAAATTTTAACAGAATGTTTAATACTACAAAAGGAAGGTTGGGATTGATTTTGGGGGTTATGGTACCAACAGTTTAGGAATAAGGGGCAGAAAAGGGGCCAAAAACAAGCATTTTTGTAGTTTCCGGACAATAACTTGTGTGTAAGTGTATGGATCTCTCTAAAATTGTACTACAAGGTTCCATACCACAAAGGGAAGTCTGGGATTGAGTTTGGGGGTAATTACTCCAAAGGGGGGTTCAAAAAGTTTGGGGGGGATTTTTTTTTTCCAATTTTTTTTGGGGGGTTCATAAATTTTTTCTTCAAATTTTTTGAAAAGTTTCAAGAAGAAATCTTCAATTGCACAGTATTGTGCAATAGCAAGAAATCTTCAATAGAACAGTATTGCGCAATAGCACAGTATTGTGCAATAGCACAGTATTGTGCAATAGCACAGTATTGCACAATAGCACAGTATTTTGCAATAGCACAGTATTGCACAATAGCAAGAAATCTTCAACTGCACAGTTTTGCGTAATAGCACAGTATTGCACAACAGCACAGTATTGTGCAATAGCATAGTATTGCGCAATAGCACAGTATTGTGCAATATCACAGTATTGCGCAATAGCAAGAAATCTTCAATTGCACAGTATTGCGCAATAGCACAGTATTGCGCAACAGCACAGTATTGCGCAATAGCACAGTATTAGGCAATAGCAAGAAATCTTCAATTGAAAATAAATACAAATCTTTTAACCAATTTCAATGGGATAAATTTCAAGTCTTTTATTTTTGGGGGTTCTAACCTTAGCTTGTATTACTATTTTGGATATTGGGGCCCATTTTTAAATTGGTCTACATTGAGGTCAAAAAGGTCCAAAATTAAAATTTGTTTGATTTCATCAAAAACTGAATTATTGCGGCTGTATGATATGCTGAATCCTATTGTGCATTTAGATTTTTTTATTTTGGACCCTGTTTTCAAATGAGTCCATATTAAGGTTTGAAGGGTCCAAAATTAAACTGTGTCCGATTTCGAATTAAATTAAATATTTGGTGTTTTTTTATATGCTGAATCTAACCATGTTGTTAGATTTTGGATATCAGACCATTCTAGGTAAATTAAATGTCCCATTTCAAATTTTTAAGATCTTTGACCACATTTATTTTGTGTCAGAAACCTATATTATGTCAAAAATTTGATCACAATCCAAATTCAGACAGTGTCAAGCTTGAATAGTGTGTCCAAACTTGCCCCAACTGTTCAGGGTTCGACCTCTGCGGTCGTATTAGGCTGTGCTCAGCGAAGCATTTTATTTATACATTGTTTATTGTAAATTAGATGAGATCTTTGTAGCTCATAATTATCTAGACTTTCTGTTGACCTCCTACATGTCTTTTTTTCATTATTTTTTCTCACTGTCCCATTCTCTTTTTATTGTTATATATCATTTTCAATCTCAAAATTTGTGATAAAAAACTAAAGTACATGTATTACATATAGAGAAAAAATCCCTATCTCTAAGTTCATTAAGTATCAAATAACACACCATATTACATGTACTGGTTCATATTTTTCTACGTAAAGGATGTCAAAGTATGATGTTTGTTGATGATGTAAAATATAAAATGTAAACAAATGTTACGTATATGGACATGTACTTTATGCCCTTGTTTTTAAGATCTTAAATTTTTTTTTTGAATGCCTTTCAAAATATATGCATATTTATTATAAATAAACATTTGGTTTATACCTGTACTACATCTATAAAATCCCCTCGGACTGTTTTAATTACATGTATTGTGGTAAATCAACTTTCAGGGTCACAAAGCAGTAAGGAAGGAGGATAACGTATTTAATTTTTATACGACCGCAAAAAAATTTTGTGGTCGTATATTGGTATGACGTTGGCGTCGTCGTCGTCGTCGTCCGGCGTCGTCGTCATCGTCGTCGTCGTCGTCGTCCGGCGTCGTCGTCCGAATACATATTGGTTTTCGCACTCTAACTTTAGTTTAAGTGAATGGATCTTTTTGAAATTTGACCATAAGGTTAAATACCACAAAAGGAAGGTTGGGATTGATTTTGGGGGTTATGGTACCAACAGTTAAGGAATTAGGGGCCAAAAAGGGGCCAAAAATGAGCATTTTCTAGTTTCCAGACAATAACTGTGGAACGGTGTATGGATCTCTCTGAAATTATACTACAAGTTTCCATACCACAAAGGGATGGTTAGGATTTGCTTTGGGGGGTTATGGCTCAAACCGTTTAGGAATTAGGGGCAAAAAAGGGGGAAAAACAAGGTTGTCCTGGTTAATGGACAAATACTTTAGTACAAAACATAATTTAAAGCAGTGTAAGGGAGATAAATCAAATACATCATTGAAATTATCTCCCTTACACTGCTTTTAAATTATGTATAAAGTAATGGTTAATGAACAATAAAGATAATCTAAAACAGTGTAAGGGAGGTAATCCAAATACAATGTTTTGGTTACTTCCCTTACACTGCTTTTAAATTATGTTTAAAGAAATGCATATTTATAAAGGAAGACCAGTAAAAATATCTGCAAATGTGTTCATCTTTTTTTTTACAAAAAAATCCATATGAAAGATTTGACACTATATTTTTATTAATTCTATTATAAAATAGATTAAGTTAGCACTATGGTAAATTTAAATGGGTAATTATGGTTGCCAACTCCATTGGAAATTTGAATTGAGATTATGACCATATCTTGAGGGAAAGAATTTTTTGGGGGGAAAAAGGGGGCGGGGGGATAAAAAGAAATTGTGGAGGGCCAATTTTTTTCTCATTTCAGATTTCAGAAATTAAAAAGAATTAATCTTCAAATATTATTTTTTTTTCAAATTTCAAATATTGAAAAATTTCAAGAAGTAATCTTTAATTGCACAGTATGGCGCATTAGATTTGTAAAATCTTTGATCACATTTATTTATTTGTTATGCTGAATCTAACAGTGTATTTAGAAATTTATATTTTGGGTCCAGTTTTCAAATTGGTCTACATTAATGTCCAAAGGGTCCAAAATTAAACTTTGTTTGATTTTAGCAAAAATTGAATATATGAGGTTCTTTGATATGCTGAATCTAAACGTGTATTTAGATTTTTGATTTTTGGCCCAGTTTTCAAGTTGTTCCAAATTGGGGTCCAAAATTAAACTTTGTTTGATTTCAACAAAAATTGAATATATGGGGTTCTTTGATATGCTGAATCTAACCATGTATTTAGATTTTTTATTTGTGGACCCCGTTATCTAATTGGTTCATATTGAGGTCAAAAGGGTCCAAAATTAAACTTTGTTTGATTTCATCTAAAATTGAATTATTGGGGTTCTTTGATATTCCAAATCTAACCGTGTATTTAGGTTTTTAATTTTGGGTCCTGTTTTTTAAATTGGTCTACATTGAGGTCCAAAGGGTCCAAAATTAAACTTAGTTTGATTTTGACAAAAATTGAATTCTTGGGGTTCTTTGATTTGCTGAATCTAAACATGTGTTTAGATTTTTGATTATGGGCCCAGTTTTCAAGTTGGTCCAAGATAGGGTCCAGTATTTAAACTTTGTTTGATTTCAACAAAAATTGAATATATGGGGTTCTTTGATATGCTGAATCTAAACATGTATTTAGATTTTTGATTATGGGCCCAGTTTTCAAGTTGGTCCAAATTGGGGTCCAAAATTAAACTTTGTTTGATTTCAACAAAAATTGAATATATGAGGTTCTTTGATATGCTGAATCTAACCATGTATTTAGATTTTTTATTTGTAGGCCCCGCTATCAAATTGGTTCATATTGAGGTCAACAGGGTCCAAAATTAAACTTTGTTTGATTTCATCGAAAATTGAATCATTGGGGTTCTTTGATATGCCAAATCTAACCGTGTTTTTAGATTTTTAATTTGGGTCCCGTTTTTTAAATTGGTCTTCATTGAGGTCCAAAGGGTCCAAAATTAAACTTAGCTTGATTTTAACAAAAATTGAATTCTTGGGGTTCTTTGATAAACTGAATCTAAACATGTGTTTAGATTTTTGATTATGGGCCCAGTTTTCAAGTTGGTCCAAGTTGGGGTCCAAAATTAAACTTTTTTTGATTTCAACAAAAATTGAATATATGGGGTTCTTTGATATGCTGAATCTAACCATGTATTTAGATTTTTTATTTGTGGGCCCTGCTATCAAATTGGTTCATATTGAGGTCAAAAGGGTCCAAAATTAAACTTTGTTTGATTTCATCAAAAATTGAATTATTGGGGTTCTTTGATATTCCAAATCTAACCGTGTATTTAGATTTTTAATTTTAAGTCCCGTTTTTTAAATTGGTCTACATTAAGGTCCAAAGGGTCCAAAATTAAACTTAGTTTGATTTTAGCAAAAATTGAATTCTTGGGGTTCTTTGATATGCTGAATCTAAACATGTGTTTAGATTTTTGATTATGGGCCCAGTTTTCAAGTTTGTCCAAGTTGGGGTCCAAAATTAAACTTTGTTTGATTTTAACAAAAAATGAATATATGGGGTTCTTTGATATGCTGAATCTAACCATGTATTTTGATTTTGGACATTGGACCATAATAGGTAAATTAAAAAAATTCAAGTTCTTAGACCACATTCTTTCTGTGTCAGAAACCTATGCTGTGTCAAATATTTAATAACAATCAAAATTCAGAGCTGTATCAAGCTTGAATGTTGTGTCCATACTTGCCCCAACTGTTCAGGGTTCGACCTCTGCGGTCGTATCAAGCTGCGCCCCAGCGAAGCATTTTATTGTAAAAAGATTTTGATTTCCTGTTTATAATAGTAGGTACATGTATAGGTATATTGACCCATAATTTGGTTGATATCTGACACTGACATCTGATAACTATCTCTGTAAACTTTACCTTTCGGTCAGTAGCTGGTTAAAATGTGAAGAACACCATATAAAACGTTTTATGTAAGCAGATTAAAACAACAAGAAACAGGTAAGTTCATTCATTTAAAAATAGAGATTCGTTATTCATTTTAAAAAATTATGAAAAATTGTTAAAAATTTAATTGTTATCATGGTTATAGTTAATGTTAATAAGTATCTGCTATTTATTTAAAAAAAATTAAAACAAATATTAGAAATTAAATTGGTAGTTTATATCAATGAGATAAAAAGGATTTGAATGACAAAACTTTGAAAAAAGGAATGCAGTCCTAATCTAAAGGCAAATTCATGTGAAAAACTCTCCTTTTTATGGTCACTCCATTCAGAAGAATTTAGGGGAAAACATTTTTGTAGGCTTATCATGATAAATAGGCTAATCAGTAAAAATATTATTGTACCGGTACTTCTGAAAACTAGTAAGGTTTCTCCCCATTATTGGTTGATTCATCACTGTAGAATTAGGAACAAGAAGGGAAAATGTAAACTAAAGAAAAATGAAAACAGGTCACAAGAAAAAGTAAAAGATAATATTTATGACCTCCTTTAATCAGTATTATTTCTTCAGTGAAGATCATTGTCTTTAGTGTGGGTCCTTTGTTCAACTCATCTTTCCTTAAAGGTTTGAGTGAACAATTGCTATCACTTGGCCATAACATATAAGATAGATGATTTACTTTATAAAACTGGCTCTTCTGTATTTTGGTGTTTGTGCTTCTCATGACTTATTAAGGTAATAATTAAAGTCCTTTGAAGAGTTGAAGCAATAACAATAGAACTGTCTCTCTGAAAGGTACACAGTAGTTAGGAATCAGGAGAAAAAAATGTTGTTTTAATCTCTGCAAAGCACAGTTGCTCTGACAAGTTGGTCTTTAACATATCAGTTCAACCTCCACATCAACTTCCTGTATGCTTATCTGGATTAAGGTTAAAATGGGACGGGAAGCAGGAGTCAGGAGGGAGGAAAGTGGTAGTCAGGGGCTGGAACTTGGGGCACAGGGGGAGTAAAAATAGGGATATGCAGGGGGAAAAATTGACCGATTTTCGTCTAGGAGTAAGGGGAAGATATAGCCAAATCTACTTTTGGTCAAATTTGCTTGAGGGATTTGGATCTTTATTTAATAATTTCTAAGTTTATCCATGGTTAGGATTTAGGAAAATTTGTTTTGATATGTAGTAAAAACTTTCCTTCTTTGAATTGATCGAGGATCTACCATTTCTTAAGAGACCTGAGAATTATCATTAAAAATTGTGTAAACCTGTGCTATTCTAACATTGAAAACCTTTTTGAAATTTTAGTGGTCTGCCTTTCATAAAAAATATTGTACATTTCAACATGCATTGTGGTTATAGGTCTTTACTGATAACTAATAAAGTGACAGTTATGAGCAAATCTTGTTGAAATTTACTTAAATTATAATTAAATCTTAAAGTATAATAAATAAGATCATGTTGAAGACGGACTATGAGCTATTGGTCATTAATGATATCCAAACTATAAGTTATCAGTAAACCTTAAAAAATGTAGAGTATTTCATTGTTTTTATGCCCCCACCGTAGCGGAGGGGGCATTAAGATTTACCCTTGTCCGTCTGTATGTACGTACGTACGAACGAACGAACGTACATACATCCCAAAATTGGTTTCCGTTCTCTAACTTGAGTTTGCCTCAACCAAATGTTATGAAACTTATACACAATGCTTATTACCACCAAATAAAGATCAAGTTTGAATTATGATAGGGTCACTCTAACCGTTCTAGAGTTATGCCCCTTTATAAATGGAAAAATTACAAAATTTTTAGTTTCCGTTCTCTAACTTAAGTTTGCCTCAACCAAATGTTATGAAACTTATACACAATGCTTATTACTACCAAATACAGATCAAGTTTTAATTTTGGTAGCATCACTGTAACCGTTCTAGAGTTATGACCCTTTATAAATGGAAAAATTGCAAAATTTTTAGTTTCCATTCTGTATCTTAAGTTTGCCTCAACTAAATGTTATGAAACTTATACACAATGCTTATTACCACCAAATACAGATCAAGTTTGAATTTTGATAGGGTCACTGTAACCGTTCTAGAGTTATGCCCCTTTATAAATGGGAAAAATTACAAAATTTTTAGTTTCCGTTCTCTAAATTAAGTTTGCCTGAACGTAATGTTATGAAACTTACACACATAGCTTATTACCACAAAATACAGATCAAGATGAATTTTGGTAGCATCACTCTTACCGTTCTAGAGTTATGCCCCTTCATAAATGGAAAAATTGCAAACATTTTAGTTTCTGTACTCTAACTTAAGCTTGCCTCAACCAAATTTTATGAAACATATACACAATGCTTATTACCACAAAATAAAGATCAAGTTTAAATTTTAGGGGGGTCACTGTAACCATTATTGTGTTATGCCCCTTTTAAAATGGAAAAAAATGTAAAATTTTTAGTTTCCGTTCTCTAACTTAAGTTGCCTCAACCAAAACTTTATGAAACCTATACACAATGATTTTTACCACAAAACACAGATCAAGTTTGAATTTTAGTTGCGTCACTTTAATCATTATTGAGTTATGCCCCTTTATAAATGGAAAAATTGCAAAATTTTTAGTTTCCGTTCTGAGAATTAAGTTTGCCCCAACCAAACATTATGAAACCTATACACAATACTTATTACCTTAAAACTCAGATCAAGTACAAGTTTGGGTAGCGTCACTTTTATCGTTCTTGAGTTATGTCCCTTTATAATGTTGTATGCAAGCGGGTGCATCATCTGTGTCCATGGGGACACATTCTCCATTTATTTTGTTTATTAAGAAGAGTTAAGAGATAACTGTATTGTATTTAAAGCTCAGACGGCATCAATTGGTGATTTGATGGTCGCAAATTAAGTTTAATGGCGATGCGTTAGCGGAACCAGTAAACAGGTATTTGCGGCCATTAAGTCACCAATTGATGCCGTTGGAGCTTAAAATACAATATTGTTATCTCAAATCTAATGAAACTGACAGAAAACAACTTCAAGTTATACATTTAAAATCTGTCATATGTTGTCTGCGCTTGCGAGTACGTTTTCATAGCATCAATTGTGAATTGATGCCATGAAAATTTGTGACGCTATCCAATCAAAATGAAGGTTACAAACGATATTGCATTAGAATTGCCTTTATCATGTTCATTAGACACATATATCACTTCTATATATCACCCTATGTTATCTAAATTCATATTCCTGCTGAATATGAATTAATATCTTTGTAATATATATGTGTTATAGATCAATTTAATTACCCAATAGTCCAATTTTCATTTGTATTTCAGAAATTAAAATATTTAATTGATATATGGCTAACTAATGTTTGGAGACTTAATTGTTAAAAACAGTGTATTAAAACTATTACGTTCAAGTTGTACAATTACAAAAGATTGACACATTCTACTTTTGTTGGTCAATGATTTCATCCATAGAATTATAATTTAAAATAACCTGATAAATTGTGCTGATATTGAGTTTCTTGAGTTTGCAATGTAAAACCAACCTCATACTTATATATAACTAAGAGTACACACATAATGTTTAGGTCAGTGTGTTGTTTATTTCTGGAAACAATTTATTAAATTTAACTTCTGTGTCAGGGTTAGAAGGTCATTGTCCAAACAAATGTTTGATTAATTATTTTAAAGTTTAAATACTGTCATGGTAGATAAACTAGTTTGATAAATGACAGCACATGCCATAATTTTTTAGTGATTTAAATCAGTTACTCAACAAAACATTTTTAGCTCACCTGGCCCTATGGGCCAAGTGAGCCTTTCTCATCACTTGGCGTCCTTCCATTGCCGTAGTCTGTCGATGTCCGTTATTTTTTACAAAACTCTTCTCCTTTGAAACTACTAGGTAAAATTTAACTAAACTTGGCTACAATCATCATTGGGGTATCTAGTTTTAAAAATGTGTCTGATGACCTGGCCTGCCAACCAAGATGACCGCCATGGCTAAAAATAGAACATAGGGGTAAAATGTAGATTTTGGCTTATATCTCTGAAACCAAAGCATTAAAAGCAAATCTGACATGGGGGTTAAATTGTTGACCAGGTCAAGATCTATCTGCTCCAAAATTTTCAGACAAATCAGACAACTGGTTGTTGGGTTGCTGCCCCTGAATTGGTAATTTTAAGAAAATTTTGTAGTTTTTGGTTATTATCTTCAATATTATTATAGATAGAGATAAACTGTAAACAGCAATAATGTACAGCAAAGTAAGATCTACAAATAAGTCAACATGACCAAAATGTTCAATTGACCTCTTAAGGAGTTATTGCCCTTTATAGTCAATTTTTAACAATTTTTTGTTAATTTTTAAATCTTTTACAAAAATCTTCTCCTCTGAAACTACTGAGACAAATTTAACTGAACTTGGCCACAATCATCATTAGGGTATCTAGTTTTAAAAATATGTCCGATGACCCTGCCTACCAACCAACATGGCTGACATGGCTAAAAATAGAACATAGGGATAAAATGCAAGTTTTGTCTTTTATTTTTTTAAACTTTATAAATAGAGAAAATCTGAAAGGAGCAATAATGTTCAGAATAATGAACTCTACCATTTGTCCATATAGGTCAAAACTGTTAGACAAATTGTTATAGGAGTTATTGCCCATAAATGACAAATTTTACCATTTTTTTCATTTTTGCCTATCATCATGAAAACTATGATATTTAGAGAGAAACATTTTTTTTTTCCATTATGCCTTATATGATTTAAATTATAATAGATAAATAAACACTTTAAATCACAAAAATGATCAGCAAGGCAAGATCTATTAAAAAGTCAAATTTTGCCGATATAGTTAGTAAACTGTCACTCTTCATAGGAGTGATTGCCCTTAAATGAGGATTTATTTTTACCCTTTTTTGTGTTTTGAGCAAAAACTAAAGAAGATAGAGAGAAACTAAACAGACTAAAAGATCAATAATACAAGATCAACAAAATAGAGATTTTTGTCATGAAGTCTATTCTCGTCTACAATGTTGGAGAGTGCCCTTTGTTTGATATGCACATAGACCAAGGTGAGCGACACAGCTGGCTCTTTAGAGCCTCTAGTTAACCTTGAATTTTCTGTGATAATACAAACAAACTTTTTTTTTGGAGCAGTGCAACTAAGAGAAACTGAAGTATGGGTATTTGCGATTCTACTGTGTATCACAAATATTTCTGGAGCAATGCAACTTAGAGAAGCTTAAGTATGGGTATTTGTGATTTTACTGTGAGTCACAAGATCCTTGAAAGGTTGTTTTTCATAAAAATTTTCTGTGCTTGGACTGAACAGGAGTACTTAACATTTATCATTCTCCAAGTCATGAATATATTTATCCATAATACACACATGACACTGATTTCAAACATTTTCAAACATGAGTTTTCATTATCAGTTGGTTTTCTTGGAAACAAATGACTAACTTTAAGAACAAAAATGAAGATGATGTCATTGCACAAGTTTTGCTTTTTCCCCATTAAATTTACAATTTCTAAATTTAAACGTGATCACTCTATAAAAGTTTTTTTATCATTTAAATCCTCAAGACTTGTCCAAAGCATAAATGATAGAAAATTTCAGATACAGAATGTCCCAGTATCAGTTGTCAAGTTTTTTTGACAAGACTTGTCTGTGTTACAAATGAACCATTTAGAAATCTCAGATACAGTATATCCTGGTATCAGATGTCAAGTCCTTGACAATGCTTGTCTGAGTCAAAGATGATAGAAAATCTCAGATACAGTATGTCCCCGTATCAGTTGTCAAGTTTTTATACGACCGCAAAAATTAAAAAAATTTTGGTCGTATATTAGTATGAAGTTGGTGTCGTCGTCGTTGCCGTCGTCGTCTTCATCGTCCGAAGACACATTGGTTTTCGCACTCTAACTTTAGTTTAAGTGAATGGATCTCCATGAAATTTTACCATAAGGTTCAATACCACAAATGGAAGGTTGGGATTGATTTTGGGGGTTATAATACCAACAGTTAAGGAATTAGGGGCCAAAAAGGGGCCAAAAATAAGCATTTTTGTAATTTCCAGACATAACTTGTGTGTTAGTGTATGGATCTCTCTGACATTGTACCACAAGGTTCCATATCACAAAGGGAATGCTGGGATTGATTTTGGGGGTAATTGCCTCAAAATTTTAGGAATTAGGGGCAAAAAAAGGGGCAAAAAACAAGCATTTTTCTAGTTTCATGATAATAACTTGTGTGTAAGTGTATGGATCTTTCTGAAATTGAACTACAAGGTTCCATATCACAAAGGGAAATCAGGAATTGAGTTTGGGGGTAATTGCCCAAAACTTTTTGGAATAAGGGGCCAAAAAGGGGCCAAAAATAGCATTTTTCTATTTTCCAGACAATTACTTGTGTTAAAGTGTGTGGATCTCTCTGAAATTGTACTGCAAGGTACCATACCACAAAGGGAATGCTGGGATTGATTTTGGGGGTAATTGCCTCAAAATTTTAGGAATTAGGGGCCAAAAGGGGCAAAAAACAAGCATTTTTCTAGTTTCAGGACAATAACTTGTGTGTAAGTGTATGGATCTTTATGAAATTGTACTACAAGGTTCCATATCACAAGAGGAAAGCTGGGTTTGAGTTTGGGGGTAATTGCCCTAAACGTTTAGGAATAAGGGGCCAAAAAGGGGCCTAAAAACAAGCATTTTTCTAGTTTCCAGACAATAACTTGTGTTCAAGTGTATGGATCTCTCTGAAATTGTACTGCAAGGTACCATACCACAAAGGGAAGGCTGGGATTGAGTTTGGGGGTGATGAATCATAAGGGGGTTCAAAAAATTTAGGGGAGGGATTTTTTTTTTCTTTAAAATTTTCCATTTTATAAATGGGTTATTTCTGATATATATATAAAAGCAAATAATAATGATATGGTTTGAATAGGTAAATTAAATTTTTTTAAGTTCTTAGACCACATTCATTCTGTGTCAAAAACCTATGCTGTGTCAAATATTTATTCACAATCCAAATTCAGTGCTGTATCAAGCTTGAATGTTGTGTCCATACTTGCCCCAACTGTTCAGGGTTTGACCTCTGCGGTCGTATCAAGCTGCGCCCAGCAGAGCATTTTATTTGACAAGGCTTGTCCAATTTACTAATAATAGGAAATCTCAGATACAGTATGTTCCAGTATCAGATATCAAATACTTGTCAATGCTTGTCTGAGCCAAAGATGATAAACATTTTTAGCTCAACTTTCCAAAGGAAATGTGAGCTTTTGCCATCACTTGGCGTCCGTCGTCGTCGTTGTCGTCATCCATCCGGTGTAACATTTTTCAAACATCTTCTACTCTGAAACTACTGAACCAATTCCAACCAAACTTAAGCTGAATGATCCTTAGGGTATCTAGAATAAAATTTGTGTTTTATTTTCTGTTTTGTCAAAAAACATGGCCACCATGGCTAAAAAAAGAACATAGGGGTAAAATGCAGTTTTTGGCATATATCTCAAAAACATGACATATATACATACAGGTTAACATAGGTTAATTGACATATATTCATACAAGTGCAAATGAAATCCAAATTCTGGTGCTATTGATACCTTTTGGAAAATCAAATTTGGCACAGAGTATATATCTTTAAAAAAGCAATTGGTGCTAAAGGACTGCTGCCACGAAACCTTGTTAAAATGTGGATGCATTATTATCTGCCCTTGCTACTGAATTGTTTGCCCTTAATCGTTATCTGGAGGGTATACCAATATGCACATAGTGTGCAAACATTTATTTAACCCATTTTTGATATAACTAAATATAGATTTACTTTTCCTTTATAAATTAAACTCAAAATAAAATCATTAGATAGTGAAATTCAATGTTATTTATAATTGTTGGGTTTGATATTAAGGCTGATGAAAAATAAAATATTAAATCAGGTATGATTTATTGTTTCCTAAAGAAAGATGCATTTTAGTTTTAAAAGAAATATGCCTCGATCACTATTTGTTAGGGTGCAATTGATTATTATTATTCTTTATTTTTTTAAATATGGGTTTTTGAAAAAAATGAGTGCAATATTTAAATTAAATGATAGAAAATATTACAAGAATTACCATTCATTTTTATCTGAATCTGTATCTGTATTAGATTAGCAGTTAGACATTTGAGCAATTGTGCTAAGTACTCAAACTATATTCATTAGAAATAAGAATGATCTAGCAGATGATTTTAAATATTTTGATCTCTTTCTAGTGACATGAAGACCATTGTGAATCAGTTGTGTAATGAGTTTATGAATGATATTATCAGAATCACCAACAAAGCAGAAGATGATGGTGACCCTGCCACACTTGAATCATATCTTGTTAAAGACAGAGGATGGCAATTACTGTATGTGATATATAAAAATGGTATTCAGGTATGTTTTACAGCTTACTAAGGAATATTATGGCATCAATCTACGTCTATTAAACATATGTGTGCAAATATCACAATTACATATGACCATAAGAAATTAGATGTGCTTATTAAAACAAGGATTTATTTGAATCTGGAATACTTTTTAATTCTGGAAAATAGATAAGAAATTTATGATGGAAACTAACCCAATTAAGGAGGGTTAGCCATGCATGCATGAATAAGGGGGGTTAGTTAGTTCATTTGAAATATCAGTGAAAGTAATCTGAGCATGGCTAATCCTAATCCTAAATACTGGTAGTTGGGTTAGTTTTCATCATACATTTCTTATCAATTTTCCAGAATTCAAATTCAAATTTAAATAGTTCTGTGAAGTGGAAGTAAACTTTCTGTCTGGTAGTTTACTTCACTCGATTATTAGGTACTTGGTTTATAGTCATAACATAAGAAGTCTCATAAGGAGTTTGAGTTTTGCTTGGGTTGAACTGTCAGAGGGGTTTTTGTGAAAGTAATGGTAATTTCATATAGAAAATTGCTAGGAAATATCAGTTTTTGCCCAATTTTTTTCTGCATTGTTTTTTACAGTTGAGTGATTTATTGCAGGAGTTGTGGTCCTTAGAAATTCAAACTGGCTTAAAATTCAGTTTCCACACTTTTTATGCCCCAGCCGTAGCGGAGGGGACATTAAGTTTTACCCTTGTCCATCTGTACATCTGTACGTACGTCTGTACTACCCAAAATTGGTTTCCGTTCTCTAACTTTAGTTTGCCTCAACCAAATGTTATGAACTTATACACAATGCTTATTACTACAAAACACAGATCAAGTTTGAATTTTGGTGGCTTCACGTTTACTGTTCTAGAGTTATGCCCCTTTACAAATGGGAAAATTGATGAATTGTTCCTTTCCGTTCTCTAACTTAAGTTTGCCTCAACTAAATGTTATGAAACGTTTACACAATGCTTATTACCACAAAACTCAGATCTAGTACAAATTTGGGTAGCGTCACTTTGACAGTTCTTGAGTTATGTCCCTTTATAACGTTATATGTAAGTGGGGGCATTGGACACATTCCCCATTTATTTCTGTAATGCCTGAATCCATTGAATCTGATTATATTTTAGTACATAGTCCTTTCATAAGGAGGTTCAGAGTTTTGAGCTTCAATCCAGGTGAGCATTAAATTCAGAAGCTGTCCTTGGACATAGAAAATTGCTTTTTGAGAAACAAAAATTTGATGATAATGGTAAGTGTTTGATATGTGGTATGCAGTTGTATAAGCATTAGCACAACTTATTCCAGTGGCTGTTATTTGGCCCCACCCCCTTAGTTATTGCCCATAAACTGAAACTTTTGCATGTATTCATGTTTAAGTTTGTGATTAGGTCAGTTTAAAGGGAACTATGAAAGGCAAGCCAATAAATTTTGATAAGCGTTGGCACATCTCATGTTCATTGAGATAATTTTATCCCAGTCCTTCAATCATGACCCTGATGGTCTCGTTGGAGTGTGTTCTCCTTGAGTGCAGGAGATCATGGGATCAAAACCCTTGCAGTGTCAAACCAATGACTGTAAAATTGGTATTTGCTGCTTCACTGCCAAGCACACAAGGTATTAAAGAATTAGAGCAAAGCCAGGTCAGCTCGCAGTCAGCATAATAGGTCTGGGTAGGATGACATGTCTTCCTGTGAACTGTTACCTTGTGAACTAGCGTGTAAAAAATCTTGCTAAGCATGTTGGCCTAGTACAAAGCAGGGTTCATATTCATATGTCACTAACATGCCGTGGCCTTGAATTTGCATTTAATTTGCCACTGGACATTAAACAGCCATCCACCAATCCATCCATCAAAAGGTTGATGAGACCTCAATTGAATGATCACTATTCTTGAGTTTTTAGATTTACATAATAAGAGGGGTTTTGATTCAAAGTAGATGTGATATTTATGTGAAAATTTGTCACATCAAGATGTAAACTGTTTTAAGATATTTGTCATAATGATGGATGATGTATATTTGAATAAATTTTGTTGTTGGTGAATTCATTTTTCAAATCTTTTCATGTAAAGTTTATGCGATGTCAGCATCCCATGTTGTCAATAAATTTAAAAAATGAAAAAAGAAGTGATTTATGCCTGAGAATTTTAAGATCTACCAGTAAAAATGTTTATTAATTCTTCATCAGTTCATTGTAACATTTCCAGTTGATAAGGAAGTTTTCACACAAACCTTGACTTATGTTCAGAGGAATGAGGAAGTAATGCATGATAGGAAATTTTATACTTTGCTATATTAATGCAATGTCCAAAGGCCCATAAGGATTGCAAAAATGCTTGCAGTTTATCATATTCTCATTATTTTACAATTGTTAAAGCAATGATTGATTTTTTTTGTTTTGAAAGATGTTTTAAGTTGCATAATGATTTAATGTCATATATCACAGTTAGCTGTTTGGAGACTCAATCACTAGCAGCCTATGATCATATACATTGTATGTAAATAAAAAGAAAATGTACCTGATTTGGCTCCCATTGATAAAACTTTTCTTCCTCATACTGTCAAATAACCATAGAAACCTGTTTAAACCCAATGTATTAACTAATTAGATACTTGTCCTGAATATGCATAAAATATTTGCCGTTAGACATTATATTATGCAAACAACAATCTATCAATCTTAATTTTAATGTTGAGACGATAGTATATTAAAATTTGAAGAGGAAAATAAATAAAGTAAATAAACCATACATAAGGAGTAAAATAGTTAATTGGTTATGCCTTAAGGTAGCTGGGGTGTCTAAATGTTCGACGATAGATTTTTTAAAAACTTCTGTAAAAGACGTCTGGGTTAATGTTCTTTAAAAGTGCAACATAAAAACTGGGAGTCATGGACCTTGTTTATCTGTTAAAATACATTGAAATAAATGAAATCACAGTTATGTTATATGTAGGTTATATAGGTGGAAACTTAATTTAACAATAGAATTGGTTAAAATTCAATGAGAGCATTGCTTTTCATAAATACTTCTGATATATCAAATACAAATGGGGGTCACAGGCCTTATTTTCTTGGAAAAAAAAAAAAAAAAATTGTCATATCAAATTCAATATAATTATCTGCCCTTGAATTCTGAAAATTTTAGAAAAACTGAACAACACTAAATTTTTTGATAGTTTAATTTTTGAATTTTTTTGAATCAAGTATTAGATATTTGTGGTGTATTTTGAATGATACTTGGTAAAATATATTTAAACCAAAAAAGTATTTTTGCAACATGCCCAGAAAGGATGCTCAGAAAAAGACACCCGATCTACTTTAATGTTGATAGTTGAAAATTTGTATGCAAAATCAAATTCAGAATCCACAATATATATATATATATATATGTGTATTTGGTAGAAACAATATCACACAAGATATTTTCTGTTTTACAGGGGCTCACAGTTGGAAGAGATTTCAGTAACTTAATTGTATCATTGTTACCGTGGTGTCTGAAATTTAAAACTAACTTCAAAGGTAAAGTGTAAGATATGCAAATACACAATGTATTCAAATTTTATTTCCCTAAATGTTTTATAATATATTAACTATAGAACATGCTAAGATAAAGTATTTTTCAATATTTGTAGCTTATAGGAATTTTCTATCAAGATAACCATATAATCACCAACAAAGATCATTTAAGGCATCTCAAAATCCTTTAATTACTCTTTTGTGCAAGTAATTTGTCAAATTTTCTTAAGAAGGCTGAAAACAGTTGGAAAAAAAAAATTAAATGATTTGAAAAGCTTACTTATAAGTTTAGCAACAATGGTGATCTTTCTATGAAACCAAAATGACAGTGAAGGGCAGTCTTCTGTTGGCCTTAGGTTGGATCCTGTGCCTTCCTCATTACAGAAATAACATGTTTCCAATTTCTTTCAACTGTCCAATGTAGTTTTACATGGCAATATTTCATACATTTTTTTCCTTACTGTATTTTAGCTGCATTATTTCTGTAATATTGTCAAACTAACCTGTTCTGTGAAAATATCGATAAATGTTCTGCATGTGATGTCTTTATTTGTATACTATGCCGACTCTAAATAAAGCTTATTTATTAGGTGAAGTGTTATGATGTCACATTTTTATAACAAAACTTGACAGCTGCACCAGCAAATTTAAAGTTATGGAAATGTAATTTTCAATATTTGGCCATGTTAATATTATATACATGTATATATGAAATGTTCTTTAATATTACATTCACTTAATAATATTTTACAGCTTATGATAACATATATGAAAATCTATATTTTATAGATTTGAAATTGGTGTCAGAAGAGGAAGTTCTTCCCTCTATCAGCTCATGCTTCTATCACCTACATAAATCCAACAAATGGATGCAGTCTTGCCAAAGAAGGGATAAAGTTGTTCCTAAAAGCAAGCATAGAAAACCAATTAAGAAGCCAGTAAACTATAGACCAAAGAAACAAAGAATAATACCTGAGAAAGAGCTTGAATCCACCAACTCTGAAGAGGATACATTAAATGTTCCAGCTTCACCCCCTAAGTTTAAAAAATCTAGAAATATATTCAGGCATAATCCTTATGTTAGCTTTGGTGGCAAAACTATTCAGGATGAAGAGAACATCTCAGAGGAAGAAAACGAGGAAATAGCATTGATTCTATCTAGGATTGATGTAGATAAAAAAGAAATGAGCCCTCCAGAGATCTCACAACTTATACTAGACTTACTATTAGAAATTTGTTTGCAAGATTTAAATCAAATATCACCATCTAAAGTTCTTTCACCCTCAGTCCTGCCACATCTTACCCATGTTTTAACAAGCTTTTATCCAAAATCAAATATTGACAATGAAAAGATCTTAGCCAGTGAATGGACGAAATCCAGTAATATTCACTTTCAGAGGAAACTTTTACGTGTTATATTAACATTATGTGGGGCCATAGCGGTTCAACAGAATGGAGTAAATATTATTGCTGGTCATAGGTGCTTACAAGATTTATTAGACATTGCTCAACAGATTTATAACTTACAAAATATCAAGAAGGAATTATCAGCAGGAAATCATACAGAAGCAGAAAATGGGAGTCAGAATAATTATGATTTAGATCTTTGTTTTCTTACAGAAATTGTTCTCAGTACCACTATTTTGCTTGACATAATATTCCAGTGTTTACCACTAAATCTTGTTTTTATCAGCAATGCTGTCAAACTTGTCAGAGATTTTATAGATGGAAATGGTTTCATATTGCTTGACTTTGTCCTGTGTCATTTGGACTGGTTGAGAACTCAGTCATATACACATTCTGATTGGTCTCATTCTGAACCAATCAGACTTATTGATTCATTTTTGAATACATTGAAATCAGTAAAAGTTAACTATATACATTCAATGAAGTGTCTGAAGAATAAACACCAAAGATGTGAATTCAGTGTGTATTTCAATCACCATCACAATATTCTAGGCAGTTCGTACACTGTTTTCCAAGAGATGTCGTCTGATGAAAAACAAAATGCTGGAAAATCAGAAGGTGTGTGCCTAATAGCATCATGGTGCACTTTTCTTTTGGACATTTTGTTTAAATTAGAATGTAAGCTATCAAGAATAGAAATATTGAAGACATTAAGTTTGTCTGGTATATGCTGCTGTATGAATTTAGAAGTAGTAGTGAGTGGGGTGCTTAAATGTTTGCCAAAATTTTCACCTCCTGTACAAAACTTTGCTTTAGAAACTATGAATACTATAATACTTGATAACTTTTCTGGAAGAAAATTGAACCACAGTGTTTATGTGCAGTCTAAATCTCCACCTTTTGCCTGTAGTGTTTGCTTTGATAGAGGAAGCTATCAGACAAATAATGAATCAGGAAATTCCCATCATGCTGTTGACAGTGGATTTTCTAGTCATGGAATGAAGATTGAGAAGAAGTTCTCTGATTTTGAATTTTCAAAATGGTCAGTTTGCAACATGTACAAGGACATCTTATTTTCCCAAAATCAGCAATTAGCTGAATTGACTTCAAAACAGTTATTAAATCTTGTTATAAATGGAACTGAAGATTTGAAGGAGGAACTTTTCTTTAGAGTCTATACATTTACGTTTAGCTCATTTTTAGGAACATTAAGGTCCAATTCACCGTGTTCATCCGAGGAAGAACAAAACAAAAATGTTGAATTTTCCAAAAAAGTTAAGGTTCATTGCTTGTCAGCTTTACCCAATCTGCTTGAAGTCGAATCAGTTTTAAATGAATTCTTAGAAAACAAAGGCATTGGAAGAATATGTCAATTGTTAGAGGATGAAAGTTTGAGAAATCCAGTTTTAAAAATTTTTGAAGCATTGGTGATTTTAGATCAAGGAAAGTTAACTGACAGTGATATTATATATTCTCAAACAAGCACGTTTTCACAAGTCTTGCCAAAAAATGGCCTAGTCATGAAAGCATTTATTGGTGGTCTAGCGAGTAAGACAGCCAAGGATACATGTATGGGTGATGAAACAGTAGATATCAACGATTTTGTTCAAATGTTTGACTGCTGTGATGTCCAATTTTGCTGTCAAAATTTTGCTCATATAATGACAAGAAATTTGCCTCTGCTTGTAGACATGTGGGAAACATGTGCCAGAATTTGCCTTTATAGCAAACGATTTGTATTTCACTTTCAAAACTCTCCATGTCTAAAGATAGCAGAGAATGCCTTGTTAGTGATTATTAAGCAATTACTGTGTTATAACAAATGTGATTTACCTAAAGGATCTGAGGACTCTGGACTAGATCTCGACATTAGTAAAGTCCCAACAAACTCAAGCAGTTGTTTTCTAAAACTGATGTTGATGAAATCTCTACTGATTATATGCAGTGCTTCATATAAAAGTCTTACTAAAAAGGTATGTCAAAAAGCAATTTAATGTGACCAATATTTTAATTTTGTTTTGTTTATACTGACCAATAACTTTTGAATAACATGAGATTAGGGGTAAATCTCAGTGAAACCGTCATCGTTTATAAAACACAATAAAACAAATATAACATCTACCGCTGAACATACAATATTCAATGCCAGACTTACCCATCTTAAGGATATACTTAAGGAAATTAAAAAAATCTAGAATTTAAAATTGATACTATAAGTCAGAGGAGCATTTGTTAAGGAACAAAATAAGCTAAAAATATTGATAGGTTATGGAGCTCCTTTTCGAGATATTTAATATTTAAAAAATGGCGGGAAAAGGCTGACTCAGCATTTTACCTTATACTTGCATTGGTATTATTTGGGTCTCAAATCGAAGGAAAAGAATTCTAGAATCTGCTTAAATTTTGGTTATTGACCTTTTATGAGCTATTGAAGTCTTATATAAAAAGAAAAATATTTTACCCTGTATTTTAAGAAATAAACCAAGGAGTTCGAACATCTGACAAAAATTCCTAAACCTCACCTAAGTACATCCTTAAAAATGTTTATTTTAAATTTAACTAGTTTGAGTCAATTATATTCATGATGTTGATCAGCCTTCTTTATATTTTTCTATTCTTGACATGCAAATTTCATAGTTTTAGCATTATTTGTTTTTCTTAAGTTTCACAATCAATTGATGAAAGTTACTGATACAGTGTATATTTATCAAAAATTATTTAAGCAATGATAAATCATTTTTATATAGCATTTGGTACAAGTCATGGTTTTTCTCTCTGACATCACTTTGTGGGGGCAATGTTTACATTAAGGAATTGGATGTTCATGTTTATGTCCTTCACTTCTGTTACAGTCTGTTTTTGTAAACAAATTGTATAGTTACATGTTATTGTACCGTGCCACTCTGTGTTTTATAATAAATAAGTTATCAAGGAAAAATCAGTTATCAACGAAAAATCACTTATCAACATTCTGTATCAGCTACTAAATAGATTCAAGATTAAAGGTGCACTGTTGTTAAATTCAGTCAAGTTCAAATTTTGAAAGTTTGTAAACATGTATTGGACATATGAATGTAGTGACCACTAGAAATGTTGACACAATGCAATCTGGACAAGAGATATCTCAGGTAATTCAATTAAGTACATTCAGAAGATAACATTAAAACCCTGTTTGCAAGTAGTTAATTGATAAATTCAGCGTCTGAAGTTTTTTTATTATAATAAATGTGTTTATGTTTTCGGTTTTGAAAATAAAAAAAATACTTGAAACAAAATTCAAGGACTGTAAGGAAAATACAGATTTAGACTGAAGACTACAGCCAAATCAATGTGTAAAATACATTTTCAAAAAAAAATACCCCTAACTGACATCCACTTTTGATTGAGTTTAAATCAGAACAAAACAGTCTTTCAGTTTTAATTAGATACAAGTTTACATAAAAAAGTATTGAATTGGTTCTAAATGAATTTTGATGAAGTGGTTCAGGAGTGTTGAAAAGTTTGAAAAAGACAATTCTTTTTTGCATGTATGTCTCCACAAAGTAGCAGTCTTTCCATGTAGCCAGTTGGTTAATAAAATGGACAAGAATTGTTATACCAGTGGAACATGATTCGCTAATAACCAGTCATATGTTCGGTGTGAGCCAATGCTCCGTGTTGAAGGCCGTACCTCGACCTATAATGGTTTACTTTTATAAATTGTAACTTGGATGGAGAGTTGTCTTATTGGCACTCATACCACATCTTCCTATATCTATATATCATATACTATACATATTTACTTAAAAAATATAAGCACTTCTGTTCTTGATTTAGAAATATCTGTGTAAAATTGTAAATAAAAAGAAAATTTATGCATTTTATTTACATAAAATGAATATGATTTTCTAAGATCAGGGTCCTCGATTATAAAACTTTACTCAGTACTCGGAGTACAAATTTTGTGCTTGAAACAACAAATCCAGTGTTTTGATTGGTTGATTCCTGAGTCTGAGTACAATTATCGTACTCGAAAGTTTTATGACCGCAAGGCCAGTATTTTGATTGGTTGATTTCTGAGTCTGAGTGCAATAATCTTGCTTGAAACTTTAATGACCACAAGGCCTGTATTCCACTACTCAGATAGAAAAGTAACATTGAAATAAATGAAAAAAATTATTTTACATGACTGATGTACATAATTTTTTTAGGATGGACAAGAGATTAGCATGTGGTCACGGTTGAAAGAGGCATTCCAGGGATGCTCAAAACTCCCTCCAACCAAAGTCAAGACAGTTTGTGACATCATCTTGTCTTCTGCTATGCCAAAGAAAACCACAGTGTTTGATCACTCTAAACTGGAAAGCTTAAGTGAATTGGTAATTCAAATAAATATTGTAAAAAAAAAACAGCTAATGTATAGACATATTTTTAATTCAACTGATTATGTTTTTTTAGACTACTACAGGTGCAGATAGTTGTTAAAAAAAAGGTTCATGTGGAGGTGATTCAATATTAAGTGTGATTCAAAAACTAAAGAAAAAGGATGAAAAAAAGTTTACAAAACACTGCATAGAAAACTGATCATTAAGGAACAACACAAATCCCCACCAAAAATGGAGTGTAAACTCAGATACCTGGGAGGGGTAAACAACTTCTACTCCACTAGTGGCTTCTGTCAAATTGTTCATGACAAGTACTATTTAAGCACTTGTAAATAAAAAGACAATTAAAAAAATAAAAGCATTATGATACTGATAAGCTGTAAATCCATACAGTAAGTTTTTACAGTGAATTTTAAAATGTCCTAATTATAATATATTTCTTCTATATTTTATGATGGTATGATTCTAAACCGCTAACGGGAGGGATTGTGCTTGATTTTCATATGATAAAGACATAATCTTTCAGTTAAATTGAGGTCTGGAGTTGGCATGTCAGTAACTGCTAGTCGTACTTTGTTAATATATGTATCACTGTCATTTTGCTTACTTTCTTCTGTTACCTATTCTGACATTGGACTCGGACTTCTTTTGAACTGAGTTTTACTGTGCCTATTGCTGTGTGTTTGTTTATTCTCCATTGGCTAGAGGTATAGGGGCCTAGGGGGGATTGAGATCTCACAAAACATGTTTAACCCGCCGCATTTTGGCGCCTATCCCAAGTCAGGAGCCTCTGGCCTTTGTTAGTCTCGTATGTTTTTTTGATTTTAGTTCATTTCTATGTTTTGGAGTTTATTGTGACGTCCATTTTCACTGAACTAGTACATATTTTTGTTTAGGGGCCAGCTGAATCACGCCTCCGGGTGCGGGATTTTCCTCGATATGTTGAAGACCCATTGGTGGCATTGGGCTGTTTTCTGCTCTTTGGTCAGGTTGTTGTCTCTTTGACACATTCCCCATTTCCATTCTCAATTTTATTTAACATTTTCCTCTCCTCGTATTTTCTTCTATTGGAAATTTTTCTTTTTTATTCCAGTTCATTAAGGATGATGACATTGATGATGATGAGATACGCCAGTACTTACATACAACTAGTGATGAAGACTATGACTCTTTAATGTTTGGCGAAGGTGGTTACTATGGTGACACTGAATGTGGATCAGATGACAATGACATTCAATTAAAATCAATGGAGAATGGATATGGAATGGAGATTTACCCGGCTGTTTTCAGGATTCTGGTAGAATTAATGATCAGAATTCAGCATGAAGAAAATATAACAGATGTATTAAGTCAAATTCTTCATAAGTTGTTACAGACATTGAGAGCAAGTCACAAAGCAACACAGGCAGTTTGTCATGAGGTGAATTTATGTCAGTTCACGTAAACTTAACATTTATGTTGTGTATGACACATGTTACATTATAACATTTTTCAACAAAAGTTAAGAAGAATAAATACACATAAATCATTGAAGGAAAAAAAAACAAAAACCAGCTTTGATAGTACATTCCAAACTATTGTAAGGACAGGTACAAAATTGATATGAATCTTAGTTTTACTAAATAATGTAAAAAGTTATTGCGAACCCAATGAAAGTTTTCCACAGTGCCATCTCTATCTTGACCAGGTATTTAAACTTTTGCAAGTTCACCTGTCCTATTGAATAGATACAATAGCTATTGTTCTCTGTGTAGTTTATTCTCTGGGACCTTTAAATTTCTTCTAAGAGAAATCTATCATTCATTGATTAAATTACCTGAGTAAAAAAAAAATTCTTATATATAGACAAAAATACTGTTTTTATACTCATTAACTGCGTGTGATGATGTAGTTATTCAATATTATTAATATATTTTCATTCAGTTTAATATAAACATTGATTCAATCATAAAAATTTGATTTCTGACAAAACTTTCAACATTGTTCCTTTTAAAAAAAAATTTGTTTGACATGAATAAGAACTTAAAAATAATGATGTTTCAAATTAAGATCTTCTTAAATGTATTCTATAACTAAACAAACAAAAAATCAAATTTCAATAGGAACATTGATAAAACTTTTGTTAGAAATCAACTTTTTATGATTGAATCAATGTTTATATTAAACTGAATGAAAATATATTATTAATATTGAATAAATACATCAGCACACGCAATTAATGAGTATAAAAAAAGTATTTTTGTCTATATATAAGAATTTTTTTTTACACAGGTAATTTAATCAATGAATGATAGATTTCTCTTAGAAGAAATTTAAAGGTCCCAGTGAATAAACTACACAGAGAAAAATAGCTATTGTATTCATTCAATAGGACAGGTGAACTTGCAAAAGTTTAAATACCTGGTCAAGATAGAGATGGCACTGTGGAAAACTTTCATTGGGTTCGCAATAAAGAGTTGTGACATTTTGGTAAAAATATCAACTGCTTACTATCTTTACAGATGCACCATTGCTTCCTTATGTTATAATAAAAAAAAAAACAGACAAAAAGTTTGGTAACAAAAGTTTTTAGAAAGGTTTTTTGTACGGTTGAGTAGCCTATTGAAAGAGAACTTGAAAGAGATAATTGATGGGAAGTAGTGGATCTTGTTTTTTATTATACCAATGCAAAATAATGTTGAATAATTGGGTTATTTAATATATTATAGGGACTGCTTGAGGACATACTTACAGGATTTTGGACATTATTGATAGAAGACAATGGAGGAACTTCAGGTATAGAATTAAAGCTTTTCCAATCTTGCACATTATGCAAACTGTTATACACATTGAAGTTTCATTGAATGTAACGAGATGTGTTTGTTTCAAACTGTGAGAAGAAAGCAAATAATTATGTTTACCTGTTTTGTTTTGACGTTTTTCACCATAAACAAAACTAAATATACAATTGATTCTTTTACCAGTATATCAGTTGTATGATCCAATTATTTTTTTATGTTTTATTTGAAAAAAAAGTTAAGATTTTTTGTAATGTTAAATTCTCTCTTATTATAAGTAATAGGATAACTATATTTGGTATGTGCGTACCTTGCAAGGTCCTCATGCCTGTCAGACAGTTTTCACTTGACCTCGACCTCATTTCATGGATCAGTGAACAAGGTTAAGTTTTGGTGGTCAAGTCCATATCTCAGATACTATAAGCAATAGGTCTAGTATATTCGGTGTATGGAAGGACTGTAAGGTGTACATGACCAACTGGCAGGTGTCATCTGACCTTGACCTCATTTTCATGGTTCAGTGGTTATAGTTAAGTTTTTGTGTTTTGGTCTGTTTTTCTTATACTGTATGCAGTAGGTCTACTATATTTGGTGTATGGAATGATTGTAAGGTGTACATGTCTAGCTGGCAGGTGTCATATGACCTTGACCTCATTTTCATGGTTCAGTGGTCAAAGTTGAGTTTTTGAGTTTTGGTCTTTTTTTCTAATACTATATGTAATAGTTCAATTATATTTGGTGTATGGAAATATTTTATGATCTATATGTCAGTCACGCAGGTTTTATTTGACCTCGACCTCATTTTCAAGGTTCATTGCTCAGTGTTAAGTTTTTGTGTTTTGGTCTGTTTTTCTTAAACTATAAGCAATAGGTCAACTATATTTGTTGTATGGAAGAATTGTTAGCTGTACATGCCTGCCTAGCATGGTTCATCTGACCTTGACCTCATTTTCATGGTTCATTGGTCAATGTTTAGTTTACTTGATTAATGTTAAGTTTATGTGACAGTTGTAATAAAGATTTATATTTAGGACTATCAACATAATATCAATGATTAGTAACAAGATTATAAAGAAGGCGAGACATTTCAGCGTGTGCACTCTTGTAAAAGGAAAACATTTCTTTTGTAACTTATTCAATATTTTTTTTTTCAGTATTTTCTATTTTCTGATTTTTTTCTTCTGTGACTGGATACTCGTATATTGGTATCATAATACACAGAACTCTCTTATTAAGAACAGGATATTGAACACCTATCATTGCAATAACAGTTATTTCCCCTGAAACTGTATGTCTACTCATATTCATGAGAACATAGGAATTTTGAAATCAATTAAATCATGATTATACTCCTGCTGCAATGAAGAGGTGATATACTGATTTACGTCTCTTTGTCCTTCTGTCTGTGCTTTTTATAAATAATATTTTGATGCATTTTTCTCAGGAATTACAAATCAGAGCTTTCTGAAATATGAATTGAAGCTTTGTGTGAGCATGCTGACTGTGTGATGCATTTTAAAATTCCTTGGTCATAAACGTACTGTATACTGAATACTTATGTTTTGTTTCACATAATTTTTGTCCCATTTTTCTCAGGAACTATAAATAAGGCTTTTTGAAATTTGGAATCAAACTTAATGTGAGCATACACTGTCTGGTGAGTTTTTACATCCATCACTCATCAAATTACTGTTTACCAAATTACTTAATCAGGGGTATCATTAGTGAGCAATAGTTCACAGTTCAAATTGTTTTTAGTAAAATACTACACATGGTCTTAAAAAAACTACTGATAAATCTTTATTATTGTTCATCATGCTATTTTTATGCCCCGCAACTGAAAGTTGGGGGGGCATATTAATTTACCCCTGTCTGTCCATCCTTCTGTCCATCTTTCCTTCCGTCTGTCCCATTATGGGTATATAGTTATTCCAGATAACTCCTCTTACAGTTTGAATCCTAGGAAGTTTTCACTTTGCTGGCTGTTTGTACATATATAAAAGGTGTGCATGTGGTCAGTGTTTTTTTTTTTTATTAATATTTGCACTTTTGAGAGATGGTTGAACTTATTTTAAAATAACACTTTGCATCTGGTGGGGGAATCATTTGTGTCTCCCAGACACAATAAATCTAAAAGAAAGTTCTACATTGACTTTGTTATGATACAGTTACTTCAGAGTGGAGTGCAGGGGCATCACTTTGTCTAGTTCAAAATTGTTCTAATTTTGTTTCAGTAAGGAATTCTCTTCTGTCTCTTATACAACTATTGGCTCAGCACAGAGTTACTTCAACAGAACTGCAGAAAATACTTCAGTTGTTTAATTATGCAAACATACCTCAGGTAATGATATTGTATATGTTTATGAAAAGTTTTTCAAAGAAAGTTGTTCACATATGTGAAATCACTTTTTTGCTTGGTCACCTGTTTTTTTTTACAGATTTAATAAAAGAAAAATATAGGGTATAGGTCAAGTAGATAACAACCCCCTGACACAAAAAACTGTCTTATATTCTAAACCACTCTCAGAAATTTGAATATAAGGGCTCTCATAGACTTTTTTTAACTGTTAAATGTGAAATAACAGACATTGATACTTGAAAAAATCTTGATTGTGAAATATTAAAAGAACATTACTTTTTTTTGACATATAATCAATAGAGTACCTCAACTATTATTTTACATTTTACAGGAATTACTGTTATCAACATTTCTATCGATTGTTGAGAATTCTAAGTCACAGCCACATTACAGTGTATTGTTTCCATGTAAACGTACATTTGAGGTGTCACCAAAGTCTGGGTTAGTTCAGTCAACACTTAGAATAAAAGATAGAAAACTGTCTAGTGGTGAGTAACAAAGATCTTTTGACCCTCCTGCAAATTCAGCTACATATTTTTAAAAAAATCATGTCAAAGATGCCACCTCTTCAGAACTGTATCATATGTTTTTTTTTTCTCAAGGGAGCATGTTGTTCAGTGAAATAAAATCCAAAATGTACATTTTACTTCTCAAAGTAGTTGCATTGAATAAGTAATTAAAGTAAATGATTGAACTATTGAAAAACACAGCAAAAAATTTATTGATTAATAGCCATAATCAGAGGCAAAGTACATCCAATGGCTTCAGTGGTTTTTATCTCACTTGCATCAAAAGTTGTAGAAGGCGAGAACTAGGTGGTGTCTTATGAATTTGTATTTAATTTATCTTATTTTTCTGACTACAGGATCATATTCTCCATTCTTTGCCAGTATATCTCCTGCTATGATCACATCCCCAGATGTTACTGACACTGGTCTAGATTTGTTTGATACAACAAGTACACAAGATGTCTGGGATATTGCAGCTATGTTTATTCCAATAAAAGGGTTGCCATGGCCACCATTAGAGCAAGGGTTGACAGTTGCATCATGGGTAAAACTATCTGAAGATCAAGAAAACATTGTAAAGATTTCAAAGACAACTAGTGGCAATCATGTCTACTTTTCAAGTTCAGAAGGTAAATTGATATTTGTGTGCATGAAAAATTTAAGAGACCAATGCATTTTATGTATCAAATGTTTGAGAAAAATGAGTTAAGACTTTTCAAAATGTTTCATGAACATCTGACTAATTAGAAAACAATTTTCTTATATTTAAACATGATTTACTTTTTTGTGAACTTTTTAAACTAAATTACAATCAATGTTTAGAATAAGTGTTTTGATTTCTGATATGAATTATAATATAAAGTTTCTTTTTGCAGTATTTGGTTCTAAAGAGCACCTGTTTCATGGCAAATGTACCTTTGAAATATCAAATTGTCTTCATCTTGTATCTATTGGTAACACAGAGAAAATGTTAGAAGTATGGGTTCATAGCAAAAGTGGTTACATACTTGTAAGGTATGTTTTTGTGGGAAAAGTAGTATCTTACATCTTCACTGTATTGTTTCAAAATAGAGAAATTATCTTACCTTTATGTGGAAAAATATTATTTTATTTAGTCAAGATTGATATATAAATCAATGCCTGATGAAACTTTTTATGCCCCCGCCGTAGCGGAGGGGGCATTAAGTTTTACCCTTGTCCGTCTGTACGTACGTACGTACGTCCATCCGTACGTCCCAAAATTGGTTTCCGTTCTCTAACTTGAGTTTGCCTCAACCAAATGTTATGAAACTTATACACAATGCTTATTACCACAAAACACAGATCAAGTTTGAATTTTGGTGGCATCACTTTAACCGATCTAGAGTTATGTCCCTTTATAAAAGGAAATATTGCAGAATTTTTAGTTTCCGTTCTCTAACTTAAGTTTGCATCAACCAAATGTTATGAAACTTATACACAATGCTTATTACCACAAAACACAGATCAAGTTTGAATTTTGGTGGCGTCATTTTGACTGATCTAGAGTTATGCCCCTTTATAAAAGGAAAAATTGCAAAATTTTTATTTACTTCTAAATATCAAGTTTATATAATATATTTTTAAAATTGGAGTTATCTTCCTTTGACCATGATTATAGTTGAATCAACTACAATCAATGCTTTATACAATGCAATGTTTAATTTTGACTTCCACTGATAAAACACAGATCAAGTTGAATTTGGGAAGTGTCACTTTAACCATTATTGAGTTATGCCCCTTTATAAATAGAAAGATTGCAAAATTTTTAGTTTCCATTCTGTAACTGAAGTTTTCTGCAGCCAAACATTATGAAACCTATACACAATATTCATTACCACAAAACTCAGTAAAGATCAAGTACAATTTTTTTGTTTCCGTTCTCTAACTTGAGTTTGCCTCAACCAAATGTAATGAAACTTATACACAATGCTTATTACTACATAATACAGATTAAGTACGAAATTAGGTGGCAACACTTTTACCATTCTTGAGTTATGTCCCTTTATAAACATAAAAATTGCTGAATTTTTATACGACCTCAAAAATTAAAAATTTTTTGGTTGTATATTGGTATGACGTTGGCGTCGTCGTCGTCGTCGTCCGACGTCGTCGTCGTTGTCGTCGTCTGGCGTCGTCCGGCGTCGTCCGAAGACACATTGGTTTTCGCACTCTAACTTTAGTTTAAGTGAATGGATCTCCATGAAATTTTACCATAAGGTTCAATACCACAAAAGGAAGGTTGGGATTGATTTTGGGGATTATGGTACAAACAGTTAAGGAATTAGGGGCCAAAAAGGGGCCAAAAATAAGCATTTTTGTAACTTCCAGACAATAACTTGTGTGTAAGTGTATGGATCTCTCTGACATTGTACCACAAGGTTCCATATCACAAAGGAAAGGCTGTAATTGATTTTGGGGGTAATTGCCTCAAAATTTTAGGAATTAGGGGCCAAAAAAGGGCAAAAAACAAGCATTTTTCTAGTTTCATGACAATAACTTGTGTGTAAGTGTTTGGATATTTCTGAAATTGTACTACAAGGTTCCATATCACAAAGGGAAAGCTGGAATTGAGTTTGGGGGTAATTGCCCGAAACGTTTAGGAATTGGGGGCCAAAAAGGGGCCAAAAATAAGCATTTTTCTAGTTTCCAGACAATAACTTGTGTTCAAGTGTATGGATCTCTCTGAAATTGTACTGCAAGGTACCATACCACAAAGGGAAGCCTGGGATTGAGTTTGGGGGTGATGAATCATAAGGGGGTTCAAAAAATTGGGGGGGGGGATTTTTTTTTTTTCTTTTTTTTTCTTTTTTTCCTTTTTTTTTTCTTTTAAAATTTTCCATTTTAAGTTGGTTATTTCTGATTAATATTTAAAAGCAAATAATAATGATATGGTAGGAGATACACACCAAACAGGATGTGTAAATCATTATATAATAAGTATTGTGCAATAGCAAGAAATTTTCAATTGCACAGTATTGCACAATACCAAGAAATCTTCAATTGCACAGTATTGCGCAATAGCAAGAAATCTTCAATTGCACAGTATTGCGCAATAGCAAGAAATATCCAATAGCACAATATTGCGCAATAGCAAGAAATTGTCAATTGTACAGTATTGCGCAATAGCAAGAAATATTCAATTGCACAGTATTGTGCAAAAGAAGATACTTCGTATAAATTGCTTATTTCTTGATCAATTTCAATGGGGTTTTATTCTTGAATTCTTGGGGTTCTTTAATATGCTGAATCTAACCGTGTATTAAGTTTTTGGATTTTGGGCCCCGTTTTTAAATTGGTCCACATTGAGGTCCAAAGGGTCCAAAATTTAACTTTGTTTGATTTCATCAAAAATTGAATTATAGGGGTTCTTTGATATGCTGAATCTAACCGTGTATTTAGATTCTTAATTTTTGGTTCCGTTTTCAAATTGGTCTACATTAAGGTCCAAAGGGTCCAAAATTAAACTTAGTTTGATTTTAACAAAAATTGAATTTTTAGGGTTCTTTGATATGCTGAATCTAAACATGTATTTAGATTTTTGATTATGGGCCCAGTTTTCAAGTTGGTCCAAATCGGGGTCCAAAATTAAACTTTGTTTGATTTCAACAAAAATTGAATATATGGGGTTCTTTGATATGCTGAATCTAACCATGTATTTAGATTTTTGATTTTTGGGCCCCGTTATCAACTTTGTCCACATTGAGGTCAAAAGGGTCCAAAATTTAACTTTGTTTGATTTCATCAAAAATTGAATTATTGGGGTTCTTTGATATGCCGAATCTAACCGTGTATTTAGATTCTTAATTTTTGGTTCCGTTTTCAAATTGGTCTACATTATGGTCCAAAGGGTCCAAAATTAAACTTAGTTTGATTTTAACAAAAATTGAATTTTTAGGGTTCTTTGATATGCTGAATCTAAACATGTATTTAGATTTTTGATTATGGGCCCAGTTTTCAAGTTGGTCCAAATCGGGGTCCAAAATTAAACTTTGTTTGATTTCATCAAAAATTGAATTCTTGGGGTTCTTTGATATGCTGAATCTAACCATGTATTTAGATTTTGGATATTGGACCATAATAGGTGAATGTCCAATTTAAAATTTTTAAGTTCTTAGACCACATTCATTCTGTGTTAGAAACCTATGCTGTGTCAAATATTTAATCACAATCCAAATTCAGAGCTGTATCAAGCTTGAATGTTGTGTCCATACTTGCCCCAACTGTTCAGGGTTCGACCTCTGCGGTCGTATCAAGCTGCGCCCTGCGGAGCATTTTATTTAGTTTGTCTCAACCAAATGTTGTAAAACTTATGCACAACCTTTCTAGAGTTATGCGTGTTTACAAATAGAAAAATTGCTGAATTTTTAGTTTCTGTTCTCTACTTAAGTTAGCCTCAACCAAATGTTATGAGACTTGCACACAATGCTTATTACCACAAAACTCAGATCAAGTTCAAATTTGGGTAGCGTCACTTTTACCGTTCTTCAGTTATGTCCCTTTATAACTATATGATATGCAAGCAGGGGCATCATCTGTGTCCACATGTGGACACTATCCACATTTATTATCCAAATCATTTATTTCTTATATGTTTCTTAATTTTTTACTGAGTAATGGTTTATTATATATATTATTTATATAGTTGAGATACATTTCTTTTCAATTTCAAGTAACTTTGATCTATTATTTACTAGTTTGATTAGTATGAGCCAATACTGTGTAAAATATACAAAATAAGAAATTTTAAATTTCTTTATCTTTTCCTTTCAACAAATTCCCTTCAACTTAAAACAAATGACTTCAACTTTGCCATCAAGAAACTTCTATGTAATGTTTACAGATATATGTATATATATTTAAAACAGAAACCGTTTTTGTCGAGCCTGCGACTTTTGTCGCAGAAAGCTCGACATAGGGATAGCGATCCGGCGGCGGCGGCGGCGGCTACGGCGGCGGCGGCGGCGGCGGCGTTAGCTAACTTTTTAAAAGCTTTATATTTTAGAAGATGGAAGACCTGGATGCTTCATACTTTGTATATGGATGCCTCATGTTACGAAGTTTCCGTCAGTCACATGTCCAATGTCCTTGACCTCATTTTCATGGTTCAGTGACTACTTGAAAAAAAAGTTCAGATTTTTTGTAATGTTAAATTCTCTCTTATTATAAGTAATAGGATAACTATATTTGGTATGTGCGTACCTTGCAAGGTCCTCATGCCCGTCAGATAGTTTTCACTTGACCTCGACCTCATTTCATGGATCAGTGAACAAGGTTAAGTTTTCGTGGTCAAGTCCATATCTCAGATACTATAAGCAATAGGTCTAGTATATTCGGTGTATGGAAGGACTGTAAGGTGTACATGTCCAACTGGCAGGTGTCATCTGACCTTGACCTCATTTTCATGGTTCAGTGGTTATAGTTAAGTTTTTGTGTTTTGGTCTGTTTTTCTTATACTATATGCAATAGGTCTACTATATTTGGTGTATGGAATGATTGTAAGGTGTACATGTCTAGCTGGTAGGTGTCATCTGACCTTGACCTCATTTTCATGGTTCAGTGGTTATAGTTAAGTTTTTGTGTTTTGGTCTGTTTTTCTTATACTGTATGCAATAGGTCTACTATATTTGGTGTATGGAATGATTGTAAGGTGTACATGTCTAGCTGGTAGGTGTCATTTGACCTTGACCTCATTTTCATGGTTCAGTGGTTATAGTTAAGTTTTTGTGTTTTGGTCTGTTTTTCTTATACTGCATGCAATAGGTCTACTATATTTGGTGTATGGAATGATTGTAAGGTGTACATGTCTAGCTGGCAGGTGTCATCTGACCTTGACCTCATTTTCATGGTTCAGTGGTCAAAGTTAAGTTTTTGAGTTTTGGTCTTTCTTTCTAATACTGCATGCAATAGGTCAGCTATATTTGGTGTATGGAATGATTGTAAGGTGTACATGTCTAGCTGGCAGGTGTCATCTTACCTTGACCTCATTTTCATGGTTCAGTGGTCAAAGTTAAGTTTTTGAGTTTTGGTCTTTTTTTCTAATACTATATGCAATAGTTCAACTATATTTGGTGTATGGAAATATTTTATGATCTATATGTCAGTTACGCAGGTTTTATTTAACCTTGACCTCATTTTCAAGGTTCATTGCTCAGTGTTAAGTTTTTGTGTTTTCGTCTGTTTTTCTTAAACTATAAGCAATAGGTCAACTATATTTGTTGTATGGAAGAATTGTTAGCTGTACATGCCTGCCTAGCATGGTTCATCTGACCTTGACCTCATTTTCATGGTTCATTGGTCAATGTTTAGTTTACTTGGTTAATGTTAAGTTTATGTGACAGTTGTAATAAAGCTTTATATATAGGACTATCAACATAATATCAATGATTAGTAAAGAAGGCGAGACATTTCAGCGTGTGCACTCTTGTGTAATAGAGTTGAGTGTATTCTAAAATCTTGTTTTTATATTCCCTCTACCATAAAAAAATCTCTTTACATTTAATCAAATTGTATTCTTTAGTGACTTTTCATGAAATATCAACATCAATGTTCATGATATTCTACTCTGAACTTCTTTATAACATACAGTTGTTAACCCTATAGATTGACCACAGAATATGGTGAAAGTGGTCACATACTTAAAGATGTAATATCAAAAGAATGTCTTATGAAAGGGCATTGGCACCATGTACTTGTCAGTTATAATGAGAAAGTTGATGCCACTAAAACACACTCAAAGGATGACATTACTTACTTTGGAAAGGTAAGATTTTTATAGAAACTAATATAATATCATTAGATAACCCTAATTTATCTACAGCCTAAACTGCATTTTACAAAAGAATAACGATAGTTGTTGATGATTACTAACATTTATGAATTAGTTACTTGCAAGAAAAAATGGAAAGACAATTACCCGTACGAATTGTAAAAGAGGGACGAAAGATACCAGAGGGACAGCCAAACTCATAGATCGAAAACAAACTGACAACGCCATGGCCAAAAATAAAAAGACAAACAGACAAATAATAGTACAGATGACACAACATAGAAAACTAAAGACTAAGCAACACGAACCCCACCAAAAACTGGGGGTGATCTCAGGTGCTCCGGAAGGGTAAGAAGATCCTGCTCCACATGTGGCACCCGTCGTGTTTCTTATGTTATTACAAATCCGGTAAATAGTCTTTAATTCGGTAACTTTTGGTATAGAAATTGAAAATTGAATAGAAATGATATGAATGTGTTCATAGCAATGAACTTTTATTTAATTAAAATAGGTCAATTTATACTGTTACAATGTCCAGTGAAAAATTATATCTGTGTCTTATACAGTCTTTAGAAGTTGACCCAAATAAATAATTAAGATTTTATATAACATGAAAAATGTTGTGTTAATTCAATTAAATTCTAAATATACATGTTCAATATTTTGCTGATGTGTAAACATTCTTGTGAAATTGGTTGATAACTTTAGATCAATCTTTAGACATCTCAAGTAAACTGTTTTGTTAGTTACAATGAAACTATGATCCGGGAAACATGCAAGTATTTACATAGCTGATAAATTTAAATTGATGATAAATGCAATGAAAAGATGTAAAAACTACATATGACCAATAATGTCAGATGTAAATAAAACAGAAATAATAAGTTTCCATTTTAAAACATACCTAGGTTCTCTAAGTATATGTGTTTCAATTAACAGCTCTTGTCTTAATCTAGTTTACCATGGTTTTCCTCATAGCATTTGATTTTAGTACTTTAATGAGCTTTACAGCATATAGATGATCTGTGATTGTACAGTTTTGTTTTTGATGCAGTTGCTTGTGTATATAGTCCTACATTTTTAGCTCACCTGGCCAGAAGGGCCAAGTGAGCTTTTCTCATCACTTGTTGTCCGTCGTCGTCGTTGTCCGTCGTCGTTAGCTTTTTACAAAAATCTTCTCCTCTGAAACCACTGGGCCAAATTTAACCAAACTTGGCCACAATCATCATTAGGGTATCTAGTTTAAAAAATATGTCCGATGACCCTGCCAACCAACCAAGATGGCCGCCATGGCTAAAAATAGAACATAGGGGTAAAATGTAGATTTTGGCTTATATCTCTGAAACCAAAGCATTTAGAGTAAATCTGACATAGGGTAAACTGATTATCAGGTCAAGATCTATCTGCCCTGAAATTTTCAGACAAATCTGACAACCTGTTGTTGAGTTGACATGACCAAAATTGTCAGTCAACCCCTTTAGGAGTTATTGCCCTTAATAGTCAATTTTTAACAATTTTTTGTAAATTTTTGTAATCTTTTACAAATTCTTCTCTGAAACTACTGAGACAAATTCAACCATACTTGGCCATAATCATTATTAGGGTATCTAGTTTAAAAAATTTGTCCGATGACCCCGCCTTCAAACCATCATGGCCGACTTGGTTAAAAATAGAACATAGGGGTAAAATGCAGTTTTTGTGTTATATCTCTGAAACTAAAGCATTTAGAGCAAATCTGACAGGTGGCAAAAATGTTCATCAGATTTAGATTTATCTGCCCTGAAATTTTCAGATGAATCCGACAATCCGTTGTTGGGTTGCTGCCCCTGAGTTAGTAATTTTACAAAAATTTTGCAGTTTTTTGTTATTATCTTAGATATCATTATAATATCTAATATCTAATACTATTAATTATGATTTTAACCTTATTTTACATGATTTTCAAAGCATCAGTAAACACAGGTGAGCGACACAGGCTCTTGAGAGCCTCTAGTTTTTATACGACCGCAAAAAATTTTTGCGGTCATATATTGGTATGACGTTAGCGTCGTCGTCGTCGTCGTCGTCCGAAGACACATTGGTTTTCGCACTCTTACTTTAGTTTAAGTGAATGGATCTCTATGAAATTTTACCATAAGGTTCAATACCACAAAAGGAAGGTTGGGATTGATTTTGGGGGTTATGGTACAAACAGTTAAGGAATTAGGGGCCAAAAAGGGGCCAAAAATAAGCATTTTTGTAACTTCCAGACATTACTTGTGTGTTAGTGTATGGATCTCTCTGAAACTGTACTACAAGGTACCATACCACAAAGGGAAGGCTGGGATTGAGTTTGGGGGTGATGAATCATAAGGGGGTTCAAAAAAGTTGGGGTGGGGGGGGGGGATTTTTTTTTTTTCCTTTTTTTCTTTTTTTCATTTTTTTTTCATTTTTGTCGAGCCTTCGACTTTTGTCGAAAAAGCGAGACATAGCGATCCTACATTCCGTCGGCGTCGTCGTCGTTGTCGTCGGCGGCGTCCACAAATATTCACTCTGTGGTTAAAGTTTTTGAAATTTTAATAACTTTCTTAAACTATCCTGGATTTCTACCAAACTTGGACAGAAGCTTGTTTATGATCATAAGATAGTATCCAGAAGTAAATTTTGTAAAAAAAAAATTCCATTTTTTCCGTATTTTACTTATAAATGGACTTAGTTTTTCTGCCAGTTAACATTACATTCACTCTGTGGTTAAAGTTTTTAAAATTTTAACAACTTTCTTAAACTATCCTGGATTTCTACCAAACTTGGACAGAAGCTTGTTTATGATCATAAGATAGTATCCAAAAGTAAATTTTGTAAAAAAAAAATTCCATTTTTTCCGTATTTTACTTATAAATGGACTTAGTTTTTCTGCCAGTTAACATTACATTCACTCTGTGGTTAAAGTTTTTAAAATTTTAACAACTTTCTTAAACTATCCTGGATTTCTACCAAACTTGGACAGAAGCTTGTTTATGATCATAAGATAGTATCCAAAAGTAAATTTTGTAAAAAAAAAATTCCATTTTTTCCGTATTTTACTTATAAATGGACTTAGTTTTTCTGCCAGTTAACATTACATTCCCTCTGTGGTTAAAGTTTTTAAAATTTTAACAACTTTCTTAAACTATCCTGGATTTCTACCAAACTTGGACAGAAGCTTGTTTATGATCATAAGATAGTATCCAAAAGTAAATTTTGTAAAAAAAAAATCCATTTTTTCCGTATTTTACTTATAAATGGACTTAGTTTTTCTGCCAGTTAACATTACATTCACTCTGTGGTTAAAGTTTTTAAAATTTTAACAACTTTCTTAAACTATCCTGGATTTGTACCAAACTTGGACAGAAGCTTGTTTATGATTAAAAGCTAGTATCTAGAATGAAATTTTGTTAAAATTTTGTTCCATTTTTTCCGTATTTTACTTATAAATGGACTTAGTTTTTCTTCCAGTTAACATTACATACAGTCTGCAGTTTAAGTTTTTAAAACATTTATTAGATTCATAAACTATCCTGGATTTTTACCAAACTTGGACAGAAGCTACTTACAATCAAAAGATAGTATAGAGAGGAATATTTTTATTATTTTTTTTTCCTTATTTTTGTTGAGCCTGCGATTAACAGCAAAAGTAGGCGAGACACTGGGTTCCGCGGAACCCTTACGAATTTTTTAATAATTTTCCATTTTAAGTTGGTTATTTCTGTTTTATATTTAAAAGCAAATAATAATGATATGGTAGGAGATACACACCAAACAGGATGTGTAAATTATTATATAATAAGTATTGTGCAATAGGAAGAAATTTTCAATTGCACAGTATTGCGCAATAGCAAGAAATCTTCAATTGCACAGTATTGTGCAATAGCAAGAAATATCCAATAGCACAATATTGCACAATAGCAAGAAATTGTCAATTGTACAGTATTGCGCAATAGCAAGAAATATTCAATTGCACAGTATTGTGCAAAAGAAGATACTTCGTATAAATTGCTTATTTCTTGACCAATTTCAATGGGGTTTTATTCTTGAATTCTTGGGGTTCTTTAATATGCTGATTCTAACCGTGTATTCAGTTTTTGGATTTTGGGCCCCGTTTTTAAATTGGTCCACATTGAGGTCCAAAGGGTCCAAAATTAAACTTTGTTTGATTTCATCAAAAATTGAATTATTTGGGTTCTTTGATATGCCGAATCTAACCGTGTATTTAGATTCTTAATTTTTATACGACCGCAAAAATTGAAAATTTTTTGGTCGTATATTGGTATGACGTTGTCGTCGTCGTCGTCGTTGTCGTCTGGCGTCGTCCGGCGTCGTCCGAAGACACATTGGTTTTCGCACTCTAACTTTAGTTTAAGTGAATGGATCTCCATGAAATTTTACCATAAGGTTCAATACCACGAAAGGAAGGTTGGGATTGATTTTGGGGGTTATGGTACCAACAGTTAAGGAATTAGGGGCCAAAAAGGGGCCAAAAATAAGCATTTTTGTAACTTCCAGACAATAACTTGTGTGTAAGTGTATGGATCTCTCTGACATTGTACCACAAGGTTCCATATCACAAAGGGAAGGCTGTAATTGATTTTGGGGGTAATTGCCTCAAAATTTTAGGAATTAGGGGCCAAAAAAGGGGCAAAAAACAAGCATTTTTCTAGTTTCATGACAATAACTTGTGTGTAAGTGTTTGGATATTTCTGAAATTGTACTACAAGGTTCCATATCACAAAGGGAAAGCTGGAATTGAGTTTGTGGGTAATTGCCCGAAACGTTTAGGAAAAGGGGGCCAAAAAGGGGCCAAAAATAAGCATTTTTCTAGTTTCCAGACAATAACTTGTGTTCAAGTGTATGGATCTCTCTGAAATTGTACTGCAAGGTACCATACCACAAAGGGAAGGCTGGGATTGAGTTTGGGGGTGATGAATCATAAGGGGGTTCAAAAAATTTGGGGGGGGGATTTTTTTTTTTTTCTTTTTTTTTCTTTTTTCCCTTTTTTTTTTTCTTTTAAAATTTTCCATTTTAAGTTGGTTATTTCTGATTAATATTTAAAAGCAAATAATAATGATATGGTAGGAGATACACACCAAACAGGATGTGTAAATCATTATATAATAAGTATTGTGCAATAGCAAGAAATTTTCAATTGCGCAGTATTGCACAATTGCAAGAAATCTTCAATTGCACAGTATTGCGCAATAGCAAGAAATCTTCAATTGCACAGTATTGCGCAATAGCAAGAAATATCCAATAGCACAATATTGCGCAATAGCAAGAAATTGTCAATTGTACAGTATTGCACAATAGCAAGAAATATTCAATTGCACAGTATTGTGCAAAAGAAGATACTTCGTATGAATTGCTTATTTCTTGATCAATTTCAATGGGGTTTTATTCTTGAATTCTTGGGGTTCTTTAATATGCTGAATCTAACCAAGTATTAAGTTTTTGGATTTTGGGCCCCGTTTTTAAATTGGTCCACATTGAGGTCCAAAGGGTCCAAAATTTAACTTTGTTTGATTTCATCAAAAATTGAATTATTGGGGTTCTTTGATATGCCGAATCTAACCGTGTATTTAGATTCTTAATTTTTGGTTCCGTTTTCAAATTGGTCTACATTAAGGTCAAAAGGGTCCAAAATTAAACTTAGTTTGATTTTAACAAAAATTGAATTTTTAGGGTTCTTTGATATGCTGAATCTAAACATGTATTTAGATTTTTGATTATGGGCCCAGTTTTCAAGTTGGTCCAAATCGGGGTCCAAAATTAAACTTTGTTTGATTTCAACAAAAATTGAATATATGGGGTTCTTTGATATGCTGAATCTAACTATGTATTTAGATTTTTGATTTTTGGGCCCCATTATCAACTTTGTCCACATTGAGGTCAAAAGGGTCCAAAATTAAACTTTGTTTGATTTCATCAAAAATTGAATTCTTGGGGTTCTTTGATATGCTGAATCTAACCATGTATTTAGATTTTTTATTTGTGGACCCGCTATCAAATTGGTTCATATTGAGGTCAAAAGGGTCCAAAATTAAACTTTGTTTGATTTCATCAAAAATTGAATTATTGGGGTTCTTTGATATACCAAATCTAACCGTGTATTTAGATTTTTAATTTTGGGTCCCGTTTTTAAATTGGTCTACATTAAGGTCCAAAGGGTCCAAAATTGAACTTAGTTTGATTTTCACAAAAATTGAATTCTTGGGGTTCTTTGATATGCTGAATCTAAACATGTGTTTAGATTTTTGATTATGGGCCCAGTTTTCAAGTTGGTCCAAGTTGGGGTCCAAAATTAAACTTTGTTTGATTTCAACAAAAATTGAATATATGGGGTTCTTTGATATGCTGAATCTAACCATGTATTTAGATTTTTATACGACCGCAAACAATTTTTTGTGGTTGTATATTGGTATGATGTTGACGTCGTCCGGCGTCGTCCGAAGACACATTGGTTTTCGCACTCTAACTTTAGTTTAAGTCAATGGATCTCTATGAAATTTTACCACAAGGTTCAATACCACAAAAGGAAGGTTGGGATTGATTTTGGGGGTTATGGTACCAACAGTAAAGGAATTAGGGGCCAAAAAGGGGCCAAAAATAAGCATTTTTGTAACTTCCAGACATAACTTGTGTGTTAGTGTATGGATCTCTCTGACATTGTACCACAAGGTTCCATATCACAAAAGGAATGCTGGGATTGATTTTGGGGGTAATTGCCTCAAAATTTTAGGAATTAGGGGCCAAAAAAGGGTAAAAAAACAAGCATTTTTCTAGTTTCATGACAATAACTTGTGTGTAAGTGTATGGATCTTTCTGAAATTGTACTACAAGGTTCCATATCACAAAGGGAAAGCTGGAATTGAGTTTGGGGGTAATTGCCGAAACGTTTAGGAATTGGGGGCCAAAAAGGGGCCAAAAATAAGCATTTTTCTAGTTTCCAGACAATAACTTGTGTTCAAGTGTATGGATCTCTCTGAAATTGTACTGCAAGGTACCATTCCACAAAAGGAAGGCTGGGATTGAGTTTGGGGGTGATGAATCATAAGAGGGTTCAAAAAATTTGGGGGGGGGGGTGTTTTTTTCCTTTTTTTTTCTTTTAAAATTTTCCATTTTAAGTTGGTTATTTCTGATTTATATTTAAAAGCAAATAATAATGATATGGTAGGAGATACACACCACACAGGATGTGTAAATTATTCTATAATAAGTATTGTGCAATAGCAAGAAATTTTCAATTGCACAGTATTGCACAATAGCAAGAAATCTTCAATTGCACAGTATTGCGTAATAGCAAGAAATCTTCAATTGCACAGTATTGCGCAATAGCAAGAAATATCCAATAGCACAATATTGCGGAATAGCAAGAAATTGTCAATTGTACAGTATTGCGCAATAGCAAGAAATATTTAATTGCACAGTATTGTGCAAAAGAAGATACTTCGTATAAATTGCTTATTTCTTGACCAATTTCAATGGGGTTTTATTCTTGAATTCTTGGGGTTCTTTAATATGCTGAATCTAATCGTGTATTAAGTTTTTGGATTTTGGGCCCCGTTTTTAAATTGGTCCACATTGAGGTCCAAAGGGTCCAAAATTAAACTTTGTTTGATTTCATCAAAAATTGAATTATTGGGGTTCTTTGATATGCCGAATCTAACCGTGTATTTAGATTTTTAATTTTTGGTTCCGTTTTCAAATTGGTCTACATTAAGGTCCAAAGGGTCCAAAATTAAACTTAGTTTGATTTTAACAAAAATTGAATTCTTAGGGTTCTTTGATATGCTGAATCTAAACATGTATTTAGATTTTTGATTATGGGCCCAGTTTTCAAGTTGGTCCAAATCGGGGTCCAAAATTAAACTTTGTTTGATTTCAACAAAAATTGAAAATATGGGGTTCTTTGATATGCTGAATCTAACCATGTATTTAGATTTTTGATTTTTGGGCCCCGTTATCAACTTTGTCCACATTGAGGTCAAAAGGGTCCAAAATTAAACTTTGTTTGATTTCATCAAAAATTGAATTCTTGGGGTTCTTTGATATGCTGAATCTAACCATGTATTTAGATTTTGGATATTGGACCATAATAGGTGAATGTCCAATTTAAAATTTTTAAGTTCTTAGACCACATTCATTCTGTGTCAGAAACCTATGCTGTGTCAAATATTTAATCACAATCCAAATGCAAAGCTGTATCAAGCTTGAATGTTGTGTCCATACTTGCCCCAACTGTTCAGGGTTTGACCTCTGTGGTCGTATCAAGCTGCGCCCTGCGGAGCACTTTATTGATTTTTGGGCCCCATTATCAACTTTGTCCACATTGAGGTCAAAAGGGTCCAAAATTAAACTTTGTTTGATTTCATCAAAAATTGAATTCTTGGGGTTCTTTGATATGCTGAATCTAACCATGTATTTAGATTTTGGACCATAAAAGGTGAATGTCCAATTTAAAATTTTTAAGTTCTTAGACCACATTCATTCTGTGTCACAAACCTATGCTGTGTCAAATATTTAATCACAATCCAAATTCAGAGGTGTATCAAGCTTGAATGTTGTGTCCATACTTGCCCCAACTGTTCAGGGTTCGACCTCTGCGGTCGTATCAAGCTGCGCCCTGCGGAGCATTTTATTTATCTTTTGAGACGAAATATCATAAATTCTTCTTTCTTTTACTCACTGTGAGACAAATATTTCAGAAGGAGGTGCAATCTGAGTGCATATAAGATAATGTGATTGTTTTTTTAGGTAACACTTGTAATAGACGGATGGAGGTCACAAGAAATAAAATTAGAACATCAACATTCTGTGACTAGAAAACAGATGGACAGAATTCCTTTGTTGTGTATTGGACATGCATGTACTGATCCAGAACAATCTAGTCAGACACTTACTCTTAGCTCCCTCATGATACTTGAAGGTAAGTAGTTTACCAGTAAATACATGATGGAAAACTATGGATGAAATGATTGGCACATATTACAATCTTCCTTCAATTGACAATTTAGAAAACAAAATTGTTCAATTGCCTTTTCCCAAAAGCTGGTGGTTTGGTACTGACATAATCTAAATGATAGATATTCCAAGTATTTGTACTATATCTATGTTTACAACTCCCTTAGATAAAGCTTACCTTCACCAGTTTTGGCTGTTTTTTTGTTTTGTTTTATGGTTTTAAATGTCTTATAGTTTTATCTGTTTGATTTGTTTTGTCTTTTATGCATATTTGATAAAGGTTTGTCCAAAAATTTGTCATGTGATGCGAAGCAGTATCATGCATTTTAGAACTTTTGACTAGTATCCCTTTTTGTTGATAAGGTTGATATTGAGTAGTGAATCAGATCTGCATAATACAGTCGACTCCACTTAATTGCATACCGCTTAATAGCATAATTCAGTTAATTGCATAGTTTTCTCCTGCACAAAACCATTTCCCATTCATCTAATGTTAAATTGTCCGGTTATATGCATAGCTCTACAAGTGGCCTTTCGGTTTATTGCATAGAAAATTATCGCCATCTAGATATGCTTGGTTAAATCTGTCGAAATTTTTGACCGGAAACGGCAGGTTGGTGAGTATATTTTTCTTGAATGCATCATTATTTTCATTATTATTTCATATTTACTTTTGTGTTATTCAAATAAAGTTTTAAAACAGTTTCTTTCGTGTTTATATGATTGAATTTGATTTAAAAATAAACCTCGATATCTACACAGGTAAAGTTTCCCATGTTCTATTTTAAGCCTCGAGGTCATAAAAATGTCAAACAGGTAATTGTTGTAAAAACACTGACCATTCTATCTAAAAAGGTGTTACTGACTCCATAGCTTAGTTATAGTTTGGACAAGCCAAATCATAACTCAAAAGTCGTTATAAAACATTGTAACAAAACAGTTGTTGGTTAATTGCCTATTCAACAAAATTGACTTGTGTTAGAGCTTAGTAAATTTATTGTCCCCGTTTGAAAAGGAATTTAGTAGGAAAGATTGAAGAAGGTTATGCAAATGCAATATTATTGACTATTATCTTTATTTAAGGGAGAAGTCATGGAAGTGATGAAATATTCCATTTGTATGCTTTGGGTCCAAGTTGTGTTACAATAAATAAATGTGATAATGTGAATATGGATATCAGTTATGGGCCTTTACTTACAAAACAGATGGAGCTTCACTCTAAGATGCCAGCAGACATTTTGGTTGGATCAAAAAGGGTGGATTTAGATTCATTAAGGGTAAGTGTAATTAAAAAATTAAAGCGGTTTAAGGTAATGATAATTGTATATATGCTATATGATGTAGACCTCTTTTTATTATGCAAAGTTAGTATTTTTTTCATTTAGCTATTGCCAAAGATTATATTAATTGAAAAAAATGGCTTTGTTGTAGTAAGATTTTGTCCCCTTTGAGAAATATGAGACATTTGATTAATAGTATTTTTATTTTTTATTTTTGAGGAAATCTCAACAAAATACAAATTTCTTATTGATTTATTATCAGGCTTAAGCACAAAATTGACAACAGATGAAAAGTAATTGTATGTTAAACTTAAGAATTGACTTTATGAATGTAAATTTTTCCAGTTTTGTGTACTAGATAGTATATGTTCATGTATATATTTCAGTCATCTTTGATTTTGACATACAACCCAATGATGCATGACTTAGCCTGTTTCTATAGAAACACATCATCACAAGAAATGCAAATTCTTGGTCCAAATCTTGGTATCCCTCAGCGTCAGGACAGCAGTAACCTGTTAATCCAACAGCCAATCACTGCTCAGTTAACATGTCAGGCCAAGCTTGTGACTCACAGACATCATAGTCTAGAGAAAGCTTTAGAGGGAGCTGGTGGGATGGAAGCAATTTTGTTCCTTGTTGCCAAGGTGAATAACTTATTATTTTTAAAATAGAAAAACTTAAGTCATTCAAAGAATTATTATCATCATAAATTTTGCTGATTGTGACATTAAAAAGACAGGAATTTAAAAAGTGGTAATGACAGCACAGATATATGTTTATTTTTTTATGCCCCCTCCGTAGCGGAGGGGGCATTAAGTTTTACCCTTGTCCGTCTGTACGTACGCCCCAAAATTGGTTTCTGTTCTCTAACTTGAGTTTGCCTCAACCAAATGTTATGAAACTTATACACAATGCTAATTACCACAAAACACAGATCAAGTTTGAATTTTGGTGGTGTCACTTTAACCGTTCTAGAGTTATGCCCCTTTATAAATGGAAAAATTACAAAATTTTTAGTTTCCGTTCTCTAACTTCAGTTTGCCTCAACCAAATATAATGAAACTTATACACAAAGCTTATTACCACAAAACACAGATCAAGATTGAATTTTGGTAGCGTCACTTTAACTGTTCTAGAGTTATGCCCCTTTATAAATGAAAAATTGCAAAATTCTCCATTTATTTACTCAATAGCTGTAACAACTAGCATTTTTTGTTGATTTAATCTGACTTATACTTGATGGTTCTTATCTCGGCTGATATTTAACTTATCAATTATCAGTAAAATAAAATTTCAAAAATGCAAGACTTACCAAAGGTGAAATCTAAGATAAACAAATGGATACAGTATTGATTATTTTGATCCTTAAAAAAAAGTACAAAAATCACCAGAAATTATGTTGCATTGGATGTCGTCATTTTTGTCGAGCCTTCGACTTTTGTCGAAAAAGCGAGACATAGCGATCCTACATTCCGTCGGCGTCGTCGTCGTCGGCGGCGTCCACAAATATTCACTCTGTGGTTAAAGTTTTTGAAATTTTAATAACTTTCTTAAACTATCCTGGATTTCTACCAAACTTGGACAGAGGCTTGTTTATGATCATAAGATAATATCCAGAAGAAAATTTTGTAAAAAAAAAATTCCAGTTTTTCCGTATTTTACTTATAAATGGACTTAGTTTTTCTGCCAGGAAATACTACATTCACTCTGTGGTTAAAGTTTTTAAAATTTTAATAACTTTCTTAAACTATCTTGGATTTGTACCAAACTTGGACAGAGGCTTGTTTATGATCATAAGGTAATATCCAGAAGTAAATTTTGTAAAAAAAAAATTCCAGTTTTTCCGTATTTTACTTATAAATGGACTTAGTTTTTCTGCCAGGAAACATTACATTCACTCTGTAGTTAAAGTTTTTAAAATTTTAATAACTTTCTTAAACTATCCTGGATTTGTACCAAACTTGGACAGAGGTTGTTTATGATCATAAGATAATATCCAGAAGTAAATTTTGTAAAAAAAAAATTCCAGTTTTTCCGTATTTTACTTATAAATGGACTTAGTTTTTCTGCCAGGAATCATTACATTCACTCTGTGGTTAAAGTTTTTAAAATTTTAATAACTTTCTTAAACTATCCTGGATTTGTACCAAACTTGGACAGAAGCTTGTTTATGATCAAAAGCTAGTATCTAGAAGGAAATTTTGTTAAAATTTTGTACCTGTTTATCTGTATTTTACTTATAAGTGGACTTAGTTTTTCTTCCAGTTAACATTAAATATGTACAGTCTGCAGTTAAAGTTTTTAAAACATTTATTAGATTCATAAACTATCCTGGACTTTTACCAAACTTTGACAGAAGCTGCTTACAATCAAAAGATAGTTTCCTCATTTTTGTTGAGCCTGCGATTAACAGCAAAAGTAGGCGAGACACTGGGTTCCGCGGAACCCTTACGAATTTTTTAAAATTTTATTCATTTTCATGCAAAAAGTGTATTATGATATTTTTTCATTTTCTGTCAGTCAAAGCTTACTGAATACCTTAAATCGAGATAGTTTGGTGTGGGGATATTTTGATCAATGTTTTATTTTGGTATGTTTAACTTTGGGGGTTTCTTCTTATGTACCAAAATAATCCAAATATGGACAACAGCCAAAATGTCCCATTTTATGGTATTATAGCATCAAACATAATACTAATCAAAAACTGGACATCATACTAGAATGATTGGTAAGAAAGATAATACCACTTTACAAGATTTAACTTTACAGTTCTTTTTGTTAGTTGCTTTCACATAACTTTTTCAGGTTTTTGAACTAAACAAATGTGACAACCATCAGAATGATTCCTTACATGAGCTGCTACAGGCCAAGTCTTTACAGATCTTATTTGCCTTAGTCAACTTTTCTACATATCAATCAAAAGACTTCATGATCATAAATGGAAATCAGCTTCTAAATAGGGTACTGACCAGCTCAAAGGCTGTCCTAGGATTTCACACATTGAAGGTAAGTAGTAGCATTACTAATAAAGGAAGCCAGATGACTCAAATGATTCAAGTAATCTCCATATTATAAAAAATGCAATTGACTCAATTACTTAATCAAATGAGTCAACAGAACAAATCTTTTTGTTCTGTTATAATCAAGTTTAATTGACTAAATTGATTCAGTTAATCTGCTTGATATACAATTGACTCAATTGACCCAGTGAACGCATTACACTTAATGCTTATGTTTTCTTATCATTCAGTATATCAAATGGAAGAAGGGAATACTTGATGCCTACAAATGTGACAACTCAGTTTCTGTATTTATTTTGATCAAATTATAAAGCAATGAGACACTTGCTTATTTATTGGCAAATTTTAACTTAAGTTCAATTTATTTCAGAAGTTAATTGATATGATTTAAGACATTATGCATGTGTCCATTCAATGTTATTGATATTTATTAGGTTTTGCTTGATGCTGCAACATCAGAATCAATGCTACGTTTTGAACCAGATGGTACCTTAGTTATGAGAAGGAAATCAGAAGCCATGATTACAAACATATCAGTGATTGTTGACCTTCTGCTGAACTGGAGGATTTGGGAAGGAGCAGACGACAATATACTTGTGATGATATTCCATGTCTTAGCATCATTAGTTCGAGATGATCATCCACATCAAGCTTTTAACCTTAAACAGTTTCATTCTATAAACCTGATCAGTAAGATTTTTAAAATATACCAGGTAAGTCAAATTTGTATGCAAAATGTTTTTTAAGAAATAGCTTGGGACTTATGTAAAATGCACTGAAATTGTTATGCCCTGTCTACAATAGCAAGGGTCATTATGTTTTCAGGTCTATGGGTCTATATTCTGTCCATTATTCAGTTCCTCTGTCCTGTATAAAGTTAAAGTTATTGGTTAAGGTCATTAATCTGAAGGTGAAGTTAATATCAACTTGAAACTTGGTAAGAATGTTCATAATGATATGAATTTTTTAAAGTATATGCAAGATTACATATTTGACCCCGATTTAAAAAAGATGCTAAATCAGGTTAGGTAAAATTGTGATTGAGACAGTTACCTACAAACACATGTTTAGATCAATGACAGTCTGGTTAGTATATTGTGTTCAACCATTTATGCATGCTTAACCATATGTCAAGTGTTTCTCATAGTCTAGACACTTAATCAATGCATATAGTAGAGGTGACTGAAGTCCTGAATTCACACAAAACAACATAATTGACAAAAGCATAACAGATAGTGATGTTTTAATGTACTCAACTAATAGAAAGAAAAAAAACAACAAACATGGTTAGGATCAGCTTTAAACTTGTTGCACTGTGCCTATATTTCTATGTTTTACATCTTTTATCCAATAGGAAAAAATTCAAGACAACATGAAAGCCTACTCTGCTGAGATTGCCCAGTCTGTCATCAGTATATTACAAAGCATGCTGGGAACACCACCTGACATTCACATAATCATGTCTATATGTGATTTTCTATTGTTTGTACATCCTGCAACAAATTCCTATGTCAACCACACAAAAAACAGCTTCTGTTTTGTAACATGGTGGAGTAAGTTTTGTTTTAGCTAGTTAACTTGTTAGGACAAGTGAAATGTCCATTTATTAGATATTAAGTAAGCAAAGTAAGGCATAGGTTTCTTGCATAATTTAAAAATGGAACATTCAAAGCATAACTTTTGAGTGTTGACACATTGTTACATATCGTCTAATAAAATGGGAATATTTGTACTAATATTGAATGAATAGAAACAGTTGACTTCTACCAAGCAGATAATGGATTCTTATAGAATATCAACAAGATCAACATTTTCAGTGATGACATAAATTCTTCTTGTTTGGAAAGATAGTTGAACAAGCTTGTTTTGGTTGAATGCTGTTCTTTCAATATTTACCATGTGAAAACCTTTTAATAACTATTTACGATCATTATTTTCAAATGTGCAACAAAAAGAAAAAAGTTTTTAGAATATCTTAATATTTATAAATTATCAATGGTTCTGCAAACAAAAAAGAGACTTTCTTATCTACAATCTCATCAAAGGGTGGTAGCCCTGAAATATGATGTTGCAGAGAAACTTCCTAGAGTTGAGAGACCATGTAAAGTCTATTTATCACTTTTTCTTGGTTAACTTTAATTAAGTTTGGCTTATGATGTCATTGTGATCCCCTCTGCTTGACTAAGAATTCACTTAGTTGAGTAGCTTGGGGTGGAAAATAAAAAAAATAATTACAATTATTTTTCATAATGATAATACTGTCAGTTCATTATGAATGTATTTTGCAGTTGCCCTGCTGATTAGTTTGGAAAAGTAAGATATTTTCTTTTAATTCATTTAACATGTATTATTTTGTTAACAATATCTGGACAAACTTGAACCATTTTTGTTAAGAAATCTTTTTCTTTTAAAGATAAGAATCTATCATTGCAATGATATTATTTCAGATGAAAAGTCTCCCAGCAAAAGAAAAGACAGTATATTTGTGAAGCATTCTCTGAATATAACAAGCACTCCTTATGGTAAAAAGATTGAAAAACTGACATCAGATGAAAATACAGGTAACTAGTGATATGTTAGGGCTATAACTTAACATCTTAGATATTCAATTACTATAGAAACCTTTTATTCTGTAGGTGTGTTATGTTATTTCAATAATGATATTGTTATGATATTGTTTTGATACTAATTTGTAGATGGTTATGAATGATATACCAGATTTTCTTGTGTCAATTTTGTTGAGTATTCTTTAAAATTAATCCCAAATGGGATTTTCTGATTTTACAGAAGTTATTTTTAATCAAATTAAAAGTGTTATGATACTCTCCTTTTATGAATGAAAGTAGATGTGAGATAGCAACCCAATGATGCAAAATAACCAAAGACATCTAAAGGTCAACATAGACATGTGTCTATACAGTAGGTCAAGTTCTAAAGTTCCAAATGCTAGGGATCTAAAAAGGTGGTGAATAGATTTAATAGTGACTGCCACCAACACCCAATTCTCAAAAGAAAAGAAAACCAAACCCAAACCAATTAAGAAAGGACAGATAATTATCTCTGACAAGGGTTCTTTATCTAGGACAGGTACATGACCATTGGTGTAGTATGTTTTAACAGGAATTTAATACTTTTGTCTGTCATATGCAGTTAATGTTTTGACCTAGCTTCTTTGTTGTGATGACACAAATCTATTGACCGTGCCAAATAATGCCATGAAACCACTGCATTATACCAGAGAAGTTATACAAGACTTTGGAAGTTAACAAACATTCTTTTTTTGCAGATATGAAGGCTAAAAGAACTTTGGATTTGAGTACAGACAACACAATTACTAATCCTGAAGATTCTAGTTGTCCAGGTTCTGATATAGATAATACTATCCAGGCAACCAAGAGTGATGATCTATCTAACGAAGAGGAAGTAAGGACTGAACCTAAAAATTTGTCAGAAGAAAATGAAGAAATAATAGAAACAGTATCAGATCTGGAAAAATCAGATAGTGGAAGCAATATGACTCATACTTCTGAAGAAAACTATAAACTAATTGAAAGGAGACTGTCAGTTGGGTCCTCTGGTGAAAGGAGATTTTCACTTGGCTCATCTGAAGGGGGTTCACCTAGGGCTGAGAAGTTCACCAAATTATCTTTATTAAAAAAGATGGGAGCTTATGCCTCATCAGGTTCTCTGTCAAGAGAAATGTCCACAGATGATGAGGAAGGATTGTATGCTCCTCGACCAGAGGTTGATTTTGATGAAGATGATGATGAACTAGAAGCAGAAAAGGGACTGGTTGCTCTTTGTGTTGGTATGTAGTACAAATGCCTTCTTGATTAATTGCAAAAAGTTTATACAGTAAAGTTTCTTGTGTAACTTAGACCATAAGATTTGATACTCTGTACATTGAAGTGAGCTCTTACATTAAAAAAACAAACTTTGGAGTATAATTTTCTGAATATGATGCCCTTAAAAAAGTAGTCTCTTACTTGAAGGCTGCTATGTTTGTTTGTTCCCTTGCCTTTTCTATTTTTGTGCGTTCCATTGCCTTTCCCTATATTTGTTTATTCCATTGCCTTTTCCTATGTTTGTTTGTTCCATTGCCTTTTCCTATATTTGTGCATTCCATTGCCTTTTCCTATGATTGTTTGTTCCATTGCCTTTCCTATATTTGTGGGTTCCATTGCCTTTTCCTATATTTGTGCATTCCATTGCCTTTTCCTATATATGTTTGTTCCATTGCCTTTTCCTATATTTGTGCATTCCATTGCCTTTTCCTATGTTTGTTTGTTCCATTGCCTTTCCTGTATTTGTGCATTCCATTGCCTTTTCCTATATTTGTGCGTTCCATTGCCTTTTCCTATATTTGTGCGTTCCATTGCCTTTTCCTATATTTGTGCGTTCCATTGCCTTTTCCTATATTTGTGCGTTCCATTGCCTTTTCCTATATTTGTGCGTTCCATTGCCTTTTCTCATGTTTGTTTTCTTCCATTGCCTTTTCCCATGTTTTTTTTCTGTCATTGCCTTTTCCTATGTTTGTTTGATATTTTGTTAGATTATTTAGAAACTATATTTTATTCACAGTTAATGGCATGCAGGAATGTGTTTCTAGAGTCAATCTTTGTCCTGTCATTCGGTCTTAGTTTATTGGATGTGTGATGTTGAAATGCATGTAACTGCAGTGCTTGTATTTTAGACAATGCCTAATTCACATTTAGTACAACTGGACATTGTATCAACTCTAGAGTTAAATTGAAGATTTTCTTATAACTTTACATAAAAATTAACTATCCAATAACAAGTTTCAGTCCTCATACAAAAGAAGATATTGAACGGAATTATTTATATGCTTACATATTTTAACCCATGCTCCAAGGGAGGGAGTATACTGGTCAACCTCTGTTTATTTGTCTGTCAATCCCATGGAAATTTTGTTGCATTTTTCTAAGGAACTACAATTCGAAGCTTCCTGAAATTTGGTATCAAGCCTCATTAGATTGTTTTAACTGTGTGATTGGTTTTCACCCAGATACTTATAGCTAGGTATCATTAGTTAGCAATAGTTCACAGTCCATTGTGTCTATCTGTTACTTATAAGTGTAAACTTGAATCTTTATTTCAGGTTTACTAGAAACTTTGACTAATGTGATGATAACACTGCCAGACAACAAGATCAGTAATGTATTTCAGAAGGTTATCAAACCTGACATAGCTTTAGTTCTGGCTCATCATAGTTCTCCTCAGATTAGAACTGCTGTCATACAGGTAAGTAGTGGGGCTTTGATGGTGAACATATGTTCTGATTCATAGGCTTCTTATAATTTTGAAATTGAGTGAATCAGGGGGCTTATGCCATTAAAAATAGATGCAATGTTGTAATAGAAATCTCTTCTATATATTTTGACTTGAGGCATTTTTGTTTTTGATTCTGACATTATCAACAAAAATATCAAGGGGGCTTGCTAAAGTTAAGTAATATTTTGACTAAAATGCTCTCTTTTTTGCAGGTTATTAAAGCCTATTTATTACGAGCTGGTGAAAAATTGGTCGAAGAGTTTATGCAAAAACAAAGTTTTCATCTACTAGCAGTACAGCTACATAATTATCCATCACATACAGAACAAATAGAAGAAGTTGTTTCTTTTATTCTTGGAAAACCGTTCACATTTGAAATGAGGTATGTTTAGTTATTGCCAAATGAATAGTTCAGAACATTAAAAGTTAGAAAAGCTAGATTGAAGAGTTGACATATTTATAATTTGGTATAAGACATTGTATGTTAATGTACACAAAGTAAATTGCATTAGAAAAGATATGGGAGATCATATTTTTTGGGTCAAATGATGAATGAAATAAAACTGACTTTATTCACCTATCAATGTACTAGAACATTCACTTACCTACAATTAGTTGTTCTATAATTTATTGACATGGTCCATATCATGAAAAGATAGAACATCAAAACAATGCTTATTAGAATGGAAATGTATTATTTGTTCTTATCACATTATGGAAGACAGAAAACACTGAAGATTAATCTTTTTGTATAAACCATTTAAGTTTAGATACACATTATCTTTTCATCTAGGAAGCAAAAATAATGACTAAATTTATTTTAAGCCAAAAACTAATCATGTAAAAGTAAAAACATTTTTATTGTTATTTATTGCAGCTCTATTACAATTGATGAGGAGCCCAATGAACTACAACAAGCTGCTTTTGCTGTTTTCCTGTCCCTTATAGAGAATACTTACAGAGATGTAGCCTTGTGTCATAACACCCTGACTCTTGTAATACAGGTAAAGACTGGGCTAGTTACTGATAGAGAATACATATAAAGATGAAGCTTGTGTCATAATTCTATTACTCTCATACTACAGGTAGGGGCAGGGCTAAATATTCTGTCCTTCCATCCGTCCATCAGTGTGTTCAAAAGAAATAGTTTCTTGATTGCAACTTGAGTTTCTTTGCTTGATTAGAATGAAAATTATACAGATTAAAGACACAGGGAAGATGGAAAAGCCTTTTGATTTTGGCATCGAAAGTTCAGTGTCACTGTTACCAAAAATAGAATATGTTTTGAAAAATGTTCCCAGATTATAATTTGAGTTTCCCTTGTCTGATTGGAATAAAACTTATACGGATGAAAGATATATGGAATGGGAAAAGGCCTATCAATTTTGGGTTCAATAGGTCAATGTTCAAAGTCACAATTACTAAAAATTAAACTTTAATATTTTTTTGGATTTTAACTTGAGTTTCCCTTGTCTGATAGGGATAAAACTTATACAGATGGAATATATATGGAAAGGGAAGGAAGACACCTATTGATTGGGGTTAAAAAGGTAAAATTTCAAGGTCTTTGTTACTAAAAAAAGATTGAAAATTGGTTTCCAGATAGTAACCGGAGTTTACCTTGCCTGATAGAAATAAAATTAATACAGTTGGAAGATTATGTGTGATTCTGGGAACATCTGTTCCTTTCTTTGTTGATATTTTACTTCATCAATATGAGTTTAAATTTATTTTGTTAGAATTTTCTTTTTTTAATTACAGATGTTTGAGAAAAATGATATGATAAGTTCATTGATGTTAGACAACAGAATAATTGAAGTGATTACAAATCTAGTGGCTAGAATTAACAGTATTACAACAAGGTAAAATTTTGCTAAGATAAAATTTCAAGAAGTACTGTGATATTAGGAGTGAGAGCTGTTTGTTTTAAATAATTGTTGAAATAGGAGACTTACAAAGGCTAGACATTATCAGATTTGATTTTTTTAATGTTTTAATTATTTTTAATTTAAATATGAATATGTCAGTGAGAAATCTACCGAGTGACACAAAAGATTAACCAAAAGACATGTAGCGGTCAACATAATAATAAACAAGGGTTAATACAATATGTCGAGCTCTTAATTGCCTCGAGCCTAGAACATTTGAATGACTATCATAATAAGGAAAGAATATTATATATTGGCATAAATCTTTTGCTGCTTTGGTATATAATACCATATTTTTTCAGGTATACAATTTCCTAGTTTAATAGTATCATTATATGTATGTCTTTAAAAGTTTAAGTTTATAAGGGTTCTTAATTTTACAGTGCATGAAGAAAAATTAGTACATTGTGAAAAAATTAAAGCTTTTGCAATAGTTTGGAAGTAAATAAAAAAGTTTCACAATTTGGATAGTAAATACTTGATTGTAAATCATTCAGTTGGTCATTTTTAGTACACATAAATTTCATAAATATGCAGTACACTACTGACAGAAATGTTTGACATTGATGAAAGTTTTTTTGTGTAATTGTTCTTTTGAATTATGCACTAACTGTTTATGTTTATGTTTACAGATTTACAGATATGGAAGGTATTGATGAATACCAACTGATTCTTGAGGATATACAGATGTTATTGTGTAAAATTGCTATCAGAGAGTTCAGGTATAAATGTTGTTTTTAAAATAACTAGTTATACATCTGGACAATTTTGTGACCAATTTGTGTGACACATGGATTTTATGGGCAGAGACAAACTGTAATTTTGAAGTACACATTGTATCTTGGTACTCTTCTCCACCAATAGAAACTGGCCACCATGAAAAAGACCAGGGTGTTGACAGTGACATTAAGCACCAACAATCAATCAATCCTTTTTTATACATATTTGACAAATAAGAATTTTTTTATCTTGGTATATATCTTGTTTTTTTTTTAATTTATCATTTTCATGGGTACCAATTTTCATGGATTGAGGAAAAATTGTATATTCATGGATATTTGATTTCATGGTTTTGCTGAAGTCTGCATACAAGCCTTTAGATAATTGGCACTTCATTGAACATCTTAATTCGTGGTTTAACTTTACCCATGAAATCCCAGAAAATTGGTATCTCACGAGTGTTAATGAATCCACAGTATAATGTATATACTTATTTCATTTTTTTTTCAGCAAAAAATATCTATTTTCTTCACGCAATTTTCCAATTGACCATGTGATCTATTCTTTTTTCCAGGTGTTCAGGAAATACCCATATACAGCAATGTGAAGAAATTTTAGACTTATTAAAGTTGTTAGAACATGTTGAAGAAATTGTATATGGTGCGTATAAAAATTTTACAGATAGATTTTGTGTTTTTTCTCATACCATATTTGTGGTATTAAGTTATGTTGTGCAATACGGATCAGTTTCTGACAATGAAGTGTACATCATTTGTACATATCATATTTTTTTGTGTATAATACACACTTTTTTACCCCCAAAATTGTAGTTTGTAGAGGGGATGCGTATTATAGACGGTTTCTGATTTTTATTTTTTTTTTATCAATATTGTTTTTTTCTTTAATATTGTATAAAATAAACTTTATTTTATACAATATTTATTTAATAAAGATGTTTTTTATTTTATTTATTAATTTGTAATTTTTTTTTTAATAACATTTTTTTCCTTCATTATTGAATATTCAAAGTACTGGTGTGACATCCTGTATGAGTGGGCTTAAAATGTAATTAAGGATTAAGTATGGGTGTCTAGCAATTGAATAATCATGTCAACTTTTGACAGGTGTTCAATATGTTAACTCTTTTTCATTTTTTTTTTTTCACGATTTTGGAGGTATGAAAAGGGGTTGCATATTCTACACAACTGCGTATTATACATGGCTAAATACGGTATTTTACATCAAAGGCTGTCAAGTACAAAAGTGGTTGTTTGTGCCCCCTATTTTCTAAAGCAGGCAGTATATATATAGTGATGGGGGAGTCCACCTGTCCATATGCCTGTTGATTCGTTTGTTCATTTGTCAATTTGTCATTTCTTCCCATATTTGTATTCCCAACTGCTTCTGAACCACTTCAAAGAATTTTCTGAAACTTACACAGAATCTTGATGTACTTTTTCACCTTCTATTTCATTTCTACATCCCAGTGATTTGGGGTTTACTATGGCATGGGGTTTTGTCTAATCTGAATACTACAGTAAACATTTATATCTGCTTCGCCTTAACATCTGACCAGAATTTAATGAAACTTTCTCAGAATCTTAGCCATTTAATGCCATTTTTCACCTCTTATTTTGTTTTTTTTATTTAAATTATTTATTTGGTTTCTCTAAGCAAATAATGGACTTTGCCATTGCTTTATATGGGGTTGGGGTATTATTTTGTTACCTTTGCTCACAGTACTTCTACTTTAAAGTGATGTTAAATAATTGGTACTTTTTGCTATAAAATACTCTATATACCTTCCTTAGTATCTCAGTTTATAATTCAAACAAGCTGTTTGAAAAAATATGCATAAAAACATTTTAAAGAAATTATTTTTTCTACCTTTTTTCAGGTAAGAACTCCAAACAGACAGAAACTGTGAAGGCTCTTCAGTTTGTTGTTGTTTTGTGTGTGTTGACATTTGTTGAGAGTGAGAGTCAGGAAGGAACTATTAATGTTAAATCTAAACCATACAAAAGAACAACCAGTACTTATGGTAAATTAAATATACACATTATATAAAAAAATCATACTAAGTCATCAGGAATGAAAAGTATGTTATCACTACCTCCCTTCAATAAATGCAAGAGAAATAATTACAGTTTTTGTAAGAAATTATACAGTTTTTGGAATAGTTTTATATATCCATGTTTGCAGTAAATTTTGTATTCTGTAAGATTTAAGCAAAATATAAATGGCAATTTTTGTCATTTTTAATTACTTAATCAGTTTAATTTACTTCTTTTCTTGCTTGTAAAAATAATAACATTGTTTTTCACTCTTTGTCAAATATAATCATTTAGAGCAAGTTTATTATTTGCTTCTGACCACTTCTTTCTATATTATTATGAACAATTTTAAATGGAAATCTCAATATAATAGGTATATGGGCTCATATTCTATGTCTGTGTTATGCATTTCTGTCAGCTTCATGATGAATATAAGCCTGTATCTCTTTAAAGATCACAATAAGTTAAGTATTCCGCTTTGTATTGCTGCAATTTTTGTATTATCATTGGATACCAAATATTTTAAGATTCATGAAATTTTACTCAATAGAAAAAGAAAAGTGTTAAAAGTTTCCTTTTATAAATTGATTAAAAACAATAAATTCTCATTCTCTTTTAAAGTAAAATTGGTATCCAAGTATAACATTTTTTTTCCTGTTTACCATGTATATATTTCCTTTGCAGGCAGCAAAATTACCATGCTTTTCCCATCCACCTCAATCCGACCATACAAACCCACTCCTACTTTCCAAAACCAAGGTACCAACAAAGTGACTACTTTTGTAGATCAGCCATTTGAAGACAGTAGGGATAAAAAATTTCACATCTCACAGAAACCAAATCTGGTTAGCAGGGCATTTTCTGTAGACAGCAAACCAGCAGGAATATTAGGGACTATTTTAGGACTTGGGAAGAAGAAAAGAAATGAGTTCATACCATTTTCTCAGTCTGAGTTTATCGATAGACTAAAAAAATGGGTGGTGATATCTGTTGACCTGATTGTTTTATCAAGTAAGTTGCAATAATATAGAATTTTTTCTGTCATCTTTAGACAGTAATATTGTAAATTTTTCTGTGGTTTTGGTTTTGGTATTGAAATATTCATGTTATCTAAATCTATATATAAAAAATGCCTATTTCATATTAAACAGATCTTTTTAAAGTAACTGCTAAGAGGTGTAAGTCAGCTGTCCTAACACACAGTTATGTTCTATTTTGCAATCAGAGGGAAAAATTAAAAAAAAAAATTACAGCAAAAATTTTATTACTTTAAGGAAAATAGCAGAAAAGATGTTCAGTTATTTTGAAGATTTTGAACATAGAGTAATATAACATTTATACTGATTGATTACAGAACTTGAAGAAATAAAGAAAACACCAGGCAAAAAGAAACTGAATTTATTGGAAAAACCTGAGCCTGTAACCATAGAAACAAAATACATTCGACGGTTATTTGAGTTTCTTTACCGAGCATTAGAAGTTACATTGTCTCAGGTAAGTTGAAGTGTGTATGTATACACACTTTGTACTTATATTACCTATCAGCAATTGACTGTTTTCAATAGGCCAATGCAAATCTTGTTTTTTTATCTGCACAGGTGCAAATATGTTTTTTTATCATGACAGGTGTAAATGTAGTTCATTTTTTTCGTGCATTATATAATTATTGATATTTTACTTTTTTCTTGCTTAACACACATTTATAAATTCATGGTTTGGAATTGGACAAATCAAAGAAAGAAGTATTTTATTTACAAAAATCTGGAATCCACGTTTGAAAATAAGGCAGGTGCTAGTTCATAAAATTAAAAATGGAAATGGGGAATGTGACAGAGACAACAACCCGACCAAAGAGCAGAAAACAGCCGAAGGCCACCAATGGGTCTTCAACACAGCGAGAAAATCCAGCACCCGGAGACGGGCTTCAGCTGGCCCCTAAACAAAAATGTGTACTAGTTCAATGAAAATGGATGTCACACAAAACTCCAAAACATATAAATAAACTAAAATTAAAAAACATACAAGACTAACAAAGGCAAGAGGCTCCTGAATTGGGACAGGTGCAAAATGCAGCGGGTTAAACATATTTTGTGAGTTCAACCCTCCCCCTATACCTCTAGCCAATGTAGAATAAACAAACACACAGCAATATGCACAGTTAAACTCAGTTTAAAAGAAGTCTTGAGTCCAGTGTCAGAAAAGGTAACAAAAGAAACTAAGCAAAATGACAATGATACATAAATACATGTTTAATGAAAGACAGTTTCTTAATGATTTAAAATGCAAATATGAGGTCTTTGATGAATTTCCTTGTATTTGAATTTCAGGACAGGATATTACCTAGAAAAGAGAAGAACTTGATAATGTGGGGAGCTAAAGATATTGTACGAGTTCAGGTACATTTGATTACATTTCTTTATTGTCATATAATGGTACAGTTGTTTTGATGGTATCAATCTGTGAACACGTAGGCTTCTTTGTGGTCAAGTTTGTTGTAGTTGACAAATCTTAATAACATTTGAGTGTTTTTTGTTGCCACAAAAAAGACTAATATTAAAGTTTAGTGTTGGTCAGTTAGGTATCAGGTTAAGGTTTTGGGTTAAGGTAGTTTATCATGAATTTATAGTCGTATCAACTTGAAACTTTATACATATGTTTATTATGTGAAATTATTTTAATTCTTGACTTTTTCTGGGTTTTGGCTAAAATTTCGTTGTTCACTGAACATGAAAATGTGATGGTTTGAGCAGAGTATTGTGTTCTAGGGACACATATTCTTTTATTTTTTCAATTGTTTTTTTTTATCAGATATAATTGATAAGTTATCAAAGAGGTTTATTGTTTTTAGTTTCGTCATTTGAACTCTTGTGGATAGTTGTGTCATTGGCAATCATACCACATCTCCTTGTTTTTATATGACTGTCGTATATTGGTATCATGTTGGCGGCATCCGAAGACATTTGGTTTCCGGACAATAACTTTAGTCTAAGTGTATTGATCTCTATGAAATTTAACCAAAAAGGTTCAATACCACAAAAGGAAGGTTGGGATTGTTTTTGGGGGTGATGGTCCCAACTGTTTAGGAATTAGGGGCCAAAACAAGCATTTTTCTAGTTTCAGGACATAACTTGTGTATAAGTATTTTGATTGCTCTGAAATTGTACCAAAAAGTTCAATACCACAAGTAGAAGGTTGGGATTCATTTTGGGGGGAGGGGCAATTTTTTTTCCTCCAAAGAAAATTCTCTTCAAATACTATTTTTATGGAGGTGGGGGGTCAATTTTTTTTCCTCAAGATTTAAGAAATTGTCAATTTTCCAAAGAAAAAAATTGGGGGTCACAAATGTATCCAGCTGCGCTCGGTGAAGCAGTTTATTATATTAGATGTATGTATTTTACACTTTTATCATTGCACAACTCCATGCATTGAATTTACAGATTGGTCGTTTGATTACGTTTATGTTATCACCAAGATGTCAGTTTGATGACAGAACATTCTTGTTATCTTATGTCCAAGGAGAACTTAGGGGCAGAGAAATACTCAGGACTGTGTTGTCAACAAACTCGGAAGTGGTGAGTAGCAGTGGGCAGACAAATTTTAAGAATAGACAATTAATTCATTTTTTAGACATTATAATTTTTTTCATGAATACCATGGACAATTTGAAAACACAAACCAAAATATAGTGGGTATTTATGTATGGAGCACTAGGTAATTCTTTGGAGTGTTCACAATAGATTCAGATATGGTGAGTATCCATAGGCAGAGAAATACCCAGAATTGTATCAACAGCAAGCTCAGACTTGATGAGTAATCAAGACAAAGAAATATTTAAGACAGTGTTAGCAACCAACCAGTTCAGAAAAGGTCTAGTATCAAGGGGAAACTAAAGCCTATTTTTCAAAAAAATGGAAGTGGTGAATCAACTTCCATAATTATGAACCAATGGAGATTAAATAACGGAGATTAAACAAGATTTTTCCTAGTTTTGTTTTTTTCTCTTATTCATTAAGGCATTCCATATGACCTTAGACAAGAGTTGTTAAGGTCTTGTTTGAAAAATGGACATGGTTTGTAATGAAAGAGGCACATTTATGTGTTGACTTTAATGACAAAACCTTAATGCTGTGAGTTTGTCAAAAGATACAATTAGCATAATTACAAAAAAAATAATAGTGTCTAATTTATTTTTAAAGGGAACAGAAATGGGTTTCCACATCTATGACTTGTGTACTTCATGGAAAGATTGGTTAATCAGTCAACAGAGAGATTATGCTCTCCAGTTCCTCAATATTCTCAAATCAGAGAAATTTACAGTATTCTCACCTAGTTCTGTTCTTACAGAAACCCAGATTGTACAGCTGAATGATGTGAGTACATATGTAGTTTATGTAAAACTCATGTGAGATTTTACCTTTGTCATTGCCAATTTGAGAACATTTTTGATTCAAATAGAAAATTTAGATTTGCCTATTCAATCAGACATGTAGATTTAGAATTTTTAATGAGAAGAAAAAGTAACAGACCTTGTGTGTTATTTTTCTTTTTAGTATAGCAATTATCTTTTGAATAATAAATTAGTAAACTTTTTTTATACGACCGCAAAAAATTATTTTTTGCGGTCGTATATTGGTATGACGTTGGCGTCATCGTCGTCGTCATCCGAAGACACATTGGTTTTCGCACTCTAACTTTAGTTTAAGTGAATGGATCTCTTTGAAATTTTACCATAAGGTTAAATACCACAAAAGGAAGGTGGGGATTGATTTTGGGGGTTATGGTACCAACAGTTAAGGAATTAGGGGCCAAAAAGGGGCCATAAATAAGCATTTTCTAGTTTCCAGACAATAACTGTGGAACGGTGTATGGATCTCTCTGAAATTATACTACAAGTTTCCATACCACAAAGGGATGGTTAGGATTTGCTTTGGGGGGTTATGGCTCAAACCGTTTAAGAATTAGGGGCAAAAAAGGGGGAAAAACAAGGTTGTCCTGGTTAAGGTGTAATACCACCATTGATTTTCCCCTATTAGTCTTTGTTAAATTTGCACTTTTCAAAAAATTGTACAGAATTTATCTTTGTTTCAAATAAAGAAATACTTGGCATGAGTAAAGTTTGATCCTGTCCAGTACTATAGAAAAAAATTCACATAACATTTCATTGCATATAAGAAAATAACCATCACTGGAAGTTAACCAATCAAATTTTCCCCCTTTTTTAACCTGTGTACAAGCTTTAGTAACCATGTAACCTCAAGTTTCCAAAATATTCTATAGAAACCCCAAATAAAAAAAAAATGGTGCTTTGAAATACCCAAGATATATGTTTATGACCCAGAAATGTTTTACTGCAATGAAATGTAGGATCAATTATCTACAACTGTCAAATTCAAGGGAATATTTTTTTTCGACCTATTTTCGTATGCAACCGGATGTGACGTACTATGATTTGGTGGTATTACACCTTAATGGACAAATACTTTAGTACAAAACATAATTTAAAGCAGTGTAAGGGAGATAAATCAAATACATCATTGAAATTATCTCCCTTACACTGCTTTTAAATTATGTATAAAGTAATGGTTAATGAACAATAAAGATAATCTAAAACAGTGTAAGGGAGGTAATCCAAATACAACGTTTTGGTTACTTCCCTTACACTGCTTTTAAATTATGTTTAAAGAAATGCATATTTTTAAAGAAATGCATATTTATAAAGGAAGACCAGTAAAAATATCTGCAAATGTTTTCATCTTTTTTTTTTTACAAAAAAATCCATATGAAAGATTTGACACTATATTTTTATTAATTCTATTATAAAATAGATTAAGTTAGCACTATGGTAAATTTAAATGGGTAATTATGGTTGCCATCTCCATTGGAAATTTGAATTGAGATTATGACCATATCTTGAGGGAAAGAATTTTTTTGGGGGAAAAAGGGGGGGGGGGGGATAAAAAGAAATTGTGGGGGGCCAATTTTTTCTCATTTCAGATTTCAGAAATTAAAAAGAATTATTCTTCAAATATTATTTTTTTTTCAAATTTCAAATATTGAAAAATTTCAAGAAGTAATCTTTAATTGCACAGTATGGCGCATTAGATTTATAAAATCTTTGATCACATTTATTTATTTGTTATGCCGAATCTAACAGTGTATTTAGATTTTTAATTTTGGGTCCAGTTTTCAAATTGGTCTACATAAATGTCCAAAGGGTCCAAAATTAAACTTTGTTTGATTTTAGCAAAAATTGAATATATGAGGTTCTTTGATATGCTGAATCTAAACATGTATTTAGATTTTTGATTTTTGGCCCAGTTTTCAAGTTGGTCCAAATTGGGGTCCAAAATTAAACTTTGTTTGATTTCAACAAAAATTGAATATATGGGGTTCTTTGATATGCTGAATCTAACCATGTATTTAGATTTTTTATTTGTGGACCCCTTTATCTAATTGGTTCATATTGAGGTCAAAAGGGTCCAAAATTAAACTTTGTTTGATTTCATCTAAAATTGAATTATTGTGGGGTTCTTTGATATTCCAAATCTAACCGTGTATTTAGGTTTTTAATTTTGGGTCCTGTTTTTTTAAATTGGTCTACATTGAGGTCCAAAGGGTCCAAAATTAAACTTAGTTTGATTTTAACAAAAATTGAATTCTTGGGGTTCTTTGATTTGCTGAATCTAAACATGTGTTTAGATTTTTGATTATGGGCCCAGTTTTCAAGTTGGTCCAAGATAGGGTCCAGTATTTAAACTTTGTTTGATTTCAACAAAAATTGAATATATGGGGTTCTTTGATATGCTGAATCTAAACATGTATTTAGATTTTTGATTATGGGCCCAGTTTTCAAGTTGGTCCAAATTGGGGTCCAAAATTAAACTTTGTTTGATTTCAACAAAAATTGAATATATGAGGTTCTTTGATATGCTGAATCTAACCATGTATTTAGATTTTTTATTTGTAGGCCCCGCTATCAAATTGGTTCATATTGAGGTCAAAAGGGTCCAAAATTAAACTTTGTTTGATTTCATCGAAAATTGAATTATTGGGGTTCTTTGATATGCCAAATCTAACCGTGTTTTTTGATTTTTAATTTGGGTCCCGTTTTTTAAATTGGTCTTCATTGAGGTCCAAAGGGTCCAAAATTAAACTTAGTTTGATTTTAACAAAAATTGAATTCTTGGGGTTCTTTGATATGCTGAATCTAAACATGTGTTTAGATTTTTGATTATTGGCCCAGTTTTCAAGTTGGTCCAAGTTGGGGTCCAAAATTAAACTTTTTTTGATTTCAACAAAAATTGAATATATGGGGTTCTTTGATATGCTGAATCTAACCATGAATTTAGAATTTTTATTTGTGGGCCCCGCTATCAAATTGGTTCATATTGAGGTCAAAAGGGTCCAAAATTAAACTTTGTTTGATTTCATCAAAAATTGAATTATTGGGGTTCTTTAATATTCCCAATCTAACCGTGTATTTAGATTTTTAATTTTAAGTCCCGTTTTTTAAATTGGTCTACATTAAGGTCCAAAGGGTCCAAAATTAAACTTAGTTTGATTTTAGCAAAAATTGAATTCTTGGGGTTCTTTGATATGCTGAATCTAAACATGTGTTTAGATTTTTGATTATGGGCCCAGTTTTCAAGTTTGTCCAAGTTGGGGTCCAAAATTAAACTTTGTTTGATTTTAACAAAAATTGAATATATGGGGTTCTTTGATATGCTGAATCTAACCATGTATTTTGATTTTGGACATTGGACCATAATAAGGTAAATTAAAAAAATTCAAGTTCTTAGACCACATTCTTTCTGTGTCAGAAACCTATGCTGTGTCAAATATTTAATAACAATCCAAATTCAGAGCTGTATCAAGCTTGAATGTTGTGTCCATACTTGCCCCAACTGTTCAGGGTTCGACCTCTGCGGTCGTATCAAGCTGCGCCCCAGCGAAGCATTTTATTTAAATTGGTCTACATTAAGGTCCAAAGGGTCCAAAATTAAACTTAGTTTCATTTCAACAAAAATTGAATATATGGGGTTCTTTGATATGCTGAATCTAAACATGTATTAAAATTTTAGATTTTTGGCCCAGTTTTCATGTTGGTCCAAATTGGGGTCCAAAATTAAACTTTGTTTGATTTCAACAAAAATTGAATATATGGGGTTCTCCGATATGCTGAATCTAACCATGTATTTAGATTTTTTATTTGTAGGCCCGCTATCAAATTGGTTCATATTGAGGTCAAAAGGGTCCAAAATTAAACTTTGTTTGATTTCAACAAAAATTGAATTATTGGGGTTCTTTGATATGCCAAATCTAACTGTGTATTTAGATTTTTAATTTTGGGTCCCGTTTTTTAAATTGGTCTACATTAAGGTCCAAAGGGTCCAAAATTAAACTTAGTTTGATTTTAACAAAAATTGAATTCTTGGGGTTCTTTGATATGCTGAATCTAAACATGTGTTTAGATTTTTGATTATGGGCCCTGTTTTCAAGTTGGTCCAAGATGGGGTCCAAAATTAAACCTTTTTTTTATTTCAGCAAAAATTGAATATATGGGGTTCTTTGATATGCTGAATCTAACCATGTATTTAGATTTTGGACATTGGACCATAATAGGTAAATTAAAAAAATTCAAGTTCTTAGACCACATTCTTTCTGTGTCAGAAACCTATGCTGTGTCAAATATTTAATCACAATCCAAATTCAGAGCTGTATCAAGCTTGAATGTTGTGTCCATACTTGCCCCAACTGTTCAGGGTTCGACCTCTGCGGTCGTATCAAGCTGCGCCCAGCGAAGCATGTTATTATTACTTGAATTGGAAAGAAAAATGTGAGTTCTTTTTTCAGTGTGTATTTTATATGCATGTGGAGTTTTTAAGAAATTACAATTAAAGCATCTGTAATGAAAAAGTGATTGCTTATTGAAAAAAACTTTTTTGTAGGAGAGACGTTTAATGGCATCAAAATTAGAACAAGGGAGGGAAAACTTAAGAAAGAAGAAGAAACCAATATATGATAGGTATTTTAATTTTTCAGTTTTAAGATTACTGCTAAAATAATAGGTTAAAAAGGCCAACTGCTATCAGAAATAGCAATTTAAGGAAACCACTCTACTTGAAATAAAGGATACAATATATATAGGATATAGTGTTTATGAAATAACTCCAATTACTATATTCTAGAACAAATCCTGAATTTAATAGTAGCAAATAGTATGGAAAGTCTACTTGACTTTCAGAAAGTCATGAACAGATTTTCAATGAGGAAAAACTCTTAATAGGCCAGTAAAACTTCTACTGTCATGGAATAGATGTTCCTTTATAAATGGAAGAAATAACATGGAATATTATTTCCACGGGAAAAAATATTACTGTATTTTTTCCTTACGGAATAAAGGGTATAAAATATTTGTTCCAACAGGAACCTATATTATGGCATTGTTTATAACAAATTTTTCAGGGGATCTTTTATTAGGAATAACAAATAAACATATACAATACATCATTTAAGAATATAATTTGATGAGTGCGTATGTACCTTGTCATACATGCTATCTTCATTGACTAAAAGCAAAATATTAAAGGTTAATTACACTTTTTTGAAATGTGAGAAGAAAATTGACTAATATTTATGTTTAAATTTCAGATTAAAAACAAAAAATGAAAAGTTATATCAAGTATTGTCAAAGCAGGCCATGGATGTCACACAGAATGTCACCCAGTTACAAACTCATGAAAGAAACAAAATGATTGAGCATGTCAAGAAAAAGATGACAGAAAAAATACAGATAAAGAAAATGTGGCAGGAACTTGTACAGAATCTCACGCATGAAAGGTAGCTAGAATGAAAAGTCAAAGAACTAATCATTTCTTGTACAAATATCACATATACTAATGTAATGATAAAGGGGAAAATCTTACCTGAATCTTCTGAGACTTTGAAACTAAACTGAGAAAATACATATTAAATTTGTTGGGCCTTACAAGCATGAAACATAGGTTGCACCTAGTAAGCAAGTATCACCAAAAGGCATATTTCAATAAAAATTTATTTTGAATTTTTACAGAAACCTTTTTTGATTTGATTGATCTCAACTATGGTATACTTGTTGACACATAATATTTATTGATATTATTAAAAAAGTAAATAAACATCAAACAGAATTTTTGTGTTTTGTGTGTTCAAATGTTTAAAGAAAAAGTAATTCAAGAAATTGAACTTTATTTAAAAATCTGAAATATTATAGATTAATGGCAAGAATTGTTATTTTTACCAGGGCAGTATGGCATTGCCAAAAGTCTTATCCAAAATCATGGCAGTTAGATCCAACAGAAGGTCCTGGTCGTGTTAGAAAGAGATTAAAGAGATGTCATCTTGGACTGAACTCAAGATTTCTACTGACTCAACATAAAGAGAAATTAGGTATTTGAAAAGAATTCAATTTAGCTGTAAAATTCTGAAATTTTTTTATCACTTTAAAGTTATTTTAAAATTATGATCATTGATTGAAGCCTTAGCATCAGATTCCATTACAAAGATGTAATCAATTCTGGTCTTTTTCAGAAGAAAGTACCATAACTGGTAATGTCTACAAAACTTAATGCTATTTCTAAGAAGCTTTTGTTGTCATTTTCTTTTGCAAAATTCCTTTTTAAGCTTTGCATTGTTAATAGGAATATAAATTACATGCTTTATTCATTCTGAAATTTCTAATGTCTGTTCACTTTGTTTGGAGAACTGTACAAGGCTTTATATTTTTTTCAACTTCTGTGTCCATAACTTGGATGTAGTCATTTGAACAATTTTGAAAGATTTGCCATTTTACCTGACTTAAAGCAGCACTTAATTGATTGATTGTTGGTATGTAATGCCACTTTCAGCACTCATGGCTGTATTATGGCGGCCAGGTTTTTATTTGTGGAGGAAGTCAGAGTACCTGGAGAGAACCACTGACAATTGGGCAGGATAACTGGTAATCCTAGTCAATTTAGATTGGAGTTAATGTACCTGCCACAATGAGGGTTCGAACTCACAACCTTAGTGTTGGCAGGCTAGTAATGATGGTGACCTTTCATCAAAACAGTTGGAAATGTGTTAAGATTGAGCATTAACAAGAATTTTCATTTATTACTCAGATAATCAATGGTGATGTTAATGCTTTTATTCGGCATATTTATACAGGCTTATTTATTGACTCACCTTTACCAGCTTGCTCAAACTCATCTATGTTCAAGATAAATACTTATGGTAAATGGTCAGATTAAATGTATAAAATCTCATAAGGAAATTTTATTTAAATGATATGATTTTTATACGACCGCAAAAATTTTTGCGGTCGTATATTGGTATGTGGTTATCGTCGTCCAAAGACATTTGGTTTCCGGACAATAACTTTAGTATTAGTAAATAGAAATCTATGAAATTTAAATATAAGGTTTATAACCACAACAGGAAGGTTGGGATCGATTTTGGGGGTTATGGTCCCAACAGTTTAGGAATTAGGGGCCAAAAAGGGGCCCAAATAAGCAGTTTTCTAGTTTCATGACAATAACTTGTGGAACAGTGTATGGATCTCTCTGAAATTATACCACAAATTTTTTATTTTTGAAAAAAAAGGGGGGAGGGTCAATTCGCAACAGCATAGTGTATTGCACAAAAGCAAAAAATTGAATATAAATTCAAATCATATAACCAATTCTAAGTTCTTTGACTACAGTTATTCTGTGTCAGAAACCTATTATGTGTCAAATATTTAATTACAATCCAAATTCAGACCTGTATCAAGCGCGAATATTGTGTCCATTTTTGCCCTAACTGTTCAGGGTTGGAATTACCTTTATTTCAACATTTTTTGTAGAAGAAAGAAAAGAAAGATTGCTGAAAAGTTTTTGTGTTCAATAGACTGATCAAATTTTCAAGGAACAATGTTGAAAATTCAAAGGAAAACTCAGTTTGTAACTGAAGTATATTGTGTACAAATACTACCACTTTCTATAACTTGTATAATATGGTCAGTAAATATTTTACAGAGGCAGAGAATATTGACCCACCATTGATTTATTTGTTTGAAGATGACCATCAGATGTCTGACTCAGCAGCACTTATATATCAGCTCTATAGGAATGAAAAAATACAGTAAGTGTACAGTAGGAATGTTTTATTTTTGTAAACACTTCATGTGTAGCAAATTTTGATAAAGAATTAAAAACATGTTAAAGGGAAAGATATTCTGGAAAAATTACATCTCTTTTTCAGTTTTTACAGAGGATCTGAAAAAAAAATGCATACTTCATGCAATTTAAATAAATATCTTGTTTATTAATTCACAGTTCCAGTATATAAATTAACATTGCATATCTAGCAAAGATATATTCATTTTGGTATGCTTGATAAGGATCTGATTTATGATCTTTACAGGGCTGAAAACTGGTTATTGATCCTCAAATTCAAGAACTAAAAACTGTGTACATCAGTTGAATTACTTTTGGATTATTATAAAATTACTAACCTTGGTGAATAAACATTTGTGTTTATATTAATGTTGTTTCTATGCAGTACATTATTAGAACATCTCATTGTTTGTATTTTGATAAAAGACATTTTAAGTTTTGACCTCATTGCAATCTAATGTATCAAAACTATTCAAACCAATTTGATGCCACTACTTGAACAGTTCAGTTTAAAATCAGTGTGGAAAGTCATTCTAAAACTTGATGTGGGCGAGTTGACACTTAAGGGTAAAGAAAGTTTGTTGGAATATGGTTTCTAACAACCTATAACAACATATTCAGGAAAAAGATGTTTTCATTTGCCTTACATAAAGTATAAATTATTTTTAGTAACTGTTATGATGGCATAGTTTGAAGAAAGTAAATATTTGTTTAATTTCAGACACACCTGTAAATGTACAGCAGTTGCCCCTAACAGCCAAAGTAAAGGAGAATTGCTTGTAGGTAAGGTAGCTTATATCATCTTGTAGGTTGTACCCAAAGTTCATTATTATTAGCTCACCTGGCCCAATGGGCCAAGTGAGCTTTTCTTATCACTTGGCGTCTATCGTCGTTCGTCGTCATTGTCCATTAACTTTTACAAAAATCTTTTCCTCTGAAACTACTAGGCCAAATTTAACCAAATTTATCCATCATTGGAGTATCTAGTTTAAAAATGTGTTTGATGACCCCGCCTACCAATCAAGATGGCCAAAATAGAACATAGGGGTAAATGCAAGTTTTGTCTATTATTTTGAAAATTTTATAAATAGAGAAAATCTGACTGGGGCAAAAATGTTCAGAATGTTGAGCTCTACCAGTTATCCAGATACGTCAAAACTGTCAGACGACTTTTGACATAAAAAATGGAATTGTCTATGAGGTGATGGTGTAATGCACTAATATTTCATACTTTTATCATAAATTCATCTCTTTATTAGGTGAGAACTCTGTGTTTTTTGTTGCTGATGAAGCCATTACTGATGCAAACTACACACAAGTGTTGCTAGGCAACAAAGATCAGTTATCCATGACTTGGCCTTATGATGAAATTCGAGAGATTCATAAACGATGGTACCAGTTGAGGGACAGTGCACTTGAAATATTTCATACCAATGGGAAAACTTGTTTACTTGCATGTGAACACAAACAGGTACATAACAAAATTAAAAGAGACCTTTTTGAGTAAGGATATATTAATAGAAAACTTTTCTAAATTGAACCAATTAGGAACATTTGATTTTTTTAAAGTTTGAAGACATATTTGTATAGTTATGATAAGACTAGTTTGAATGCTTATAATGCAGATACATGCACTATAGATTTCTATTTACTTTAGCTCCAAGACGACAGGTTATAAATCAACGCTAGGCTTATAATAGATTCATCAGCATACAAATGTCTATATATATACAGTAATACATCAAACTTAATCAAATAACTTTCTCAATATCAATGATCTGCATGGTTTCAAATGAATAGATTGCTGTATTAGGTGTATATTTGTTTTCAGTTGCATAGTTGAACAAAATTTGAAAAAAGTAATATACATAAATGAATTAAAAAAATAAAATTGAAAATTTTGAATGATTAAGAAAATTGTGAAAACTATTTTTCTTTTAGGATAGAGATGATCTTTATGAGAGGTTTATGAAGTTTGAGTTATCTAACTATGTACAGACAGAGAACATTGAGGATATAACAAGAATGTGGAAGGACAGCTTGATGACAAACTATGATTACCTTACACACCTAAACAAGTTAGCTGGAAGATCATTTAATGATTTAATGCAGTATCCTGTATTTCCATTCATTCTCAAAGATTATGTTAGTGAAAAACTAGATTTACTTAAAGCTGACTCTTATAGGTAAGGATATTTTAATAGAAAAATAATGTATACATGCTGAATATTTCACCAGATCAGAGTTATTTTTTGTTGTAAACTTCAGATTTAATATTTAAGGCTAAAAAATTGAAAGTTTTGAAAAGCATTAAAGTATTGTTGAATTCTCTAAACTTTATAATGACAATTTCTTGTTATTTTATTTTAACTATTCACTTATATTCCAAAGAAGTTTTTACTTAACTTTGCAGATAAATTTTATTGTTTGAAGCTGTAAAAAGGCGTCAATTGTTAACTTAATTTAAAAGATAAAAGGAACAGGTAAAATGTGTAGACAAAAAATAAATTTATTCACAGTCGTCAAAATCTATGTATTGGAAATTGAGAGTTTTACTTGGCTCAGATTTCATCCATATTTCATGTAAATTTAGTTATTTAACCATCCACACCAGAACTACCACATAAAAAAAACAAGCAAACATGAAAATTAAAAAACCAAAACATGAATTTTACAACCTGTTTTATTTCACTTGCATTATATTACAGAAATTTTTCAAAGCCAATATCTGTACAAGATGAAAGCAAAGAGAAGAAATATAAAGATAATTATGAGGTATCTATGCTACATTTATATGTGTGCATGAAATCTTGTTATTTAAATATGTTATTCAAAACTTTGCTAGTTACTTAGGCTTCTTAAGCTCATTACCCTAACAGTTAGTACTGGTATGTGCTTTTGCTCACTTGGAATGTCGACTGACATATTTTGTTAACTAGCTAAAAAATAAAAAATATTAAAGATTTTGTTATGGTCATTTAGTAATTATTAGATGTTGGGGAGACATTCTGAAGTTTTTGCAAAATTCTTACTTTATTCTTTTATTCTAAAATAATATATCAGTGTATAGCCCTTTGCTTGTTATACTTGGTATTCAAGTAGACATGAAGGCAAAATGCTTGCATTAACTGTATGGAAATTATGTGTGTTAGTTTCAGATATTAATCCTTAAAGATGTTTTTTAAGATATATGAAAAGATATGTTTATTGCAGTGATTGGTAGATTGGTAAGTTTAGGAGTATCACAAATACTTCCAAGGTAAAATTTGTTTTCCTGAATGTTGTTGCATATTTGAGATTACATTCCAAACATTTCATGAACACACTTTTATTGGCAGGTTCTGAATAGGCTACATACTAAAGTGTGATTTTTCTCTTCATTACTGCTTACGACATACAAAGAACCAAACCTTATTATGATCAGGTAGGAAGGAAACTTTACTGTCCAGAATGGAGAATATTTTCTATTGATGACCTTTATGTTAGGAGATATGTGCTGCATATTATCACTTGAGGAACTAATTGCATTTTATAATTTTTATGTTTTAAAACAGGCATTAAAGGCAGAGTTTGAGAGATATGAGGATCAGTCTACTATAGGAGTTGGACCATACCATTATGGCAGCCATTATTCCAACAGTGGGATTGTATTACACTTTCTTGTTAGACTACCTCCATACACCAAAATGTTTGTCAGTTACCAAGGTATATACTCAAAATTTAATGAATTTTTATTGAACCGTCTTTTATATTTGGCCTTTTTTTCAATTTTATAGCTAATCCTTTTGTGTTGCTGACATGTTTAATGCACTATTATTCTGTTCAAATTGTACTATGCTTTTATACTATGACAGGAAGAACCCAATACATGTATTATGGTACATTCCTACTATAATTGTTAAAAAAATTGAGTTTCCTCTAATGATATCCGAGAGGGTAATTATATATTCTATATTAAAATTTGTATTTCATTTTAATCCCAGCTTCAAAATACTATTATAAATAAAATTGAGAATGGAAATGGGGAATATGTCAAAGAAACAACAACCCGACCAAAGAGCAGACAACAGCCGAAGGCCACCAATGGGTCTTCAACGCAGCAAGAAAATCCCACACCCAGAGGTGGTCCTCAGCTGGCCCCTAAATAAAATTGTGTACTAGTTCAGTGAAAATGGACGTCACACTAAACTCCAAAACATATAAATGAACTAAAATTAAAAAACATACAAGACTAACAAAGGCCAGAGGCTCCTGACTTTGGGACAGGCGCAAAAATGTGGCAGGGTTAAACATGTTTTGTGAGATCTCAACCCTCCCCTATACCTCTAGCCAATGTAGAATAAGAAATAGGAATACGCACAGTAAAACTCAGTTTAAAAGAAGTCCGAGTCTGATGTCAGAATAGGTAACAAAAGTCGTTTGCATACAAAAGTTGAAAAGATATTATGCTTCCAAATATGTATCAGTAGTTGAGATTTAAAATTATATTAATTTTATGGTTTTTGTTTTCCAGATAATAACTTTGATATACCAGATAGAACATTTCATAACATGGAGACGTGTTGGAGATTAGCTAGCTCTCAGTCCACAACAGACTTTAAAGAAATGATCCCTGAATTCTTCTTTTTTCCAGAGTTTCTCAGGAATTTTGAAGGCATGTTCTTATTTTATTATATAATTGTTGATATCTCCTTCGTTTGAATATGCTTTGTATAATTTTTGCAGGAATAAAGAAAATAAAAATGATAAAAATTTAATAGGAAATACATGAAAATAACACTTAATAATTTTGTGCGTTCTAAGAGTTTCTGAATTTACAGTCAATAGTAACACTCAAAGCCAAAAATTTGAAAGCCATAGATGTATAAATAGTTATAAAACTGAAGAAGCTGAATGACCAAACAGAACATAAAAAAGAATTGCCAAATTCATCTAAGGCCAACTTCATACAAATGTCAACCTTTAGATGTTTAAAAGTCTGCAACTTATTATTTGTTGCACCTATTTGACTGCAATTTTATTTTTTTAATGTGAATTGAATTCATTTCAAAATTGAAAACTTATAACCATCCCTAATCTGTACAGTGTGTAACTTTTGTCCAAAAAAAATCTAAAAGTTCTAAAATAATTAAAAAAAACAAAGTTTTTAACTTAAAAGATTTCTTTTTTTTAAAGGTTTTGATTTTGGTAAAAGACAGAACAATGAAGATGTATCAGATGTTACTTTACCAGCATGGTGTAAAAATAATCCACGATTGTTTATAATAATTCTACGTCAGGCCTTGGAAGCAGATTACGTCAGACAAAACCTCCATAACTGGATAGATCTAGTGTTTGGCTATAAACAACAAGGAGAGGCAGCAATAAAGGCTGTTAATGTATTTCATCCAGCTGTAAGTAGTCAATGTTAATGTGATTCTGATACTGTAGATTTATTATTACCGTATTAGTGGGATTCAAATTTTTTTGGAATGTGTAGGTATAAGTGAAACACAAATTAAAATGTTCAAAGAAGTACAAATTTTTTATAGGCTTGTATGCAATTTGGCAAAACCACAAAATCTAATATCAACAAAAATAAGATTTTTCCTCAATCCAAAAATTGGTATCCACAAAAATAAATGAATCTACAGTAGGACATAGGTTTTGTTTAAAACTCTGCAGGGTTAGGAGTTAATTGGATTGACCTTTAGGTTTTTTATATGTTTTTGCGGTCGTATATTGGTATGACGTTTGTGTCGTCGTCATCCGAAGACACATTGGTTTTCGCACAATAACTTTAGTTTAAGTGAATGGATCTCTATGAAATTTTACCATAAGGTTCAATACCACAAAAGGAAGGTTGGGATTGATTTTGGGGGTTATGGTATCAACAGTTAAGGAATTAGGGGCCAAAAAGGGGCCAAAAATAAGTATTTTTCTAGTTTCCAGACAATAACTTGTGGAACGGTGTATGGATCTCTCTGAAATTATACCACAAGTTTCCATACCACAAAGGGATGGTTAGGATTTGCTTTGGGGGGTTATTGCTCTAACCGTTTTGGAATTAGGGGCAAAAAAGGGGAAAAAAACAAGGGTGTCCTGGTTATGGGCAAATACTTTAGTACAAAACATAATTTAAAGCAGTGTAAGGGAGGTAATTCAAATACAACGTTTTGATTACCTCCCTTACACTGCTTTTAAATTATGTTTAAAGAAATGCATATTTATAAAGGAAGACCAGTAAAAATATCTGCAAATGTTGCACCTTTTATTTTTTTTTACAAAAAAATCCATATGAAAGATTTACTGTTTAAGAGTTTTCTTCAAGGTGGCGATACCTGTGATCACTATGCTTAATCAAACTGGTTTAAATGACACAAATTTATTACTAGAAAAATGAAGGTTTCAAGTACAAGTCAGAAATGTTTCTGTAATTTCAGACATACTTTGGTATAAATGTAGACGGTGTCCAAGATAGACTGAAGAGACAGGCCTTAAAGACCATGGTCAATACATACGGTCAGACACCTAAACAACTGTTTAGACATCCACATCCACCAGGAAGTTTTGTTAGAGAGAGTATGTCCAAAGTGATTTCACAGTTAGTACAACAGTCATATAGTGTCAGTGTTGAGAAGGATTTTGATCATGGCTTTGTCTATGTAGTAAGTGGCAATACAACAATATTATCATTTATGTTTAGTCAGTGAAATATGTATAGCTTATACAAATATGATAAGTTGGAATTTTGATAAGAAAATTAATGTTGATACTAATAAGACTTTTCTTTACTATCATATCAAAAAGAAATTTAAGTTTCACTAGAATTTATAAAAAAAAATGATGTTTTATTCAAGCATGAAGATAAATACTGACCTTGACACTAGATGTTGTAGCTATCTAATGCTTTATTGTATACACAAAGTACATATTTTGAACAATTACAAATTAAAAGAGATCTAAGTGATAATAAACTTTTTTAATATACTTTTTTTTATTTTGCTTCATTTATGTTAAGCACTAAAATCAATACTTTTTGAGAATTGATCAGTGTGTAAAATATGTTTTTAGAAAATTTGAAGTGGATAAATAATTCATTGTTATACATTTTATTCAGCCTAGTCCATTAGAAACAGTAGAAGGTTTGAAGTGGGGTAATTACATTGGCTCTCCAGCCAATCCACCACCAAAAGTAGTATGGCAGGAAAAGTATTCACAGGTAGTTGCCTCCCTTTTACCACTTCCTACTGGTGATGTCATTGGTGTAGGTGTTGATACCTGTTGTCTTACAATGCACAGCAAACAGAAAGGTATTTTAAAACATGTGTTTGATGTGTAGCAGCCATTTCCAAATTATGAGTAGAAATGTATTGCAATTACGTTAATTTATTGAATTACTTATGGAAAGAATTAATTTATTAATGTAGTAGCATGCCTCAAAATGAGCAGATGCATAAATTTAAGAGCATAACTCCTTCCACCTTTTTAACCAAAATGGTTATGAATAACCTTTTTCTAACTGGTTCATTTAAATATCATTGTTATATACTTATATATGTGAGTTCGTGGTCTAGTGGTTGAGACCGAAGGCTACAGTGCTGAAGGTCCAGAGTTCGATTATCACTTGGGGTGCTAAAAATATCAGTACATCAGAAGGGTGATTTTCACCCTCTCACACACATCTCTGGTACCCAGACCGGAGTTTAAACTAGAATGGGTACTTTGGGGGCCTCAGTTGGTCAAAAGTTGCTCCCGACTTTGACCTGGAGATCAATCTGCTAATATCTCTTTGGTTTGTCTGTTCCCGCCAAGCAGCCCGGTGGTTCTCTCAGAGTACTTCGGTTTCCTTCACCATAATAACAGATTCTGCCCGGTGTCCTAACACTCCCTGGTGTTGGGGTGGGGATTGTCCTTGTAAATATTGAACTTTGTAAATACGTTAGTGACACATCTCGATAGGGAGTGTACATGGATTCCACTGTACCCTCGCAGATATCGAGGAGTTCTTCGGATATCGGAGGAATTTACCAGTACATACATACATACTCATGCTGTATTCATGGATAATAGAATTGCCATAATTGTTGATAGGGTTTACATGCAAGACAGATTTTTGTTGTTGTAATTACTCCTTTGTCATAATATGAATATAAAACATATTAATTATCAAAGCTATCAGATTACAATTAGTTATTTTAAATTTTAGGATCCACCTTGTACAACACAACAGATGTAGTATGGGCAGCCATAGTCACATGGAAATTTCCAGATGGTATAATTAGAATAAATAACAAACCTGAACAACCTTACCTTAATCTCATACAACATAGTCCTTATGATCAGGTAAGAGCCAGTTATAAATAGCTGAAATCTTAATTTTAGATATCTTATGTAGATTTATATGTTATATAATCCTTCAACCATATCCAGCATAAGAAAATATTAATTTGATATCAATATGAACAATGCTGCATAATACACAGAAGCATTCATTAGGGCTGACATATGTTTGCTCACAAGGTAACAGTCTGCTAGATGACGTATCACTTCAACCTAACATAATATATACTCTGAAATCCAAGCTATACAGCCATTTCTCTTACTCTTAAATCCGCCGCCTTAGGGTAGAAGCAGGAAATTCCATTTTCAGAATTACAATATCTGGCAATTCAAAGAATTTTACATTTACCTGCAAAGCTTCAAATCTTTTGCTTTAGAAGATACTGTAATGACACATGCATATGATGCCAATTCATTTACAGCATTTCAAAGGGAAAGTGCTTGTGGCAGTAAAATTAAACTTTTTTTTCAAAGAATTAGAACAACACTATGTAATATCAAGGTTAAAAGTTGATGGTAATTTGATAGAATTTTGAAATAATTATGTGGAGCTGAATTGTTGAGTTCAACAATTATTTAATATTGTATATTTTTTTTCTCAGGTTACCTATATAGCTGCTATAGCGGATTGTCCACATCTGTTTGTTGGTTGTGAAAGTGGATCTATTACAGTTTATCAGACTGTCTTCAACCAAGCCAAGGTATTCAAACATAAAATTAACTCAAGATTTTATATACAGACATTTAAGATTGATTGATGTATTATGGATTGCTTTATGTCCATTGACAAGTATTTCTTGCATATTGATGATAAGAAGAGGTTAAAGAATAACTCAAAAAAGTAGTATCTTCACAGAATATCCATTGATACGTGAAAATTAAACTGCCACTGAAAAAGACATGGTTAGAAATCTTTTAAAACAGTTGAAATGTTGACTTTTGCAATGCTGTAATAAAATGGTATCCAGGTATAACATTACTACAATTAACTATTATACTTTCAGACAAGTGACATACAGATTAAAGGAGTAAAACATGTGTTATATGGTCACACTAAAAGGATTACACAGATAGTCATATGTAAGGCATACAGTATATTTGTTAGTGCCAGTGAAGATAGAACTTGTATCATATGGGACTTAAATAGGTAAGTCTATATATCATTAATTTACCACTATTATTCTCACTGTTTTTTATATTAATTTAAATAAGGTTATAGAAATTTAATATACTATACTGCATATTTTTATTTAATGAAATTTAGACAAACATTTCCGTAAAATGGTATTTTTAGAATAAATGCTAGTACACATTTTTGTTTAGGAGCCAGCTGAAGCCCGCCTCCGGGTGCGGGATTTTCTCACTGTGTTGAAGACCCATTGGTGGCCTTCTGCTGTTTTTTTGCTCTTCGGTCGGGTTGTTGTCTCTTTGACACATTCCCCATTTCCATTCTCAATTTTACTAACAGATGTATACAATTTGTCAACCTTTAACTTTTTTGTTGGTAAAGAATTGGTGGCACTCAAGTTTTTTTTTATAATAAATAGATAAAGACAACAGTAGTTAACCCATGTTCAAATCTCATAAATTGTTTAAAAACAGACAAGTCAAGGTAACAAGGTAACAAACAAAAACTAAGGGGATTTCTTGAACTAAAAAAAAAAGTTATATTGCCTTTTTGTACAGGGCAAGTGTCTCCTGCTATGCAAGTATAGACCATGGAACCATTCCTTATCATATTTTCCTTTTGAATGCTCTTTAATCTCTTTTTAAAAAATATGAAATTGACCAAGATATTGTCATTCATAAGCTTCTGTATAAATTAAAAATCAGGGAAAGGTGATGTTTTGCCAATTGAAACATACGAAAGTTTTGATAGTTTGTATGAAAATCAGGTCACCATAGCCTCCATTTTATGAAACAGAAATTATTGTGAAATTTATGGTAAGGATAGTTGTAAACAATTACACCTGACAGATGAGTTATACATCAATTTGGCATTGATATTTATGAAAGTCTTTTAAAATAGAGTGACCTGCATTTCATGCATCTGTAATAAAGTCGAGACCAAGTTAAATAATCACAATACAAAATACAAGAGAAATTTGTTGTCATTTATCAACTGCTTCATTTTTTATACGACCGCAAAAAATTTGCGTTCGTATAATGCTATCATGTCGTCATCGTTGGCGTCTGAAGACACATTTGGTTTCCGGGCAATAACTTTAGTTAAAGTGAATTGATCTCAATGAAATTTTACCAGAAGGTTCAATACCACAAAAGGAAGTTTTGGATTGATTTTGGGGGTTATGGTACCAACAGTTTAGGAATTAGAAAAACAAGCATTTTTGTAGTTTCCGGACAATAACTTGTGTGTAGGTGTATGGATCTCTTTGAAATTGTACCACAAGGTTCCATATCACAAAGGGAAAGCTGGGATTGAGTTTGGGGTAATTGCCCCAAACATTCAGGAATTAGGGGCAAAAAAAGAGCCAAAAAACAAGCATTTTTCTAGTTTCCAGACCATTACTTGTGTTTAAGTGTATGGATCTCTCTGAAATTGTACTACAAGGTTCCATATGACAAAGGGAATGCTGGGATTGAGTTTTGCGGTAATTGCCCCAAAACTTTAGAAATAAGGGTCAAAAAGGGGCCAAAAACAAGCATTTTTTTAGTTTCCAGACAATAACTTGTGTTAAGTTTATGGAACTCTCTGAAATTGTACATTTTTCCTGAAAAGAAAACAATCTTCAAAATTAAAAAAAAAATTTGGAGGGGGGGGGTTTCAAATTTTTTTGGGGGTTAATATTTTTTTTTCTTCAAAATTTTTGAAATTTCAAATTTTTTCATTGGGGAGGGGGCGTGAAAAATTTCTGATTTATATATAAAAGCAACAAATACTGATATGGCAGGAGATACACACCAAACAGGGTGTGAAAATTATTATATATAACAGATTAACTAAGTTTTGTGCAACAGCACAGTATTGCGCAATAGCACAGTATTGCACAATAGCAAGAAATCTTCGATTGAAAATAAATACAAATCTTTTAACCAATTTCAATGAGATTAATTTAAAGTCTTTTGGGGGTTCTTACCTTGTATTACTATTTTGGATATTGGGCCCCATTTTTAAATTGGTCTACATTGAAGTCCAAAGGGTCCAAAATTAAACTTTGTTTGATTTCATCAAAAACTGAATTATTGCGGCTCTATGATATGCTGAATCTTATTGTGCATTTAGATTTTTTATTTTTTGCCCTGTTTTCAAATTAGTCCATATTAAGGTTTGAATGGTCCAAATTTAAACTGTTTGATTTCAACTAAAATTAAATTTTTGGGTGTTTTATTATATGCTGAATCTAACCATGTTGTTAGATTTTGGATATCAATCCATACTAGGTAAATTAAATGTCCCATTTCAAATTTTTGTCGAGGCTGCGACTTTAGTCGCAGAAAGCTCGACATAGGGATAGCGATCCGGCGGTGACGGCGGCGGCGGCGGCAGCGGCTGCGGCGGCGGCGGCGTTAGCTAACTTCTTAAAAGCTTTATATTTTAGAAGATGGAAGACCTGGATGCTTCATACTTTGTATATGGATGCCTCATGTTACGAAGTTTCCGTCAGTCACATGTCCAATGTCCTTGACCTCATTTTCATGGTTCAGTGACTACTTGAAAAAAAAGTTCAGATTTTTTGTAATGTTAAATTCTCTCTTATTATAAGTAATAGGATAACTATATTTGGTATGTGCGTACCTTGCAAGGTCCTCATGCCCGTCAGACAGTTTTCACTTGACCTCGACCTCATTTCATGGATCAGTGAACAAGGTTAAGTTTTCGTGGTCAAGTCCATATCTCAGATACTATAAGCAATAGGTCTAGTATATTCGGTGTATGGAAGGACTGTAAGGTGTACATGTCCAACTGGCAGGTGTCATCTGACCTTGACCTCATTTTCATGGTTCAGTGGTTATAGTTAAGTTTTTGTGTTTTGGTCTGTTTTTCTTATACTGTATGCAATAGGTCTACTATATTTGGTGTATGGAATGATTGTAAGGTGTACATGTCTAGCTGGCAGGTGTCATCTGACCTTGACCTCATTTTCATGGTTCAGTGGTCAAAGTTAAGTTTTTGAGTTTTGGTCTTTCTTTCTAATACTGCATGCAATAGGTCAGCTATATTTGGTGTATGGAATGATTGTAAGGTGTACATGTCTAGCTGGCAGGTGTCATCTTACCTTGACCTCATTTTCATGGTTCAGTGGTCAAAGTTAAGTTTTTGAGTTTTGGTCTTTTTTTCTAATACTATATGCAATAGTTCAACTATATTTGGTGTATGGAAATATTTTATGATCTATATGTCAGTCACGCAGGTTTTATTTGACCTTGACCTCATTTTCAAGGTTCATTGCTCAGTGTTAAGTTTTTGTGTTTTCGTCTGTTTTTCTTAAACTATAAGCAATAGGTCAACTATATTTGTTGTATGGAAGAATTGTTAGCTGTACATGCCTGCCTAGCATGGTTCATCTGACCTTGACCTCATTTTCATGGTTCATTGGTCAATGTTTAGTTTACTTGGTTAATGTTAAGTTTATGTGACAGTTGTAATAAAGCTTTATATTTAGGACTATCAACATAATATCAATGATTAGTAAAGAAGGCGAGACATTTCAGCGTGTGCACTCTTGTCTTAAACTATAAGCAATAGGTCAACTATATTTGTTATATGGAAGAATTGTTAACTGTACATGTCTGCCTGGCATGGTTCATTTGACCTTGGCCTCATTTTCATGGTTCATTGGTCAGTGTTTAGTTTTCTTGGTTAATGTTAAGTTTATGTGACAGTTGTAATAAAGCTTTATATTTAGGACTATCAACATAATATCAATGATTAGTAAAGAAGGCGAGACATTTCAGCGTGTGCACTCTTGTTAAGATCTTTGACCACATTTATTGTGTGTCAGAAACCTATATTATGTCGTAAATTTGATCACAATCCAAATTCAGACAGTATCAAGCTTGAATATTGTGTCCAAACTTGCCCCAATTGTTTAGAGTTCGACCTCTGCGGGCGTATCAGGCTGCACTCAGCGAAGCATTTTATTCTCTGATATAAAGTCCATACATTTAAAGTTTTGTACATGTTGTTAATTACAGATTAAGTTATGTGAGGTCAATTGAAGGTCACAGACAAGGAGTAGATGTTGTTGCCATCAGTCCAACTGCCGGGGATATAGCTTCAGCTAGTAGACAAGGTAAGATATAGTTAAACTACTGAGCTATACGGGAGAAGTAATTTATATAAGTTCCAATTGTAGTTGCCTGACAGATTCTAGGAAAAGTGGTGAGATGGGGCTAATTGTTTAATAATAACCAATATTTCACATGTGAAATTTATCCTGTAAAACTATGACATCATACAGCAAATGCAGTGCTCAAATAAGCAGTTTCCCACTTTTTATATGCCCGTTTACAGGACGTATAATGGTATACCATTGTCCGTCTAAATTTTAGATTTTACGTTTCTGAGTTATGGGATTTTCTAGTTTTAGGACAATAACTCAAATATGCTTTGAGCAGTTTTCATGAATGTTTGGTGACTGGTTTATATCTATTGAAATAAGCTCCCTTTAGTTTATTTTATAAATTTTTGATATGACATTGAGGAGCTATGGAACTTTATTCGTTGAAAAAGCGACAGGCGTATCATGCACTCATGGCTCAGCTCTTTATTTGATGTGGGCTCATAAATGTGTAAACTTGTTAGCCCACATGGCGGGTGCACTTTGAAAATTATTATTATCAAAATAGCATAATATCGAGTGTAGTTCACAGAAACTCCTTATGGTTACCTAACTGGGATCCAACTGGGATCCGCTCAAATGAAAAATAATCTGCCCAAAACCAGCTGTAATACAGTTACGTGTTTTTATTTTTAAGCCTGGGATCCTAGCTTACTGTTCGACTGAGGGGAAGCTGAGGTTGGGCCAGGATCAACTGATCACAGACTCCGTTTTCACTACTTGATTTCATTTACGCATGCATGTGTCAAACTTTTCAGGCTGTTCTATCTTATTAACAACTGTCATGATATGTTTTCTAACTTTGTTGATGAAATATTTTGGTCTTATACATGACCTCTGAGGTTGTATTCGTCTCAGACGATATAAGCATATTAAAAAAATTTAAATGAAAATTGTTTCACTGCCTTAGATTATATACCCAGATTTTGGTATATTTATTATTTCTTAATCTTATTTGTGCTGATTTTTTTAAAAAGTATGTTTCTTCTCGCTTTGTTGTCAATATTTAACAGTCCATGTTTATATCAAGTAATGTCTTGCCAGGCAAGCCTGAGAAAATATTTTTTTCTACTGCTTCTAAACCATTGAAAATCCTGAATTTCATAGAGCTGAATAGGAGAAAGAGAAGCAATTGCAACAATTTATGAAAAAATGTCAATCAAATCGCCCATGGCTATCAGATTCAAATAATGGGATGGTATGTAAAAATACAACATACAAATCATGCAATGTCCCGATGAAGTATGAGTTTAAATAAGGAAATCAGTGAACCCACCAACACATATACAAATACACAAATTTTCAGCTTGAAGCAGAATCACACCTTTAGAGGGATTTAATTTGACTTAGGTGTCCCAAAATTTGTATTGGAAATCAAAATTTCCATAAATTTTGTGGGCTATTAAGATTAACTGTGGACCCCAAAATCTATTTTACTAGGGGCCCTACATGGCTACTTAAAAAAATAAATAAAGTTCAATCCCTGAATAGGTGTTGTCAAGATGTTGTCAATAATGTTGCATCAAAACAAAGTTCCTTGCATTTTTATACATTATTTGCATACAAATTTAATGTAATAAAAATAATTAATCCAAGATTTCATAAAAGAAAATATTTAACACGTAATAAAACTACAAGGATGATTATCTCATGCCCTACGTACATTCTTCAGTTAATGTGTTGTTCGGTCACTCATGGAATATTTTTCTACATTCTCAAATTCACCGATTAGTTATTTTATTATATCATGATGTGTTAAGATTAAAAACAAGGAAAAAAGTTGGAAATCAAAAACTTATCAGTTCCAGTACAGATTAAAACAATGGCAGGTTTTGTTTCTAAGAAGTTTAAACCTTAATTGTAAGATAATTATCTTGTAAATGCACAATTGCAAATGGTATTGAAAAAAAACTTAAAATGAATGATAGGTCACCATACATGTTTCAAGAAAAATGAGGCTCAAAATTGGTAATTTTGGTGAAATTTTCTTTCCCATTTAATATTTTCTATACTGGTATTTTCAGAAATAAATGGGAAAAATTGGTTTTATTAAAAAGATATGATATATGTACATTAGTGAAAAATTAAAACATGATTGAATTTTTCATTGCATGCCAATTACTTTAATTTGCTGACCTTTCAGCAGTTTTGCAAGTTTCCTACGTTGGCATTTTTTCAAATATTTTTATAGGAGTCAGCTTTTATAGGAAATCAAAAACTTATCAGTTCCAGTACAGATTAAAACAAAGGCAGGTTTTGTTTCTAAGAAGTTTAAACTTTTTTTTAAAGATAATTATCTTGTAAATGTTCACAAAGGAAAACTGTAAACCTGTCTCTCTATTCTTAGGACTTGGAAGTTGTTTACTACTACACAGTATAAATGGTGAATACATAGATATTTACACATCTCAGGACCATGTGATCAACTGCCTGGCTTTTTCTACAGCACCAGAAGGACAGTCTATTAATGTGATAGCAGGAGGTCTAGATAATGGTGTAATCAGGTATGTCATTGCATCATACATACCCCCAAACAAAGATTGCATGGGAATTCATTTCTTTCATTTTGGCAAGTGCATAAAACCTGGAATTTGTCTAGCATAAATTTTACTGAATCCAAAGCTCTAATTCATTTTAGTTTAGGAAGAGTCTTTACAATTGCACATATTGAAAAAAAAATTACAATAAATGATAGGTTACCATATTTGTATCGAGTAAATGAGGCTCAAAATTGGTAATTTTGGTGAAATTTTCATTCCCATTTGATATTTTCTATTGCTGGTATTTTCAGTAATAAATTGGCAAGATTAGTTTTATTAAAAAGATATGATATATGTACATTGGTGAAAAATTAAAACTTGATTGAATTTTTTATTGCATGCCAATTACTTAAATTTGCTTACCTTTCAGCAGTTTTACAAGTTTCCTACATCTGCATTTTTCAAATATTTTAATAGGAGCCAGCTTTCATTTGGAATTCTGAAATAAATACATAAAAAGTATCTGTTACCGTGTTTATTTTAGAAAAATCTCTAAAAAATGTTCCTGTTAGCATGTCCTAACAACTCTGGAAAAAAAACGGTATTTTTTTATTTTGTAGAAGTCCTGTGATAATATTAGGTTATCATGGCGTCATCATAAAAAAAGCTCAATCAAATGTTCATTAAATTGTGTTAACAGTTATCTATCCTGAAGCTGTATTGACTTTGGTCAAAATAACAACTTCTGTGTTAATAAAAAAAACCAACAGTCATTTGAATAATTATGCATGAAGACTTTTTGTTATATTGATAGATCATACATTTTTGTTTATATTGATAGGATATGGAGTACAGTTGATTTAAGACATCTCCGAGATCTACAAACTGAGAATCTCATGTTAAAACCAGTTATGAGGTAATTATTTTCTTTGTATTCTTTCTATTGTTATAAAGGTAGAAATAACCTTCACCCAGTTATGTATATGTATTGTTCTTTGAGAGTGTTTTTTTTTTTGTTTTTTGTTGTTGTTCAAAATCAGTATCCTTTTTAATTGTATATATGTATTAATTTTCTAACCCAAAAATTACCTGTGTTAAATTCATGACAGTAAATACACCAAGAAAATAAGTTAAATTGAAGAAAATAAGGTAATTACAGTAAACTTTTGATGAAAAATAACTAAATAACTAGATAACTGAGTATAGCAGTAAAATATCAAATGATATAAAAATCTATTTACAGCCTTTAAAATATCAAAGGGCAATAAAACCTCTTTACGCCATGAAAAAAGCACAGCACTAAAATGCAAAAAGGAGCAAATGGAACTTGGAATCGTGCAAATGAAACAACCAAATGAGCGCAAATGAAAGATTGAAAATTTATATAATCGGCGCAAATGTCATATGCCCGGTCTGACTCATTGCAACTGTAATGATGTCATTATGATGTCATAATTGTGCACTCTCATAATGAAATTATAAATTTTTGGTTGAATTTTTACATTTTTTGCTTCAGATGATTCTGGCCACATGCATAGACCACCCTGATTTTTTGTTAGCATGTGTATCCCACCCATATATGTACATGTTTTGATAACAATTTTAGTCAAAGGGTGTGGCCTCTGTTTTTTTTCCGAAGAAAATATTCCTTAAAAGTGAATTTTGACAGAAGATATTGCTAAATTATGTAAAACATCATACTTTGTAAACTGTCAACATTATCTAAAATAAATTATAGACAGAAAATATGTCTAGTTTATTTAAATTTGGATGTTTAAGATCTTAAATAGTGATTTTCAGATATGATATTACAAAATCCAGTTTTTACGGCCAAATTTAGGCCTTCCTGGCCCTACTCCTTTATTGTATTTTTATGCGGAGGGGGCATTAAGTTATACCCTTGTCTGTCTGTACGTCCCAAAATTGGTTTGCGTTCTCTAGCTTTAGTTTGCCTCAACTAAATTTAATGAAAGGTATACACAATGCTTATTACCACAAAACACAGATCAATTTTGAAATTTGGTGGCGTCACTTTTACCGTTCTAGAGTTATGCCCCTCCAAAATGGAAAAATTGCTGAATTTTTCATTTCTGTGCTCTTACTTTAGTTTGCCTCAACCAAATGTTATGAAACTTATGCACAATGCTTATTACCACAAAACACAGATCAAGTTTGAATTTTGGTGGCGTCACTTTTACTGTTCTAGAGTTATGCCCCTTTACAAATGGAAAAATTGCTGAATTTTTTCGTTTCTGTTCTTTTACTTTAGTTTGCCTTAACTAAATGTTATGAAACTTAAACACAATGCTTATTACTACAAAACTCAGATCAAGTACAAATTTGGGTAACGTCGCTTTTACCGTTCTTGAATTATGTCCCTTTATAATGTTTTATGCAAGCGGGGGCATCATCTGTGTCCCATGGACACATTCCCCATTTATTTATTTGAAGCATACCTTTATATGTTTACTTTCTTGTAATTTCAGTGTTGTGTTTACGTATGATTCACATCGTTTGTATTCTACACTATCAGATGGAACTGTTGCATTGTGGGAATCACCATCCTCAAGCAAACAACTGTTACCGCACAAATTTGTAGCATTTCTGTAATATTGATAACCATTAGAAAGTGACAGCAAAAGGGTTTAATGATATAACAATTTCAAGTGACTTACCAGTATATACATTAATAAAATACATACAAATATTGATCTATAAGATGTGAATATTTATGATTTTAATGATGAGTTGTTTATTTATTTTTTTAAATGCCTTTGTTTTAAAGTGAAATATTCTTCCATTCTAAGTGATATGTACTACACAGTACACTAAATATTTGTGTATTTTGATATATACTTTTATTTTGGCTTATGAAATAAGCTTTTTGTTTGTACAAATATTTATAATGTTTATAAGTGTGTGCTACTAAATATGTTTCTGTATATTTCTACCAAGTAACAATTTGGAATTTGATGACTGTATGTCAGAGCTAAAAGGAGGCTGGTGGAGAGAGCCTTTGATACATTCTTTTTTTCATTAGTCTTATTTATTAGAAGTTGCAACCAGGGCTTTCATTGTAAATATTGTATGACGACATATATGCATGCTTATATGTTTAGTTGATTTTTTTTCTATTTTTGGAAAAGAGTTATATGGTATTATTAAGTTAGGCATAAAAATTGAAAATAAAGAAAATATCTAATTATTGCTAAGTATTTGTATTTTTCAATACTTATCTTCATTAGTTACATTTTCAGTTTCTATGAGAAATTAATTACATATTTTATCTTTGACTACATTTAAAACATTTACATTTATAGTCTCATAATACAATGTATATACATATGTTCTGCTTTGCTGTAAACTGGTTATTTTTTTGTGTTGCATATATTTCTATATTTATGAAGAATTTCAGCAAAGAAATCAACTTTTTTATGAATAACTGTAAATATTTTATCAAGACTACTTTAAAAGTAAATCTTTAAAATGTACAAGAAAAAATTGTATGTATACATGCATATGTAAGGCAGCATTTTCTGACATGTAAATATATTAAACATATGATCCCCTATATGCTAAATTTTATTTTTTATCTTCTTTTGCTATATATCTATATAAACATTGCTCTGTCTAACTCACTTCTGTTTTTTTTAAAGATTTTTAAATATTGAAAAAGATGCTTTTTAGAAGTTTCAGATATAATTATTGTATGCTTCTATAATCTTGATTTTATTATATTAGCATGGGAACAATAAAATCTGAGATATATATTTTTCATGATATTGTGATAACTAATGAAATTAGTCAAGGATGATTTAATATGTGAAATAAAGGCTTGTCTTAATCCACAAGGGCAATTACAGTCCTTTTTGCATATGCTCAATATTGCACATTTATAAATATGTGTCTATAAATTAAACAGTTTTTGTATTTTTTAAAGAATAATAATAAACAAAATTGCCATCTTTCAATATTAAAATCTCTATGAATATTTCGAGTATTTAAAAAAACGTTTTTGTTGGGATATTTCACATATACATAACTATTTTCCCTGATTTTGTAATGCTTTTATTTCTATGAAATATATGACGGATTTCATGCCTTTCAAACAGATTAAGGTTGGTGTATATGTGATATAAATTAGTCTTTACTTAACTCTAGCAATGGGAAAAAAAATAGCAGTGCAATCTGTAGCCTAAAAGTCAGCTGTTTTAAAACTTCAGGAGTTTTTAATGGTCATTTTAAAGTAAACTCATACTTTTCATAAAGATGAAAAACTTTGATAAAGCTTTGATTTCTACATTTATCAAATACTGTGGATTCACTTATATTCGTAGATACCTATTTTCGTAGATTGAGGGAAAATTTTTTTGTGTAAATTTGATTTGGTGGTTTTGCCAAAGTCTACATATATGCCAATAGCATATTTATACTTTGTTAAACATTTAAAGGGTAACCTATACCCATGAACGCAAAGAAAATTGGCATCTGATGTATAATAATGGATCCACAGTATTTCATTTAATTTTTATTTTAAAAAGCATACTACAAATAGTTAAATTGTTTAGTTAAGGGAAATCCTTTATTTCCCCAATTTGACAATGAGTGAATAAAAAAGTATTTATTATTTAATATAATATATTGCAAGAATTATGTTATATAATAATATAGGTGTTTGTTAAGCACAGAAATTAAACTTCTTTAAAAGAAATATTTGTGTGTGTCACCTGCTTAGAGTGTTTTAACTCTGCCTTGTATTCTTGATTTAAGATAATGGAAAGCTACAGGTAACTATTGAACTAATGAATTTTAAGACATGGTCATCTGTAAATGAACTAATAGGACAGAAAATTAATGTCTCAACAATATTGTATTTATGAGTAATTGTAATATTCCAAGAAACTATGAAGAAATTGATCATTGAAAACCACTCCATCAGTTGTGTGCCATATTTGTTAAAAAAATCATTGTTTTCTGTTATATTTGAGTAATAATTCCATTAAAAATAAGATTGCTGAACTTTTATCTTTTTTATATTTTCTGAACTATGCAGCTTAATTCTTGTAGGAATCAGATCTTTGGCTATTGACAAGAACAATATTTCTGCCTCTTTGCTGATTAAATTCACTTTTAAGTTTTCAATACCTTTGATTGACAATGATTGTTTAATGTCCAGTATGAATGTATAGTAAAATGCAGTTATATAAATTATGGTTACCCCTTTTCAGACATTTTGAGACCCCACATGCCATTCATTGTATAAGGCAATCATAAATTCAAAAACAGGGAGAATGATGAGCAAGTTCTCACACCAAGAGGTTGTGAATCCCATTTTGTGTAATCAACTCCTCCAACAGTTTAAAACCCAGCACCTTCAAATTGTTAGAAAGTTTAGATATATATTAGAGATGTGCATCTCATTTTATGGACACATTTATGGATTTCATTTTTAAAGATAATCTTGATGGTCAATGTTTATCATTCTTAACTGAGGGTATCCAATTTTCAACTTTGTACAGTCAAAAAGTTAAACAAAATATTGAGTTAACTGTTGTAATGATAATTACAACAGACATGCACAACTCATTCAGTAAAACCACATTGGTTTGGTCTCTAGTTAACTTATTTATAATTATGTAACAGGCAAAAACCAGTCCTTAAATCAAGCCTCAATGACACATGGGTGTGCTTGCTGGTAATAACATATTCATAATTGTCTTACAGGTATGTGCAAATCCTGAAAACAAGTCACTTTGGTGTGGTTTCTGGTTCATGATAACATTTTCTTAATTGTCAAGCAGGCATGTACAAGTCTTAAGAACAAGCCACACTGGTGCAGTTACTGTTTATTGATTGATTCAATATTCATTATTGTAAAGTAGGTACACTCCAGTCAGAAGAAGGGCAAAAGGGATGTGGTGACCAGTTATGAAACATTCACAATTGTCTAACAGGCATGCACAATTCATAAGAACTGGCCAAATAGTGCAGTTATTCATAATGGATAAACGGGCATGTTTAACCAGCTACAATATTGTAGTAAGGCAGCTACTGGTAATAACGTATCCATAAATGTATATTAGGCATGAGTAACAAACTGCACTGAATTGGTAACTGGTTATAACATATACATGATATGCACATGTCCTAATAACATGTCACACTTGTTAGGTAACTGGTTATCTCATTTTAATAAATATCTAACTGATAGCACAAGTCCGGGAAACAAGCCATACTAGTAAAGCAACTGGTTATCAAATATTCATAACTGTCTAACAAGCACATACAAGTCCGAAAACGAACCATTTAGAATTCAGTAAGATCAGATGGAAACAAATCAAGAATATTCACCATAGCAAATAATACTCTTAATATTATTTTATATGATACTATTTATTCCTTGGGTACAACCTTTCCAAATCTCATCTCTACAGACATATCACAAATGAGCACAATTTCAGAACAAAATTACTGAATTCAAAATCGAAGTATCCAACATATAAACAAATATTATGGTACTATCAGAATATATGAAATGAATTTTATTTGTTTGTACTGTTATTCCTGTCACGTAGTGTTGTCATTTTGGCGGTATTTTTAACATTGCCATATAAGCGGGAGGTTTGGCTAGCCATTAACCAGGTTTAACCCACCATTTTTTCTTAAAATGTCCTGTACCAAGTCAGGAATATGGCAGTTGTTATCAGACAATCCGTTTCTATGAAAGTTGGCGTTTTGCTTTTGTTGTAGTTCAGTGTTTCTGTTGTTCCGTTGTTTTCCTCTTATATTTGATGTGTTTCCCTCGGTTTTAGTTTGTTACCCGGATTTGTTTTTGCTTAATCGAATTATGATTATTGAACAGCGGTATACTACTGTTGCCTTTATTTCTAACGGGACCATTGTTAGCATAGTATCATGTCAAGGGAACGATAGAGGAAAAGGGTAAAATTATATAATCGAATATCACGTATATAATGCCTTTGATGGTGTCATGATTGTCCCAACTCACACCAAGATCGACTTTGAGCTTTTAAATTTATTTTGATCACATTATCTTGCCTTATATGCCAACCCGGAGATTGCTCATATACGTTGTATATGCATAGTCATACTGCATTTGAACATTGAAAGTTCATGAAAGGAATACTGGTACCTGAATATGATAAATAATTGTGTAAACAAGCCTGACAGGGCTTAATCAGAGCGATACTGTCATAGGTTGAACAATATAAATGGCTATACTTTTTGTCCTTTATGTCTCGCCTTGACGGAGTCAAAAAGCGAGACATAGGTATGCTGTTTCCGGCGTCGACGGCGGCCGCGACGGCGTCGTCAACAATGTATTAGTTTGTGATTAGGTCTAGTTCAAGGTGAACCACTAGTGGTTGGTCAATAATATTTGGTATGCAGTTGTATTAGCACTGGCACATCTCATTTCCATGGAGAATATTTGGTCCCGACCCCGCAGTCATGGTCTATTGACTTTGAAACTTTTGCTTAGTTTACATGTATTAGTTTGTGATTAGGTCAGTTCAAGAGGAACCATTATTGGTAGGCCAATGTTAATTGGTATGCAATTGTATAAGCATTAGCACATCTCATTTCCATGGAGAATATTTGGTCCCGCCTCCTCAGTCATGGTCTATTGACTTTGAAACTTTTGCTTAGTTTACATGTATTAGTTTGTGATTAGATCATTTTAAGATGAACTGCTAATGTTAAGTCAATGATATTTGGTGAATGACTACTTATAAATTGAGTTTGGAACCTAGTGAGTTAGCGGAGTTAACCTGAACGTTTTTTTTTTACAGGAATGAATTCATATAGAGCCAATTATTAAAGATATCCAATGGATTTCATAAAGGTTGGAATAAGTGATCCAATACAACATAGTTATTCTTCCAAGAGTTATATCGAAGATTATGCAGTAAAAATTCGCTCTCAACAGCAGACTTACGGCAATTTTCCGTCAGAAGAAAGGACCAACGTGTTGTCGGAACCCCGTTCCGGTGGTCCGATGGTTCCCCCGGTAAGCAAATCAACATGACCAGGTACCAAATGGTGGTTAGACTCAAACTAACCTGATGAATGGAAAGATAAACATTTGTTTGCTAGTACTCCAACGTCGATGAAGTATAATTTGAAAATTAATACTGTTCGTATTGGACATTGTTGGAAAAGATGTATTCTTAGGTGGACTTGGTTTGTGTTTAATGTTTCACTCGCTATTTTGAAAACATTGCGAAATTAAATTGGTGGAATGTTGACAGGAAACGACTGGTGTTCATGACAACGCTAAGTCGTCAAGTAGAGACATTCATGCATGGTCTATCAAATGAGGTACAAACACATGCCGGGTAGTTTGGAATTACTATTTGGACATTCTATCATGAAAGAAAGTTATCTCGCTGAAGCAAGGTTGAGAAGAAAAACACCAGAAGAATCGTTGAGAGATTTGGGACAAGCAATCGAAATTTATATAGACGTGCATTTCTATCTAACACAGAAGTTGTGCAGGAAATCGGCATTCGAACATTTCTTGATGTGTGTGGAGAATCTGAAGATTTTAGGATGGACATAAATAAAGGCAACAGTAGTATACCGCTGTTCAATAAACGTACTAAGCAAAAGATATCCCAGGAAGCAGTGACAAGTGCTACACAGGCAGAATGCATACACACGGACGAACGAAATGCTAGTAAGATAGTTCTTAGAACATGTTTACGAAGTTGATGAAAAAAGCAAAATACGTGTCGACGACATTTCTGCCAAACACAAAGAAAGAACCCAGAACACAAATATTTTTGGACGGCAGAGACGTTTAAATTTTCCTACTTGCTGTAACTATGGCAAAACGAGTCATACGGTTGATAGATGCTTGAAAAAGATAAAAGAAAGTCAGAAGACGAAGCCGGCGGTGTCCAACAACATCGTTCGAATGAGTGATGGTACCGACCAACACTTAAATGACATCGGTCGGAGCAGTAGGCCATGTCACGACCGGCGATCCCAATGGGCATAGCAAAAGTAAGTCAGAGCGTATCCTGTATACTTGAAACATGTCAAGAAGCACTAAAAAAATGTTTTAACGATATTGATGGTAGTTATATGACTCACTTGAAACAGTTGAACAGTTTGGTTCATCTGTGCAACAAAACGTCAACCAGAACGTACCTCCTTACTGTCTTCATTCACAAGTAGAACAAAATGATAATGCATCTTATTTAAAAAAGGTTTATAAATTAAGAAGGAGACATTGTCTACGGAATCGGACATCGAGCTGAATGACGTACCATTCTTGTAAAGGGTTAATGAAAAAGCTGGTATGATTGTTGATGGTCAATTTGGAGGATCTCCAATCTCATGTAAAATATATATAATAATGGACTACCATTAGCAAGAATTCTTGTGAATGCATCTAATTGAATAAGTTATACCAGATTATTTAATGCAACCAATATAGATATCATACTGTGTAAGGGAACACATATGGCTTTGTTCATTCCAGTTATGAATGTCAGTGACAAATTTGAGATAGAGAATGATAGCGTTGACGTTTGTCACATTGCCGAGAAAGGATACAAGATTGGTGCACAGTTACTTCAATATATGGAAAAGACGTTTCTTTGGTTAATAACACAAGAGACCGATCAATTTTGGAAGATGTTAATGCATCACGAAGAGGTATTTGCAAATTCTTATGTAAAACTTTGTCGAGAATGCAATCTGTAAAATTACATGATGAAACACCCTTAAACAACCCCCGATAAGGGTACCATTGCCCGAAAGGCTAATTTTGACAAATGAAATAGAGAATTTAAAGAAGAGAAGTATTAGAAAAATCATGTAGTCCATTGTCAGCTCCCATTGCCTTAGTAAAAAAAAGTCTCATCATGAAGGCTACGTATGGACTACCGGAAACTAAATGAAAAGACGATAAACGATGCGTATCCGATACAGAGATTGAAGATAACTCGGATGCTTTGTGTGAATCTTGGTGGTTTTCATCATTGGACTTGGATATGGCTTATAATCAAATACCAATAAAACATAGTGACAAGAAAGAGGCTACGTTTTAAACTCAAAATGTGGACTTTCTTAGTGTTAGTCTTGTATGTTTTTTTAATTTTAGTTCCTTTATATGTTTTAGAGTTTAGTGTGACGTCCTTTTTCACTGAATCAGTACACAATTTTATTTAGGGGCCAGCTGAAGACCACCTCCGGGTGCGGGATTTTCTCGCTGCGTTGAAGACCCATTGGGGGCCTTCGGCTGTTATCTGCTCTTTGGTCGGGTTGTTGTCTCTTTGACATATTCCCCATTTCCATTCTCAATTTTATCTATGTTAATGCGGCATCAATGTTACATAATAATGGAAGAAGCAGTAAGCGGACTTATATGGCATATTGCACTACTATTCAAGAAGGAATGGAATTGAGAATTAGTGTTAATCAAAATGTAAATACAAAATACAAGTGCCAAGGTGATGCCCGGACATAATATATGTTATGCATTTTCCTAGGGTGATGCGACCACAACTTATGGAAAACTACTTTATAACCTGATACGGAATGGACTGAAGAGTGGACGGACGGGCGTACAGACCTGACAACATAATGCTCCTTACTATCGCAGGCGGACATAAAAACAACTTTCCATTTTAAGTCATGAAAAAATATAAAGACATATACCTGGTAGTGTATGTTTATAAGAAGATTTAAGGTTCTGAGGTCGTTGGTACAAAATATTGATGGCTACTGTTATCTGTTGTTAAGCAGTTGTCTCATCTCTTTGACAACTGTGTGGATGTCAGTGTAGGCCAAGCCAAGAACACTATAGGTTCTGTTTGTAAATACATTATATAATATGTTTGATAAAGGAAGCAAACAATAAATTGGATCGTCGTTCAATCTACTGGATACACAAATTACATACAACGTTATATTGCAGGGTCTGCCAAATGCTCCACGAAACATCTACCTCCAAATTATTAACATCTACATCTATTTTATCAGCGATCAAAACAGGCCAGGTTTCAGTGTTCCTATGAAACTACCTTCTCTAAAGGGGTGTACAGGGAGGGGTGAATGGATTGAAAAAAAATACTGATACTAAAAACTTGGGATCTTTTTTTTAATTTTTTATTTATTCATATGAGATAAAATTCATTCAGGAGCTTCTTAAGAAACATGCAAAGAAGCTGGCATTAGAATTTAACTTCATTTGCCGCTGTACAGATAATCTTCTTTTACTGAATATTTCAAAGTGATGAATATGTTGAGCGCATCTATCCCTTGAACTTGAAATAAAGTATACCACAGATGAGTCATCTTCATATCTTGACAAAAATGTAGAAATTGACAACTAGTATAAAATATGAGTGTCGGTTGAGAATTAATTATAAACTTTACGACAAAAGAGATGATTTCAATTTTAAATTTCCATTTCTGTTTAGCAACATTCCAACAGCTCTTGCATATGGAGTTTATAAGTTTAAAATAGCTCCCAGTTGATTCGATATTATAAGGCTTGCGTTTACTATTATAATTTCCCTGATGGAGGGTTGCTGTGTACAAGAAGCTATTGAACAATGGGTTCAAAATGATAGGGACGGATACGTATCGTCCAAAGTTTAACTAACATCACTACGATTTGGATGGCAATTGTGGAAAATCTTTGTCACAGAAGGTCATATCAATATATAAAAGCTTCTCGTAAATAATCCTGATTACATTGTCATGTTTCGATAATTTTAGGACAAAATTTCCTGAAATATCAAAGTCTGATTATTGGGAAATAAAAGACTTAGAGTTATCCTATTTCGTATACATGTAATAATAATAAAACATCAATCATTTGTTTATGAATTGATCATAAAATCTGTTATAGTCGTTTTATTCTTATCTTTAACATTGTTGACTGACAATAAAAAATACTTATAGTTTATTTTTAGTAGTGTTATAAATTTGTTTTACATGCAACATAAACGCAAGTATAGATGTAACGTTATTTATGTTTAGAAAAGGATTCATACTAGTGTCCGTCATGAACCTGCATCGATATGCGTGCCTTTGCTTCGTATTGAACACGTCGCTGTGCTGTGGCTGTAGGGCGACGAACAGCAAAGGAAGCGATGTTCCTTTAATTTTGTTTTTTGAACGCTTATTTGGGATTCTTTACCACGAGTTGATACGCCATATTATCTATTGTTTTCCATTATGATTCGAAATTGCAATTAGTATCAACGTTTTCTCAAGCGGCCGTTCTATCGTTATACATGTTTAGAATATTTATAAAGTGCCTAGAAAATCGACCTAACTATATATATATATTTAGGTTGATTCTCTAGGCACTTTATAAATATTCTAACGCCTGGTATTTCTTAATCATAATAAATTCGACGGACAAGGTACAATTTACAGTTGTCACTACACTTAGGCAGATATAATATATTTCCAATAATAATAATAAAATGTCGATATTTTTATTCACCATATTTGTGAATTTTTGTCACGAGCAGGTTTATAATATATCGTGACCAAAAATCCCAAAATACTAGTATGGTGAATAAAGATATTGACGTTCTTGGACTATATACCTTGAGATTTAGCAATTTTAGTCTTGTTCTTGAATGTGTACATATGTCCCATTGTTTGCATTATATTGACTTTTCTTATAAATATTGGTAATTTCCCAAAGAGGTCAGATTTGACAAAATGAATTGTTGTCATTTGCTTTTGGTAACTGAAACTGATTTCAGAAATGATGCTTCGGAATGTCAAGTAATACACTTTTGTCAGTCATTGGCACTATGTTCCCTATATCCGCAGAACTTATCTCCTGATTCTATACTTACACATTCAGATAAGACTGTTTAATAGATAAGTCACGTTACATCTATAATAGATCGCTATACAATGAATGGAATAGTTAAATTATCATTATTTGTCTTTTTTCAAATTTACTTTTTTACAGGTAAGAATGTTGTCTCAATAGCATTTCTTCTAACCATAGATCGTTTTAAATGTTCACTGTTAATACTTAACAATTTAATATACAAGTTAAATATGAGGAAGACCAGAGATTAATATTACACATGTGTAGTCTCAGAATAGATACACATGAAACACTAGCGCAAACTTAATTAAGAATGTCTCTTGCAGTCTAGATTAATTTTCAATAACTACGTAAAACAATAAAAGAAAAGCAAGGAATAGTTGAAGACAAGGATAACATTTGAACAGAATTTTTGACCGAAATACAAACTCCCGTTCGTTTGTCATGGTCAATTTTTTACCATGTAAGTCTCATTCAATATTTTACTTGTTCACTGAATTGGTCAGAATTGTCGTACACCTTTTCATTTTCTGTTACTTATATCAGAAACTGTTATCCAAGTTCTGTTAATTGTGACCGTAGTATGATGCTGCTTGGCTTGAAGTAAATACATTTTTTTCTCTTGCGATTTTTTTCCCCGATTTGTCCAAAGATTTGAGGAAGGCATTAAGTTCAGCCCGTCCGGGTTAAGTTTCAAATCATGAAGGAATTATCTGCTTGTCATTTGATGCAGAGTATAAGTTAGATTGACCTTCATTTTACTCGTTATTAACAATACCATTAAATGAAACATAAACTGGTACTTGCCACTTACACATAATAAGGCACCGAACAGTAATCTTTTTAACGTGTTAAGGAGCTTGGTTTTTCTTATCATCAGAACAACTTAAATAAAACATTTTGAAAATGATTTTAAAAAAAATTATTAAATGAAAAATAATTTCCAATAGAAACAAACCACTTTTTCCATTCCATTTCAAAACAAGCAATGTATTTTCAAGACATTTAGAATCAAACATTTTCTTTAACCCCCCCCCCCCCCCCCCAAAAAGGCAAAATATCGATGCATAAGAAACAAAATCCAGCATCATGTATTAAGTACCGACATGTCAAATAGTGTGAAAGATATTCTGGAGTCGTAAATTTTACGAGATTCATTGATTTAATACGAGTACAGAGGAGATGCATGCATATAAGATATCATGGTACTTGCTTGAAAATATTGTGTATGAAAGGAAAGTTCTCGTTTGCATAAATGTCAGTAAAAAATAGTTTTAGATGTTCTTCGATGCAAATAAAAAAATATACGACTAATTTCCCGTGTATTTGTTTCACTCGCAAGGTCAATATCTAAAAGTTGCAAAATCCTACTGGAAACTAATTATTAAACAGTCTTTATCATATTCTTAAATATCGTTTCCAAATTTTTATAGTTTTATTCAGTCAAAATGCTATTCAGTGCTACCTGTTGCTGTTGAAGGTATAATGATACAAAATTCCAAATTTTACATGTTATTGTTGAATTTCGCATTGCTTATACCAAAATAAATTATTCAAGCATTTTCAAATTATAATTGAATGTTCTCAGTTGATGCATCTTGGTTAGAGACGAAGGTACATATTTTAAGAGGGTCTTATAATTTCATTGGTAATTTAAAAAAAAAAATAAGGTCAAGGACATTAATTACGTTTATGACGGCCCTGTTCTTTATTTTTCAAATGTAAGTACCTCCTTTTGTACTATCAACACTCTTTAATTATATATATATATATATGTTGTGTACAAGTTATCATTTTGTACAAATTATAATTTGTACAAAAAAATTGTACAAATTATAATTTGTATTTTCACTTTGTTCAAATTGTAATTTGTACAAAAAGTGCTTGTACAAATTACAATTTGTACAAAATTTGACTAAAATTCCCTTATAACTTGTACAGTAATTTAGTATGGATTTTGCTATAAAAAAAAATTCGTAAGGGTTCCGCAGAACCCAGTGTCTCGCCTACTTTTGCTGTTATCTATGTCTTCAGTGTGAAAGGGGAATGCACATAATAGATTTACAGTTAATGGAATGGTTTAAGAATCTAATAAATGTTTTAAAAACTTTAACTGCAGACTGTATGTAATGTTAACTGGAAGAAAAACGAAGTCCATTTATAAGTAATAAACGGAAAAACAGGAAATAAATTTTTACAAAATTTTCTTCTAGATACTAGCTTTTGATCATAAACAAGCTTCTGTCCAAGTTTGGTACAAATCCAGGATAGTTTAAGAAAGTTATTAAAATTTTAAAAACTTTAACCACAGAGTGAATGTAATGTTAACTGGCAGAAAAAAACTTATAAGTAAAATACGGATAAACAGGATTTTTATTTTTACAAAATTTACTTCTGGATACTATCTTATGATCATAAACAAGCTTCTGTCGAAGTTTGGTAGAAATCCAGGATAGTTTAAGAAAGTTATTAAAAATTTCAAAAACTTTAACCACAGAGTGAATATTTGTGGACGCCGCCGACGACGCCGACGACGGAATGTAGGATCGCTATGTCTCGCTTTTGCGAGAAAAGTCGCAGGCTCGACAAAAAGCATTGATACATTTTGTATCATTTGTTTGAACATGTGAGTGAATAATGGCATCGGGAATTGCACAACATCTTTTGCTTTTTACCTTTATATTTAGAAGTGCTGCACCCCTTTGCATGTACATGAAAGAAACCCCTGACGGACCCTGACCACCAGTTTTTGAAAGCTTTTTAACTGATTCACGTAGCGAAAGTTGGGCACGATCATACTGAGGGATTGGTATAAGGACATTATCCCCCACTGCAAGTTCTGATAATTTCCGTTTAGTTTTCTTGGTTAGATATTCGGCTTGGATCTGTTGGCCAGACAGCGCACGCTTCCTGGCACGTATGATTGGTGTTTCAACGTCAGAGTCATCCTGGTTGTCACTTGGGCCAATTTTGATCATACTATCAGAATTGTCACTGGGGCCAATTCCTATTATACTATCAGAATGGTCACTGGGGCCAATTTTTACTATTCTATCAGAATTGTCACTGGGGCCAGTTTTTACTATTCTATCAGAATTGTCACTCGGCCCAATTTATATTGTACTATGAGAATTCACTGACATGCATATATATCAATAAAATTGAGAATGGAAATGGGGAATGTGTCAAAGAGACAACAACCCGACCATAGAACAGACAACAGCAGAAGGTCACCAACAGGTCTTCAATGCAGCGAGAAATTCCCGCACCCGGAGGCGTCCTTCAGCTGGTCCCTAAACAAATATATATACTAGTTCAGTGATAATGAACGCCATACTAAACTCCAAATTGTACACAAGAAACTAAAATTAAAAATAGTACAAGACTGACAAAGGCTAGAGGCTCCTGACTTGGAACAGGCGCAAAAATGCGGCGGGGTTAAACATGTTTATGAGATCTCAACCCTCCCCCTACACCTCTAGCCAATGTAGAAAAGTAAACGCACAACAACACGCACATTAAAACTCAGTTCAAGAGAAGTCCGAGTCTGATGTCAGAAGATGTAACCAAAGAAAATAAACAAAATGACAATACTACATAAATAACAACAGACTACTAGCAGTTAACTGACATGCCAGCTCCAGACTTCAATTAAACTGATTGAAAGATTATGTCTTCATCATATGAATATCAGGCACAATCCTTCCCGTTAGGGGTTTAGTATCATACCATCATAACATATATGAGAAGAACATAACCCGTGTCATGCCAACAACTGGTTTTTAAATACATGTGTTTAGTGCCGATGCAAAGACCCTATAAGTGAATCAATATTAACGCCAAAATATGCAATCTTTAATGACCTGACAACAGTATCGTAACTATATCCCTTCTTAATAAGTCTATTTAAAGGTTTCATTAGCTTCAGAGGTGAATACTGACATTTTTGTGCTTTATAAAGAATATTTCCATAAAAAATTGGATGTGAAATACCTGAACGTATAAGAAGTCTGCATGTTGAGCTATATTTACGAATGATGTCCTTATACCGATGATAAAATTTAGTAAATGTTTTGACTAGTTTGTGATATCGAAAACCCTGGTGTAATAATTTTTCAGTAATACATAAATTTCTCTCGTTAAAATCTAAAACATTGTTACATACACGAGCGAATCGTACAAGTTGAGATATATAAACACCGTAAGATGGTGACAAGGGAACGTCACCATCTAAAAATGGATAATTAACGATAGGAAATGAAAAATCATCTCTTTTATCATATATTTTAGTATTAAGCTTTCCGTTAATGATATAGATATCAAGATCGAGGAAAGGGCAGTGGTCATTGTTGGTATTAGCTTTATTTAAAGTAAGTTCAACAGGATAAATTTCTTTAGTATACATACTGAAGTTGTCATTATTGAGAGCCAAAATATCATCCAAATATCTAAAAGTATTATTAAATTTGTGTATCAGATGTTGTTTTGATGGGTCTTTGCTGATTTTTGTCATAAATTGTAACTCATAGCAATACAAAAAAAGGTCCGCAATAAGTGGTGCACAGTTAGTCCCCATTGGAATTCCGATAACCTGACGATATACGGAATCTCTAAAGCGAACAAAAATGTTATCTAGTAAAAATTCAAGGGCATATATAGTATCAAAGCATGTCCAATTGACATAGTTTTTTTGTTTATTGCTACTAAAAAATGACCTAAAAGAGTTTGAACATATATATTCACATTCTGACTTTTTAAATGCCCATTTAATTAGGTGTGTGAATTTTTTCTTAATGAGAATGTGAGGCAATGTGGTATATAGGGTAGAGAAATCAAAACTTTGAACAGATTCAAAATCACCAATATATGCATGCAATTTATCAAGTACTTCCAACGAGTTCTTGACACTCCAAAAGTAATTAATTCCACTATTTTCGAAGGCCTTATTTGAACAATTTATTATCAGATTTTTGATTGTACCAAGTGTACTGGTAAGAAGAATAGACAATTTAGTAGTGGAACAATGGCTTGAAGACGAAATGAATCTATATTTGTAAGGTGTTTTGTGTAGCTTCGGAAGCCAATACATAGTTGCTTTTTTTATAACAAAATCCATACTATAAATTATTGTACAAGTTATAAGTGAATTTTAGTCGCATTTTTTGTACAAGCACTTTTTGTACAAATTAGAATTTGTACAAAGTCAAAATACAAATTATAATTTGTACACAACATATATATATATATAATTAGAAACTACCCGGCTTCTACAACGGGGGCACTTGCGGACGGGGTATCTACAAATGGGTTAACAGCACATGCAATGAATATATACAAACAAGTAAAAAACATTCATATGTCATTTTCAGAGTTAAAAATTAGTACATTATAAATTTAAAACAGCTTACATAAAAGAAATAACACACTGTGTACAACATAAAAATAGAAATTAAACTAAGAGTTACATAAATCATATTGCACAAACAACTATCAGAACTCGTAAATTAAGTAGCATGGATAATTTTATACAAATATAATAGAAGTAGAAATCTTTCAATCCATGCAGTCAAGAAGAACTTGGGATCTTTAATAGAGCAAATGTATTGTAAAACTAATGCACTAAGTTCGAAAATCAGATTAAGTTCTATTTGGAAATAAAAAAAAATTGAATTACGATTTAGCAATAAAGATCATAATATCCTGTGGAAAGTTTGAAACACGCTTATCCTTTATGAACAGGAGTATTTAGTTTTTGAGATCAGAACAGCTTAGGGCAGTCGGATAGGCGAAACTACTGATTATGCGAAACATTTTATAATTATTCTTATTTTAAAATTTCGCATTTATTCAATTCTATTAGTGTTCTGTAACTGTCCAAGCGGATGGTCAAGGTACGAAAAATCATGTTACCACGTCAGTAGAGATTCAGCATCGTGGGCCGAAGCCATGGTAAGTAAATAATAACCACGAGGAAAAGTTTTAAATAGTGATATTGCATATCAATCATCAGAAAAGTCAACAAAACAATAAAACGAATAAAGTTATAACTTCTAATGCATAATCGGCCGTTTAATTGTTTCACAATTTGTTATTCCTATTATTTTTCTAGTTTACTATAAATACGGCATGGTTTTTACTCATTGTTGAAAGCCATGTAGTTATCTGTATTTGTTTTTGTCCTTTTGTCTTTGGCGTACAAGTTCATGATAAGTCACACAACATTTTATTTTTTGGAATGTTATGATATTTACATAATTAACCGTCCATTGCTGTAAGATATCATTACTGTGACTTTGTTTCCACAAATATCTGATATGGATGGCTATTTAAAATGTCATTAGATTCCATGAGGCAGTTCACAAAATTCCACATATAAAACTACAAATTCGGCTATTTGAAACGCCAACAAAAAAAACCCATGAGGTGACCACTCACGTAAGCTGAAAGGGAAAGGTATCTTAGTTACCAGTTTGAAAGGAATGCTGCTACATGTTTAGCACATACATGCCTACTACAAAATAAAGACAGACGTAATCATTAGTGTGGTGGTATCAAGTATACTGCGATCAAATTTTTTAAAAACATACAGAAATATATTTCTGCTAAATAATATATTGTTCTAGTATTTATTGTTATCGTTTAGAAAATGTGTGAGATACACGGGAGTGTCCTTGCAAGCATTGCAACTGCTGCTGAAGACCAGTACATAAAAACCCTACTTGGAGCCCAACGCCATAGTAAGTAAAGAATAAGAACATGCATAAACATGAGTGAAATGTATTGGAGAAAATTTGTCTTACACCTTTACCTTATATATTTATTATTATTTTAAATTTCATATTTATATTGATCTCAGCATCTTAAATGGTTGCAGGAAATTTCGATTCATTGGTTTTTGCTTACTTTATATCTAGCGGCAAATATTTCAGGTAAAGCCATGCCCAAGATCCAACTGTACAAAAAATCAATAAGGTAAATACTGAAAATTGGTCGCGATCGACCGGTAAGATAGTGTGTCACTTTTAACTGCAACTTGAATATTGACACATGTTGTGTAAGAACAAAAATTTTGCCTATTTAACAAAGAATAACGTGAACATTCGGCCAGGGCATGGCACATCCCCAATAAAGACTTGGTTCTCTTTCCAACTGGACGCAGTAAGGAAAGAGAATTTAATTTTTTTTTTACATAAAATTGAAATTTAGTTTACGCTGATTAAGAAACACAACAAAAGACAAGTTATATCATGAACATTTGAATGTCACCAAGAATAAGGATAAAACTGAAAAGGTCTACGATAACTAAAAAAATCGGCCCTCAATCGAGAAATGTGGATTAACGAACATGCAACAATTTCAGAAAATTCTGACTTAAGGGAGAGCAAATTTTAACAAAATTTTAAATAAAAACAGACAACACCATGGCCAAAAGATAAAAGACAGTCCCTGAAACATCAAATATAACTTCAATATAAAATCCAAAATAATTTAGAAATGAAACTTTACAAATTCAACAGTAATTTGTACTTTCTGCTTTAGACGTCTAATTGTATCGTAATATTTGAAATATTTATTCTTAATAACAGCGGATCCAGTAGAACGGCGTAACATATAAATGTTTAAGTTATATTTAACTTTTAAACTTTAAGTCATTTTCAAGTTAGCGGAGTCTTGAGGTTAGTAGTCAACTTATTTTTATTTATTCACAAATCCTGTCAAGCTGGTAAATATGCTTCGTGGCAGTTGTAGCTTATTTATAAAAAATGTTGTTTTGAACTTAGATAATTCTTTATAAAGAATTCTTTTTGCATACATTCATCACAATCAAGAAACATGAAATCCTTCAACTTCATTACTTGCTACTGTTTTCGACCAACATCAAACGTTGCACCAACATGAACAACAACTTCATGATATTCAAGCATATCGATTGTGACCCGAAGGAAACAGGAATTTATGAACAAAAGGAGCCTTCAGTTTAGAGGACTTCCATTAAAGGTGAACGAAATGGTTGTTATTTAAGATGACTGAAGAAGCTTGATTACACGGGTTAACAAAATAAATGACTCGATTTGTCGATTTTTATAAATTATTTCAGTCAAAGATTAAAATTGACACCGTAGCTCAGTCAGAGGCCCATGGTTGGATTGCAATGTGAAGAAAACTAACTTTAAAATCAACCGATAGTTCACCTCGGACCATTGGTATGATAAAATAGTTACTTTGCAAATTGTATATTTGATACTTTCAGCTACATCCTTTTGGTTAGGTGGATCAGATTGGGACAACGAAGGTGAGTGGAAATGGGAACCACATGCAATTCCATTTAATTTCACCAACTGGCACAAAGGACAACCAGACAATAGTGGAAGAAAAGAGCATTGTTTATCTGTACACAGAACCTACCATTACGAGTTTGCCGATGATAACTGTCATTATTCACAACACTACTTGTGTGAAAAACCGTACGTACTTGTGCATATCATGTGTGATATAGCAACTGATGATCCCAAATATAGGGTGCTGTCTAAGGTTACATTTCATTTTTATTTTAGTTTTAAATTAGATATAAAGATCTACTTTCACACTTACTTCAGAGGAAATTTTACACAGGATATAATAAAACGCAGGTGGGAGTTATTTAATAATTAAGTGTAAGCTTAACTTCCAACGGCATATATTTCATGCACATCCAGTACAAGATTAAAAAAAAACATGGACACTATAGTTGAATCATCCCAAATCGTCTCATCTAATTTAAATTAAGAATTTGATTCCACATTTTGAACAGTGTAAATAATCTAAATAATTTTTGTTAGCTAACGTCCGTGATCCGCCTGCTTAAAATTCAATTCCACCCTATTTATCCCTAAAAAGATGATTTTCATGTGCTAAAAATAGTTTTTAAAATGTGCTCATCATTCCCAAAGAAGACAAAATCAAGTTTGTATGAATTTTTACCTAAGATAATAATGTTTACATGAGAAATATTACAAGTAGTAACATTTGTAGGCATTATGCCTAGCAAAGTGGTTAAAAGTGGTCCTTAAAATAATACACCAAACCATTTCAACAACAACACCATACACCATATTTATGTTTCCTTTTTTTTTTTTATTTTAGGGACACAAATAGCACAGAAACAGAGGTTCTTGGAAAATGATAACACATTAATACTATAAATTATTTTTTAATATCTTACTTATTCATTGATAAAGCATTGAATGCTATTTTGGGTAAGATTTTGGGTGGGTTATTTTATGAAACTTTAGTAATTCCACTGGTTGAGATAAAAATAAGACTTACTGGTTTTGCAAAATTACCATAGTTAAACTCTGCAAAATGTTTTTGTGCCAGTCCAAAGTCAGAAACCTTATTAGTAAATACCATTTTATATATGTTGTGTACAAGTTATCATTTTGTACAAATTATAATTTGTACAAAAAATTTGTACAAATCATAATTTGTATTTTGACTTTGTACAAATTGTAATTTGTACAAAAAGTGCTGGTACAAATTACAATTTGTACAAAATTTGACTAAAATTCACATATAACTTGTACAATAATTTATAGTATGGATTTTTTTTTATAAAAAAAGCATTGATACACATTATAGAATTTGTATTCAATGACCACACAATAAACCTTATTTACAAAATACCCAGATGGAGACAAGAAATGTAATTGATACACGCATGCCAGTTAATTCTGATAGTACAATAGAAATTGGCCCCAGTGACAATTCTGATAGTATAATAAAAATTGACCCGAGTGACAATCAGGATGACAGTAACATTGAAACACCAATCATACGTGCCAGGAAGCGTGTGCTGTCTGACCAACAGATCCAAGCCGAATATCTAACCAAGTAAACAAACGGAAATTATCAGAACTTGCTATGGGGGATAATGTCATTATACCAATTCCTCAGTATGATCGTGCTCCAACTGATCCTCGAAATATCTTAGAAGTAATTATTGAATCTGGAGAATTTGGGTACCGCATTGGAACAGCTGTAAGAATTTTAACAGGATATTTGTCAAGAAATCAAATTGAAGCTGTTCAACTTTCGCTACGTGAAGCAGTTAAAAAGCTTCCAAAAACTTGTGGTCAGGGGTTTCTTTCATGTAAATGAAAAGGGGGGTGCAGCACTTCTGAATGTAAATGTAATAAAATGCTTCGCTGAGCGCATTCTGATACGACCACAGAGGTCGAACCCTGAACAGTTGGGGCAAATTTGGACACAATATTCAAGCTTGATACTATCTGAATTTGGATTGTGATTAAATTTTTAACATAATAAAGGTTTCTGACACAAAATAAATGTGGTCAAAGATCTTACAAATCAAATGTGCAATACTGTGCAATTGAAGATTTCTTCTTGAAACTTTTCAAAAATTAGAAATTCGAAAAATTTGGGGGAAAAAATATGAACCCCTTAAAAAAAATTGGAACCCCCCCCCCAAACTTTTCGAATCCCCCTTGGAGCATTAACCATCAAATCCCAAAATACTAGTATGGTGAATAAAGATATTGACGTTCTTGGACTATATACCTTGAGATTTAGCAATTTTAGTCTTGTTCTTGAATGTGTACATATGTCCCATTGTTTGCATTATATTGACTTTTCTTATAAATATTGGTAATTTCCCAAAGAGGTCAGATTTGACAAAATGAATTGTTGTCATTTGCTTTTGGTAACTGAAACTGATTTCAGAAATGATGCTTCGGAATGTCAAGTAAGACACTTTTGTCAGTCATTGGCACTATGTTCCCTATATCCGCAGAACTTATCTCCTGATTCTATACTTACACATTCAGATAAGACTGTTTAATAGATAAGTCACGTTACATCTATAATAGATCGCTATACAATGAATGGAATAGTTAAATTATCATTATTTGTCTTTTTTCAAATTTACTTTTTTACAGGTAAGAATGTTGTCTCAATAGCATTTCTTCTAACCATAGATCGTTTTAAACGTTCACTGTTAATACTTAACAATTTAATATACAAGTTAAATATGAGGAAGACCAGAGATTAATATTACACATGTGTAGTCTCAGAATAGATACACATGAAACACTAGCGCAAACTTAATTAAGAATGTCTCTTGCAGTCTAGATTAATTTTCAATAACTACGTAAAACAATAAAAGAAAAGCAAGGAATAGTTGAAGACAAGGATAACATTTGAACAGAATTTTTGACCGAAATACAAACTCCCGTTCGTTTGTCATGGTCAATTTTTTACCATGTAAGTCTCATTCAATATTTTACTTGTTCACTGAATTGGTCAGAATTGTCGTACACCTTTTCATTTTCTGTTACTTATATCAGAAACTGTTATCCAAGTTCTGTTAATTGTGACCGTAGTATGATGCTGCTTGGCTTGAAGTAAATACATTTTTTTCTCTTGCGATTTTTTTCCCCGATTTGTCCAAAGATTTGAGGAAGGCATTAAGTTCAGCCCGTCCGGGTTAAGTTTCAAATCATGAAGGAATTATCTGCTTGTCATTTGATGCAGAGTATAAGTTAGATTGACCTTCATTTTACTCGTTATTAACAATACCATTAAATGAAACATAAACTGGTACTTGCCACTTACACATAATAAGGCACCGAACAGTAATCTTTTTAACGTGTTAAGGAGCTTGGTTTTTCTTATCATCAGAACAACTTAAATAAAACATTTTGAAAATGATTTTGAAAAAAATTATTAAATGAAAAATAATTTCCAATAGAAACAAACCACTTTTTCCATTCCATTTCAAAACAAGCAATGTATTTTCAAGACATTTAGAATCGAACATTTTCTTTAACCCCCCCCCCCCCCCAAAAAGGCAAAATATCGATGCATAAGAAAAAAAATCCAGCATCATGTATTAAGTACCGACATGTCAAATAGTGTGAAAGATATTCTGGAGTCGTAAATTTTACGAGATTCATTGATTTAATACGAGTACAGAGGAGATGCATGCATATAAGATATCATGGTACTTGCTTGAAAATATTGTGTATGAAAGGAAAGTTCTCGTTTGCATAAATGTCAGTAAAAAATAGTTTTGGATGTTCTTCGATGCAAATAAAAAAATATACGACTAATTTCCCGTGTATTTGTTTCACTCGCAAGGTCAATATCTAAAAGTTGCAAAATCCTACTGGAAACTAATTATTAAACAGTCTTTATCATATTCTTAAATATTGTTTCCAAATTTTTATAGTTTTATTCAGTCAAAATGCTATTCAGTGCTACCTGTTGCTGTTGAAGGTATAATGATACAAAATTCCAAATTTTACATGTTATTGTTGAATTTCGCATTGCTTATACCAAAATAAATTATTCAAGCATTTTCAAATTATAATTGAATGTTCTCAGTTGATGCATCTTGGTTAGAGACGAAGGTACATATTTTAAGAGGGTCTTATAATTTCATTGGTAATTTAAAAAAAAAATAAGGTCAAGGACATTAATTACGTTTATGACGGCCCCTGTTCTTTATTTTTCAAATGTAAGTACCTCCTTTTGTACTATCAACACTCTTTAATTATATATATATATATATGTTGTGTACAAGTTATCATTTTGTACAAATTATAATTTGTACAAAAAAATTGTACAAATTATAATTTGTATTTTCACTTTGTTCAAATTGTAATTTGTACAAAAAGTGCTTGTACAAATTACAATTTGTACAAAATTTGACTAAAATTCCCTAATAACTTGTACAGTAATTTAGTATGGATTTTGCTATAAAAAAAAATTCGTAAGGGTTCCGCAGAACCCAGTGTCTCGCCTACTTTTGCTGTTGTCTATGTCTTCAGTGTGAAAGGGGAATGCACATAATAGATTTACAGTTAATGGAATGGTTTAAGAATCTAATAAATGTTTTAAAAACTTTAACTGCAGACTGTATGTAATGTTAACTGGAAGAAAAACGAAGTCCATTTATAAGTAATAAACGGAAAAACAGGAAATAAATTTTTACAAAATTTTCTTCTAGATACTAGCTTTTGATCATAAACAAGCTTCTGTCCAAGTTTGGTACAAATCCAGGAAAGTTTAAGAAAGTTATTAAAATTTTAAAAACTTTAACCACAGAGTGAATGTAATGTTAACTGGCAGAAAAAAACTTATAAGTAAAATACGGATAAACAGGATTTTTATTTTTACAAAATTTACTTCTGGATACTATCTTATGATCATAAACAAGCTTCTGTCGAAGTTTGGTAGAAATCCAGGATAGTTTAAGAAAGTTATTAAAAATTTCAAAAACTTTAACCACAGAGTGAATATTTGTGGACGCCGCCGACGACGCCGACGACGGAATGTAGGATCGCTATGTCTCGCTTTTGTGAGAAAAGTCGCAGGCTCGACAAAAAGCATTGATACATTTTGTATCATTTGTTTGAACATGTGAGTGAATAATGGCATCGGGAATTGCACAACATCTTTTGCTTTTTACCTTTACATTTAGAAGTGCTGCACCCCTTTGCATGTACATGAAAGAAACCCCTGACGGACCCTGACCACCAGTTTTTGAAAGCTTTTTAACTGATTCACGTAGCGAAAGTTGGGCACGATCATACTGAGGGATTGGTATAAGGACATTATCCCCCACTGCAAGTTCTGATAATTTCCGTTTAGTTTTCTTGGTTAGATATTCGGCTTGGATCTGTTGGCCAGACAGCGCACGCTTCCTGGCACGTATGATTGGTGTTTCAACGTCAGAGTCATCCTGGTTGTCACTTGGGCCAATTTTGATCATACTATCAGAATTGTCACTGGGGCCAATTCCTATTATACTATCAGAATGGTCACTGGGGCCAATTTTTACTATTCTATCAGAATTGTCACTGGGGCCAGTTTTTACTATTCTATCAGAATTGTCACTGGGCCCAATTTATATTGTACTATGAGAATTCACTGACATGCATATATATCAATGCTTTTTTTATAACAAAATCCATACTATAAATTATTGTACAAGTTATAAGTGAATTTTAGTCGCATTTTTTGTACAAGCACTTTTTGTACAAATTAGAATTTGTACAAAGTCAAAATACAAATTATAATTTGTACAATTATTTTGTACAAATTATAATTTGTACAAAATGATACCTTGTACACAACATATATATATATATAATTAGAAACTACCCGGCTTCTACAACGGGGGCACTTGCGGACGGGGTATCTACAAATGGGTTAACAGCACATGCAATGAATATATACAAACAAGTAAAAAACATTCATATGTCATTTTCAGAGTTAAAAATTAGTACATTATAAATTTAAAACAGCTTACATAAAAGAAATAACACACTGTGTACAACATAAAAATAGAAATTAAACTAAGAGTTACATAAATCATATTGCACAAA